CCAAGAGGCCAAGACGGAGGAGAGCGATGCCACGGCGGCTAAACTCGCGGCCGTGCAAGCAGCACCAAGGACCCAGCCCCAACACTTTGGACCGGACGACGGCCAGCAGGGCACGGTGCAGGCGACGTACGCGCACAGCGCCACCGAGTTCAAGTGCAGCGTGTGTGCGTACGTCGCAGGCAACTTGGCTACGCTCGTCGCCCACCGCAGATCGGCGCACCGCGGCACCCGCTTCTCCGATATCTTCGACAACGGGTGCGCGTGCAGCCTCGTGTTCCACTCGCGGATGGCGGCGACGAGCCATGCCCTCGCCTGCGCACAGCGCGCCTCGCAGGCGGCGCCTTCCCCCGCAGAGCCCATGGACGTTGACCAAGGCCGCGTCCGGCCCAGGCAGCGCCGCCCATCGCCTCGCCGGCCCAGCGAGCGACGCCCGGACGGCAAGCGCCGCCGCCTCAACAGCGAAGACGACGCCGACGCCCAGAAGCCGGCCGAGCACCTGCAGCTCGCGGACGAGGACGGAGTCGAGGACCCACCCCAAGCGCACAAGCCATACGCGGCCAGCGCTCTCTCGGCCCCTGTCCTCGCCGTGTATGTGCACAACGCGGAGCGCTTCACGTGCACGCTGTGCACGTTCACGGCAGCCAGCTTCAGCTCCTTGCAGAGGCATCGGACCACTCGGCACCGGCGCGCAGTCTTCCAGGACAAGTTTCTGGCGGGCTGCGCGTGCGGCACCCCCTTTGCGTCGCGGCCAGCGGCGGCTAAACACGCGCAAGCGTGCGCCGGCCGTTCGACTGCACTTCCGGCTACGGCTCCGCCAGTGGCAGGGACATCAAGCCCCACCGCTGCCGCAGCCGACGCCACCGTCGCGGCGGCCACTGTCACGCCCGACTCGCCCCAACCAGCAACCCCGGAGCTCGCAGCGTCCCCCCCGCTTGCGAGCCCCACTCATCCCGAAGTTGAAGTTGTTGAAGTGCAGGAGCAGCCAGGCCCTGGACGATGGGGGCCAGCGCTACCCCGAGCTCTGGTCGCTGAACGTGTCGCCGCGCGCCTTGGTGCCATTCCAGCACCACGCTGGGAACCTCCGCTGCCCCGAGAGCTGGTGGCCACCCGCATAGCTGCGCGTCTCGGTGAGGTTCCAGCGCCTCGCTGGGGCCCACCGCTGCCGCGCCGCATGGTGGCGTCTCGGATCGCCGCTCGCCTGCTCCCACCAGAGCCGACGGCTGACGGCGAGACCAAGGAGGACACCTCGGCGGACGGAGCCGACCTGACGGCCAGGGACGCAAACCAGGAGGACAACCCGGCGGCCGCACCCGACCGGACGGCGACAGCGGCGGCGATGGACGTGGACAGCGGCGCCGCCGGAGAGTGGCTGCTGCGCTTCGACGGCGCCTGCCGCGCCAACCCAGGACCCGGCGGAGCTGGTGCAGCGCTGTTCAAGCCCGACGGCTCCGTGGTGTGGACGTGCTCCCACTACATGCCGAGCAGCAGTGAAACGAACAACACTGCCGAGTACTCGGCGCTGCTGCTCGGGTCGAGAGCCGCTGCCGACCACGGAGCGACGTCGCTGAGGGTGGAAGGCGACAGCACCCTTGTGATCCAGCAGGTGCGCGGCATCTTCGCGGCGAGGAACGCCGTTCTACGCCGCCTCCGCGACCAAGTCAAGGTGGAGCTCGCGCGGGTGGGGAGCTTCTCACTCCACCACATCGACCGCCAAGCGAATGCCCATGCCGACCGCCTGGCCAACCGAGCCCTCGACCTCCGCCGGACGGTGATGGAGTGCGGCGCTCACACGGCAGGCGACGGCTGTACGAACACGACGCTGGACCCTATGCCCGTGCTGCCGCCCCAGCCGACACCCCGCACTCCGCCTCCGACACCCGCGGCCGACACCAACACCGAGATGCAGGAGCCGGAGGACGAGGATCTCGCCGACATCGACGACGGCGAGGTCTATGCAGCCATGCGCATCGGGCCGGACGCAGTTCCGCAGCATCGACCCCGCCTCCGACTACGCCAGCTCACCGAAGCTGAGGACGACGCTGCCCGCGAGATGGTGGAGCGGCTTGGCGCGACGCTGGCGGCCAAGATCACTGACGCCAGTGACTGGGAGTCGGCGGAGGGCTACATCACAGCCCTCCCGCACCTCCTGTACGACAAATTGCAGCCGTACTCCCAGGCCCAGCGACGCCCCGAGCCGCGTCCCCAGCGTCAGCGACAGCAGCACCAAGGCAGCCAGTGCCCGCGGCAGCAGCGGCAACAAGGCGACCAGCGACGGCAGCGCCCGCTGCACGACCAAGGGCAGGACCGCCGCAGCCTGGAAGGCGATGCACATGGAGACAACGAGCGCGATGGCGACGCCAGTCAGCAGGACCCAGCGCGACGGAGGCAGCGCAGGCGCCGCGGGCGCTCTGGTGCAGCGAAGCGGCGACGTCGCCACCGCCCGCCGCGGGTGACTCGACACCACCGCGAGCACCGCCTCGACGAGGCCTTGGACGACCTCCACGCCGTGGAGCAGGCTTCGCCCAGAGACCGCACTGCTGTTCGCCGAGCCCGCCGCCGCGTCGGCCGCGTCAACTCGGCCATCGACCAACGGCACCTGCGTCACCGGTTCGACACGGACGAGAAAGCCTGCGTCGAAGACATCCTGGCCAAGGCACGCGCGCAGCAGGAGACACCAAGGACAGCGGCCTCCAGCGCCGGCACCGCATCGGACCCAGCGGCGCCAGCGGCAGGCGCTACAGACGACGGTACCTGCCCCATTCCGGGCGATGAGCTCTGGCGGTACTTCGACGGCGTCAACACACCCAGCCAGGAGTTCGCTCCTGACGCCCCGGCGGGTGCTGCCTTCCGCTCCGCTATGACCCACCTGCCTGCCGCGTCGAGGTTCAGGGAGCTGCTCACGGAGGCACCGACACAGGACGATATCGAGTCACAGCTGCAGCACGCCCACGGCACCTCCAGCCCCGGCCTCGACGGCGTCGGCTATGACGTGTACCAGCACTTCGCCGCGCAGCTCCTGCCCGTGCTCGCCACCGCCTTCCAGAAGTGCTGGGAGGCGAAACGTGTGCCCCAGAGCTGGAAGCTCGGGGTGGTGCGGCTGCTGCACAAGAAGGGCGCGCGCGAGGACCCGGCGAACTGGAGGCCCATTTGCCTCCAGCAAGCCATCTACAAGCTCTACACGGGGGTCCTCGCGCGGCGGCTGGTACGGTGGCTGGACGCGAACGACCGCCACGCCCCGGGGCAGAAGGGCTTCCGAGCGGTCAACGGCTGCGGGGAGCACAACTTCCTCGCGGCCACGCTCGTCGACCAGGCCCGCCGCAAGCGCCGACAGCTCTACGAAGTCTGGTACGACTTCCGCAACGCGTTCGGCAGCGTGCCGTTCGCGCTGCTATGGGATGCACTCGCGCGGCTCGGCGTCCCCGAGGACTACGTCACCATGTGCAAGGGGCTCTACGAGAGCGCGGCGTTCGTCGTCGGGAACGCCGCCGACGGCACAACGGCCCCGATCTCGCTGCGGGTGGGAGTCTTCCAAGGCTGCCCGCTCAGCCCACAGCTCTTCAACGCTGACATCAGCCCGCTGCTCTTCGCGCTGAAGCGATTGCCGGCCACGGGCGCGCCGCTGTCGGGCGATGACTTCCCCGGTGCCTCGGCATACGCCGACGACCTCAAGATCTTCAGCGGCACCGAGGACGGCATCAAGCGACAGCACGCGCTCGTGGCCGACTTCCTCCGCTGGACCGGCATGGCGGCCAACCCCAGCAAGTGCTCCACCATGTCGATCCAGCGCGACCGCCGCGGCGTGCTCAAGGCGGACGACCTCAAGCTGGAGCTGGACGGGTCGCCGATCCCCGCGCTGTCCATGAGCGCCTCGTACACCTACCTGGGGGTCGGCGACGGCTTCGACCACACGCGCCGCCGCGTCGAGCTCGCGCCTATGCTCAAACAGCTGAAGGATGACGCGACAGCGCTGCTCCAGTCGGGCCTCGCACCGTGGCAGGTGGTGAAGGCGGTGAAGACGTACCTCTACCCTCGGGTGGAGTACGCGCTTCGCCACCTCCGCCCCTTCCAGCAGCAGCTTGCGGGCTTCGACCGGCACCTCGCGCGAGGCCTCCGCCATCTCCTGCGACTGCCAGCCTCCGCCACAGCGCAGTGCTTCTACGCACCGGTGTCGCGCGGCGGACTGGGCTTACTGCCGCTGACGGAACTGCACGCGGCGCTGCAAGTCGCGCATGGGTGGTAGATGCTGAACTCCAAGGACCCTGCCATCCAGCGCATCGCGCGCGTGCAGCCCCGGCAGATCGCCGACGCGCGCCACCGGCTGGACACTCAAGCGTGGGCGGGCCGCGAGGAGGAGCTGTGCGAGCTGCTGCTCAACTCGCAGCTCGGGACGTCGCCCAACGCGCCGCCGAAGCGCCGCAACGGCGACATCGGCTCGCTCTGGGTCGACGTCCAGCGCCACCTCCGCACGATCGGCCTCCAGTTCGCGACCGCGCCGGCGTGCACCGACACCGGCACGGCCGCGGCCACGCTGCAGCTTCGCGTGCCGCACCACGACAAGTGGCTCGACCACCGCACGGTCCTGCGGCACGTGAAGCTGCACATCAAGCACAGACACTGGACCAAGTGGGCGGCCATGCGCGACCAAGGCAGAACGGCACGCGCGCACGGCGGCGTCGGCAGCAGCTTCCTCACGCGGCCGCGAGGCATGTGGGAAGCTGACTATCGCTTCGCGGTGGCCGCCCGCTTGAACCAGCTCGACACGCACAGTGTACTCAAGCGCCGGCGCCTCCGGGCCCACCACCGATGCAGGCAGCCGGCAGAAAGACACAAACACCCTCCCTTTAGTGACATGCATATTTTAGCCTACATTTCAGTTACGGAGAGGTTACTAACTGGTAAACACGAACACACATTCTGTTCTAATCGGTGTGAAAACTGGTTTCCCTGCTTTTGGTGGGGTCTTTTTCACATTCATTTTTGGAACTACTGCTTTAGGTTAGCTTGCTAGCCAATCGCGGTACGGTCTCCGGGGGCTTTCACCCATCCCCCGCGAGGCCAACTACACTTGATCTTCTCCGTTTCCCCTACTCTTATTTTTGCATCAACTGTTAATATTGACATATTTCAGCCTATTGCTATATTTTATAATGTTATTGCTATATTTCGTAATTCTATCGCTATATTTCGTAATTCTAGTGCTATATTTCGTAATTCTATCGCTATATTTCGTAATGCTAGTGCTATATTTTATAATGCTATTGATAGGTTTGGCATTATCCACCGCAGCTTTTTGCAATTTAAAAGTTTCACTTATCCGACGTCACAACGGAACAGCTGGCACTGTTTAGGGTTGTGGACCTTCTCGGCCTTTGGCTAAGATCAAGTGTAGTATCTGTTCTAATCAGTGTGAAAACTGGTTTCCCTGCTTTTGGTGGGGTCTTTTTCACATTTATTTTTGGAACTGCTGCTTTCGGTTAGCTTGCTAGCCAATCGCGGTACGGTCTCCGGGGGCTTTCACCCATCCCTCGTGAGGCCAACTACATTTGATCTTTTCTATCCAGCTACCTTTTCGGCCCTTCACCACCGCATCGGCGCATGCGCTTCTGGTGGCCGGACTGGCAGCCCCGGGAGCGCTCGCCGTCCACCGACAGCGAGTGCTCCACGGCCAGCCACTCCAGCCTCGCCAGCGACGCGTCTTTCTATAGCGCGGCCAGCGATGGGGCTGGGGCGGCTGAGCTGGCGGACGTCCGGGCGGGGGCGGATCCGCTAGGGCTTCGGTTACGCATTGGGGATCCGCCCGCCCCCGTTTTGGGCTCGGCCGGAGCCGAAAATGGCCCCGGCGACCCTCCACGCGCGGCGCCGCTGCTCGGCACCGGCGAGGAGTTGGCCGGCGCAACTTCGGGCACGGGTCCGCGACCCGCTGCGCCCATTGCGCCCATTGCGGGACCGCGGGCCGGGCCCTCTGGCGGCCAAGACGAGGCCCGGTCCGCCGCTTCAACCTCGCGTCGCTTCGCGGCGACGGCGAGCGGACGCGGGCCCGCGGACCGTCCGCCGGGCGGGACCGGGCCCCGTCCACCTGGCCTCACTATGCCAGGATCCCGGGCCTCTCGTGCGCCGCGCGGCACGGTCGCCACGGCCGAAGAACACGGCCTCGAGCATGCGGCGCTTCGGCGAGGCGCGCGAAGCGACGGCTCCTGCGCAGCCCCCACGCCTGCTACGGACCCCCACGCGCGCCGTTTGGCTGCCCAAGACCCCGCCGCCGCCGCTCCGCCTCTCCTCGCGCCCCAGCTGCCCCCCAGTGATGTTGGCCGACCCGGCAGGGCGGCCGGCAGGCTGCCCGATTGGGTAGCGCCTGGGGCGGCGCCCACAGCCGCCACTGCGCGGGCCCTGGCGGTCCGCCACGGGCCCTGCGACCTGGACGACGACAGCAGCGAGGACGACGACGGCCTCGCCGGCCCTGCCGCCGCCGGCAGCGGCCCCCAAGACCCCAGCAGTGTGTTGCCCCGACCCGGCCCCCAAGACCCCAGCAGTGTGTTGCCCCGACCCGGCAGGGCGGGCGGCATGCTCGCCGAGGGTGGAGCCCAGGCGCCCCCAACACCAAGCCCAGCTGCGGCTGCCGCTGCCGCCGAAGTAGGAACAGCCGCAGCCGCAGCTGTCCAAGATGCAGCAGCTCCTGTTGTGCGCGCCACCGTGGGGCACCGCGCGCGCGCTACGCCGAACCCAGCACGCTACTATCAGCCACGCGCGCGCGCGGAGCCCATGACAGGCGACGCGCTCCGCCGGAGCAGACGCTGCAAGAACCATGGCCACGACGGAGGTGACCAAGAGGCCAAGACGGAGGAGAGCGATGCCACGGCGGCTAAACTCGCGGCCGTGCAAGCAGCACCGAGGACCCAGCCCCAGCACTTTGGACCGGACGACGGCCAGCAGGGCACGGTGCAGGCGACGTACGCGCACGACGCTGCCCAGTTCGAGTGCGCGTTGTGCGCGCACGTCGCCCCGAACCTCGCGACGCTGGTGGCGCACCGCCGAGCAGCACACCACGGCACCCGCTTCCAGGACGTCTTCTCCAGCGGGTGCCGATGCTCGCTCATCTTCTTCTCGCGGATCGTGGCTGCATGCCACACCCAAGCGTGTACCCAGCGCAACCCTCCAGCCGCGGCCGCCACCCCCGCGACGGCCCAAGCTTCGGAGGCAGCGGTGCCACCCCCGACACCTGTTGACCCCCCGACGCGGATCGGGGCTGCTGCGACCCCCACCAGCAGCCCCGCCGCAGCAAGGACTGCCGCTGCAGCAGCCGCACCACGCGGCACTGCGGTGGCAGACACCGCCACCCTGCAGAGCGCTGTGCCCGCCGCTCCCAAGACCCCTGGGCGCCAGCATGTCCCCCCCGTGCTGACCCCCACCCGATCTCGCCTGGTGCAGCAGGTTACAGGCAAGCGGCGCCGACTCAACCCGACCGCCAGCGCCGCCACCTTCTCCACACGGACGCCCGCGACGCTGCAGGGACCGCCGAACGGGAAGACGCCGCCGCCACCGGCGGAGACGACGACGGCGGTGGGTCCGCCCATGCTGGACCGCCATCCCGCCGACGGGACGCCACACCCGGACGTCGAGACGGCACCGGCACCGCAGCCGACGTCGGCGACCAAGGCACAGGCAACGCCGGCAACCACGGAGACGGCGATGATGACGACGGCAACCTCGAAGGCGGCGACGACAGCGACAGAGACGGCGACGCCGCTGCCGCCCGTGCTGGCCCGCCACCCCGCCGAGGTGGAGCCAGCACCTGACATCGAGATGGCGCCGCCGCCGTCGACCGCGGACGCGACGGAGACGACGACACCGCCCCCGACGGTGACAGCTGCAACGGCGACAGCGACGACAGCGCCTGAGGAGACGGAGACGACAGCGATCAAGGAGAAGGAGACGATGACGACGGCAGCGTCCACGGCGAAGACGCCGCCACCTCCAGCGAGACGAGCAACGCGCTGGGGCCCAAGACCTGGCACGAACGACACTGCCCAGGCTGTGAACGACGAGCACGCTGCTAACCCGGCAGCGCACCGGCCTCTGGGCTCCGCTGCACCGGTTACCGGTGCAACACGGTGGGGTCCACGTCACGGCGCGATCGGGGCAGCGGCTGTAGCTCGCCTGCTCACAGGCCTACCCACGGCACCAGCACCAGCTACGCGCCGGCCTGCTTCGGCTCGGCGCTGCCCAGACCCGCCCGCTCCCCCCGCGGCCACGACGACAGCCCCCGATGCGATGGACGTCGACGGAGGGCCGGCTATGCCCGAGCCGTGGGTGCTCCGCTTCGACGGCGCCTGCCGCCGGAACCCGGGACCTGGTGGAGCTGGTGCCGCCTTGTTCAAGCCGTGCGGGACCGTGGCGTGGACGTGCTCGCACTACATGCCAAACAGCAGCGAGACCAACAACACCGCTGAATACACGGCGCTGCTGCTTGGCGTGCAGAGTGCCGTCCACCACGGCGCCTCGCACCTGGAGATCGAAGGTGACAGCCACCTCGTCGTAGCGCAGGTCAAGGGCACCTTCGCCTGCAGGAACCCGCGCCTCCGCCAGCTGCGCAACCGCGTCCGCCACGCCCTCCGAGCCGTGACGTCCTTAACGCTCAAGCACATCGACCGGAAGGCGAACGCGCACGCGGACAGACTGGCAAACCGGGCGCTGGACCTGAAGCGTTCGCTGGCTGAGTGCGGCGAGCACCAAGGGGCGATGGAGAACTGCCTCCACATGAATCCTGCTGCACAACGCCAGCGCGAGCAACCCGCACCTCCTGCCCGCCCCGCGTGCGCACCCACGCGCGCCGAGTCTGCCAGCGATCATGACGAGGACATCGACGCAGAGATTGCCGCGCGCGACGGCGGCGAGGCGTTCCCCACGCTGCCTATCGGGCCCGGGACGGCTCCAGCGCGGCAGCCGCGCCTTCGACTGCGGCAGCTGACCGAAGACGAGCAGGAAGCGGCGGCGTCGGCCCTGCAGGCCATGGCGGAGGAGCTAGCGTGCAAGATCGAAGACGCAGACAGCTGGACCTCGGGCGATGGATACATCAGCGCCATCCCCAGTCGCATCCGGCAGGTGCTGCAGCCCTTCACAGCAGCCCAGCCCCACCCTCGGCCTCCACTGCAACAGCAGCGACAGCGACCGCCCCGAGTGACGCGCACTCAGCGCGAGCATCGACTCGACGAGGCCCTCGACGAGATGGCGGCGGTGCAGCAGGAGCGACCCACCAGCAGATCGGCCGTCCGCCGTGCGCGGCGCCGCGTCGGCCGGATCCGCGCCTCGATGCGCCAACAGCAGCTCCGCCACGACTTCGCTCGCAACGAGAGCAAGTGCGTCGAGGACATTCTGCGTGCTGCGTCGGCGGAGACCGCAGCGGAGGAGCACCCGGAGACGTGCCCCATCGACTCGGGCACGCTCCACGAGCACTTCACGGCGGTGAACTCGCCCCGCATCAACTTCCTACCAGATGAAGCTTGCGGGGCGTTGTTCCGCGAGGCGATGGCCGACGTCGGGACACCGCAGGAGCGGCGGAGCGCGCTCACGGACGAGCTGACGATGGACGAGGTGGAGGACCAGCTCATGCAAGCGGCCACGAACTCCAGCCCCGGCCACGACGGCGTGGGCTACGACATCTACAAGAAGTTCGCGGCGCAGCTGGTCCCCCTCCTCCACGCAGCCTTCCAGTCCTGTTGGCGCCACCACCGGGTGCCTGCCCTGTGGAAGGTGGGGTTCGTCCGCCTCATCCACAAGAAGGGCGACCCCAACGACCCAGCGAACTGGCGGCCGATCTGCCTGCAGACCGCGATCTACAAGCTCTACAGCGGTCTGCTGGCGCGTCGGCTGTCGGCGTACCTGGAGGCGAACGGGCTGCTGCTCATGGCGCAGAAGGGGTTCAGGGCGTACAATGGTTGCCACGAGCACAACTTCGTGGCAACCACGCTCCTGGACCAAACCCGACGCATGCGCCGCAGGCTGTACCAGGTCTGGTACGACCTGCGGAACGCGTTCGGGTCCGTTCACCAGGACATGCTGTGGTATGTGCTCCGCCTGCTCGGCGTCGAGCGTGCGTTCGTCGAGCGCTGCGACGACATCTACGAGGACTCCTACTTCGTCGTCGGCAACGCGGCCGACGGAGCGACGGAACCAGTGCGGCAGGAGGTGGGCGTGTACCAAGGCTGTCCGCTCAGCCCCCTCCTGTTCATTGCCGCGCTGGTGCCGTTGCTCCGAGCATTGGAGAAGCTCGACGGAGTGGGCGTCGCGTTGGCGGACGGGGTGCGGCCATGCACCACCGCCTACGCCGACGACCTCAAGGTGTTCAGCGACAGCGCGGCCGGCATCACGCGCTGCCACGCTGTCGTTGAGCAGTTCCTGGAGTGGACGGGGCTGCAGGCCAACCCAGGCAAGTGCGCCTTCCTGGCCGTGACACGCAACGCGCGCGGCAACCCCGCCCACGACAAGGACATGAAGCTGTCGCTCCACGACGAGGAGGTCTCAAGCATCAAGCTGCACGACAGCTACCGCTACCTCGGCGTGGGCGACGCCTTCGATCACGTGCGCCACCGTCTCCAGCTAGAGGCCAAGCTACAGCAGATCAAGCGGGAGGCGGTGGCGCTGATGCAGTCGGGGTTGGCGCCGTGGCAGGTGGTGAAGGCGCTCAAGACCTACGTCTACCCCAAGGTCGAGTACGCGCTCCGCCACCTCCGACCGCTCCAGTCCCAACTGCAGGGCTTCGACCGTGTGGTAGCCAAGGGCCTGCGGCACCTGCTACGCCTGCCCCGCTCGGCAACCAACGAGGTGCTCTACGCACCAACGTCGAGCGGGGGCTTGGGGCTCCAGCCGCTGGTGGAAATGCACCGCGCGCTGCAGATCGCCCATGCGTGGCAGATGCTGCACTCGAAGGACCCAGCGATCCGGGAAGTGGCGCGCGCACAGGTGTGCCAGGTGGCCCGCAAGCGTCACCGCCTCCGCGAAGAACACTGGCGGGGGCGTGACGACGAGCTCGTGCGGTGCTTCCTCAACTCCGAGCTCGCCGCCTCGCCCCACGCGGAGGCGCTGCGCCGCCACGGCGACATCGGGTCACTGTGGTCCGACGTGCAGCGGTGGCTGCGCATCTACCACCTCAGCCTGGTGGTGCAGGACGACCGCAACGGCCTGGACCCGCTCGGCCTCCGCGTGCCGCACCACGCCAAGTGGCTCGACCACAAGAGCGTGTTGCGGCACGTCAAGTTGCACCTCAAGATCCGCCACCAGACCCGGTGGAAGGGTCTGGCGGACCAGGGCAAGACGGTGCGGGCCCACGGCGGTGTCGGTGCCAAGTTCATGTCGACATGGGCGGGCCTGTCGGACGACGACTACCGCTTCGGCGTGAAGGCCCGCCTCAACCAGATCGACACGAACGCCGTGCTCAAGCGCAAGCGGCTGCGGTCGCACAAGACCTGCAGGGACCCGACCTGCTCCTCGGCCGAGACGCTGGCCCATGTCCTCAACCATTGCGAGTCCAACATGGACGCAATCCGCCAGCGTCATGACGACGCCTTGGAGCAGATCGGGTCCAAGATCCGCAACGCGCTCAAGCGCGGCAAGTCGACCGCGGAGCTGCGCCTGAACCAGACGGTACCCGAGTACACGGGCGCAGCTCTGCGGCCAGACATCGTACTGCGGATCGTGGCCGCCAAGAAGATGGTGATCGCCGACTTGGCGGTCACGTTCGAAGAGCACGCGGCCGGCGCCCGCCACTCCTCGCTGCAGCTCAGCCACGACCACAAGACACTCAAGTACCAACCGATCGTGGCGGAGCTGCAGCTCAAGGGGTGGCAGGTGCAGACCGCGGCGATCGTGTACGGGTCGCTGGGCTCGGTGCAGCCCAGCAACTTCAACACCTACACGGAAAAGTTGAAGCTGCACAAGCGCGAGGCTCGACAGCTGGACCTTCAGCTGTCGAGCCACTGCATCCGCGCCAGCCACCGCACCTGGGGCTGGTACTGCCGGCGCCACCGCGAAGGACAACGGAGCGGCAACGCCTCGCGAGCGCCGCGTGGGTCTGGGGGGGGCCCGCGGCGCACATCGCAGGCTCGGGCACGGCGGTAAGCTGGTCATTTGACCAACAGGGCACTACCCAGGTAGGGAACCGCCCTTCAAAAACCCAGGAAGACACAAACACCCTCCCTTTAGTGACATGCATATTTTAGCCTACATTTCAGTTACGGAGAGGTTACTAACTGGTAAACACGAACACACATTCTGTTCTAATCAGTGTGAAAACTGGTTTCCCTGCTTTTGGTGGGGTCTTTTTCACATTTTTTTTTGGAACTGCTGCTTTCGGTTAGCTTGCTAGCCAATCGCGGTACGGTCTCCGGGGGCTTTCACCCATCCCCCGCGAGGCCAACTACACTTGATCTTCTCCGTTTCCTCTACTCTTATTTTTGCATCAACTGTTAATATTGACATATTTCAGCCTATTGCTATATTTTATAATGTTATTGCTATATTTCGTAATTCTATCGCTATATTTCGTAATTCTAGTGCTATATTTCGTAATTCTATCGCTATATTTCGTAATGCTAGTGCTATATTTTATAATGCTATTGATAGGTTTGGCATTATCCACCGCAGCTTTTTGCAATTTAAAAGTTTCACTTATCCGACGTCACAACGGAACAGCTGGCACTGTTTAGGGTTGTGGACCTTCTCGGCCTTTGGCTAAAATCAAGTGTAGTATCTGTTCTAATCAGTGTGAAAACTGGTTTCCCTGCTTTTGGTGGGGTCTTTTTCACATTTATTTTTGGAACTGCTGCTTTCGGTTAGCTTGCTAGCCAATCGCGGTACGGTCTCCGGGGGCTTTCACCCATCCCTCGTGAGGCCAACTACATTTGATCTTTTCTATCCAGCTACCTTTTCGGCCCTTCACCACCGCATCGGCGCATGCGCTTCTGGTGACCGGACTGGCAGCCCCGGGAGCGCTCGCCGTCCACCGACAGCGAGTGCTCCACGGCCAGCCACTCCAGCCTCGCCAGCGACGCGTCTTTCTATAGCGCGGCCAGCGACGGGGCTGGGGCGGCTGAGCTGGCGGACGTCCGGGCGGGGGGCGGATCCGCTAGGGCTTTGGTTACGCATTGGGGATCCGCCCGCCCCCGTTTTGGGCTCGTCCGGAGCCGAAAATGGCCCCGGCGACCCTCCACGCGCGGCGCCGCTGCTCGGCACCGGCGAGGAGTTGGCCGGCGCAACTTCGGGCACGGGTCCGCGACCCGCTGCGCCCATTGCGCTATGCAGAGGCATGATGCATCATGGGCTCAAGCAAGCAACCAGTTGAAGTGGCTTCAGTTGAATCAATCTGGCGTTACTTGAACTGTGGCTCTCCATTCGGGTCAATCAAGTTGTATGTAAACGGTTTGTGATGATGTTCTCAGTTCTTCATTTCTGTTGTGCTTCAACTATGCTTCCTATCTACCACGGGTAGGCTTCCTCCACGTTGTCACGAAAAGTGTCTTCCTTGAACGGCACCGTGGCGCTGCCGAAGTCGTTGAGGTTAAGGGCCGTGCGAGCTGCGGCCGGCATGTCCTCCCACATGACCAAGTCTTGGAAGTCGCCGGCCTCGGTCGTGACGTTCACATAGTGGCTGAAGGTCTTCGCCTTGTACTGGAACTTGACGCTCGTCGCTTCCACCATGGCGGCGTCAGGGGGAGTGATCGTGAAGTACTTGCCGTCCGAGACCGACGCCGACACGGAGGATATGTTCGCATCTTCGGCGCCCCTTCTCGCAAGCCACACGATAGCGTGCTCCCAGCCATGGCAGTGGCCGAACGTGCCCTTGCGGTCTCTCGGGAAGTACCAGGCGTACATGATAGCGTACGAATCCTCGTAGGCCGTCACACAGCCGTAGACTTGGGAGCCGAGAGACGACCCTTTGCAGCTGAAGAGCGAGAGGCCAAGGTTGGTGTTTTCGTCCGCATCGACGGCCGGGTACGGATGGCACCCACTGTTGATGTTGAGTTGGGCTTGAACGTCAGCACGAGTGAGTATTCGGTGGTCGAGGCCTTCGTCTCAGGAAGCGGCACCACGCTGTCGTAGTCCAGCTCTTCGGTTGGATGAGGCCCAGAAGGCCCGCCCAACAGACAGCAAGACGCAGCAGGTTGATCGGCGCTGGTAAGTAAGTAGGAGTTGATCGGTTGTGGGATGAGCGACTAGTGCTCAGCAGAGCTCTACGCACGAGCCAAGGCGTGGGCTTCCCTGCCCAGTGTGCCCAGATGCTGGTGAGGCAGTGCTCCAGTATTGCCATTTTGTTGACGCGTTGATTGTTCCCCTGCAGCTCGAGCATGATTTGTAGAGTAACGCTACATCATGTAGCCTACATGTTCGTAGCCGTTTTTGCGCTATAAGGGCTACCAGTCCGTTCCAAATCTATTGATATGTACCACTATTTAGCTTGTTCCTAAACTATAGGAAAATACTAGTACTAGTTTCACTATGGCCAGAATCTGCAGATCGATCGAGTGGAGGCAGAAATGAGGCAGTAGTAACAGAGCACTTGATGCACCGTGGAAGTCGTCCCTCCCGCGCAAGCTTCGACTTCGACATGTGTCGAATCTTGAATGTGTTGTCACCACCAGCAGCAACACAATCGTTCATCACGCATTGGAGCGTCAAGAAGCCCGCGTCCAGTGTTGCCGGCGGCAGCTCGTCCAGCGCCACCTTCACGTTGGCCACCAGGTCGTCGAGGGTGTTTCACCTTGCAGAGATAGAAGAGTTTTTCATCCACGTGGACTACATCTTCCATGTCACTGAAATGATGCGTTGCTGCACTTACGTGCCCCACACTAAATGCAATCCTCGACTTCTTGTTGTCGTCCGACAGCATGGGCTTGGCAACGGACGTCTCCACACGGAGCTTCCCGATGCTCACCTGTCGGAACAGCGTAGTTGGTGGGAGGAAACAGGCTTGGGCGGCTGCACGGATGGTGCTCCGGCGCTGTGGATCGACCGCGCGGAGGCGCTCCAGCTCGCGGGAGCGGTCGACACGTCTGCGCCCAGTGCTGCGCATTCTTGTGGGCGATGCGTACACCCCGGTGCGTTGAAAGTTGCCCAGGGCCCGGCGCCAGACACGGCTGATGGTCTGAGCGCTGACCGCGAATGTGTCTGCAGCAGCAGACAGCGCACCACGCGGTAGGGCGCCGACTGTCGCTCGGTTGAGGAGGGCCGACACCACGAGGGCACGTTCCGCGTCCGAAAGGTGCTTGGTCTTGGGGTCTTGTTGGGGTGCGACATCGAGTAGCTTGTTGGGTTTGGTAGGTGGGTGCTTGGTCGGGGGGGGGGGCGAAATCGTTAATGGCAGTGGTGGCTTCTTCATCGATGAAAGCATCATTGGAGCTTAAGCGCTTCCCCTGGCGCCAATTTTTCGAGCTGTGCGGAGCTCTGCACACCAGTCAAACCGCTATGAGCAGGCGGTTGCATTACTACCAATCACACGGGCATACAACTATTTTTAACCAATTGCGAGCCAAACGTGCTCAAACCTCCAGTAGATCTGGAACGGACTGGTAAGAAGAAGAAGCTATTCCAACGCCTCGAAAAGCTCGTCGGGAAGAATGGACCTGTTTTGCAGAAATAGAGAGCTATCATTGGTCAAAAGGGATATTCATGTGGTTTGCATGGGAAAGGCACATCGCAGTAGTGCACCTACAGATGACCACGGAAAAATACGCCAGCGCTGACCATCATCCTCCATAGTAAGCCGGAGGGTATTAAAAAATACGCCACTCACGCTGATTGGCCGAAAGTATTCTTTGCACTCTATAAAAGGGCCGATTATGTATAGAAGGACGAGAGATCGCAAAAGAAAGTCCATATTGTTTGTAGCTCGACAGCTTTAAAAGCTGCGGAGAAGCAGTTTTATTAAACAAAACCTATTGTTTCATTCTGCAATAACGATCAATATACTTGACGGGTTCTTGTGCGCTTTCTCAGTGCTCAGGCTAGTCTATGCTTAAAAAGAACCAATTCTGGCATACAATAATAGCAACATTGACCGAGCGTTAGTCTGATGGTAACTTAGTGCCTTAGGTATAAACAAACGTATGCTTAGATGCAAATTCCCACATCGATGAGGTGTTTATAGGCTCGCAGAGCTACTCCAACCATTATTTCTGCAAATTTTATGGATTTTAGGAGAACCTCATTGGCTATAAATACACGAGACTATTTGTATCGGATCGGTCATCTGGATTTGTCGCATGGCGTATTTTTTGGTGGAGCGTATTTTTCCGTCGTTATCTGTATGCCATCTCCTGCATGATCTAGCACATATAGTACTAGTACGGATTAGCATCCTTTTGGCACTTTTAGAAAGTGCCATTTCGGAGCCAAACCGGCTTCGAAACACGACTTGAGCATCTTGCATTCAAAGCCTCTTTGATTTACCACTAAGTACGAACACTAAGTAGTGCATTAAATAGGAGGGCAAACTGGATGCAAAGCACAATACTACAGCACAGCACATTTATGTGGAAAACTTTTTTATTTTTTATTTTAAAAATACCCCAAGTGCGGCAAGGACAGCGTCGTCAAATCTCTGGTCTATATGCATACTCATATGTGTTATCCAGCTCTTTTCTATCTCTTCATTATAAAGTTCATAAAGCAGATGAATGGCTCCGCGGTCCACTGAAGCTTATGGCCCGCAGTCATGCCTCTGCGGAGTGATTATATCCACACACGTGTGTGGAACGTATGTGGCTTCGTATGTGGTGCATTTGTGGTTGCAGTTTTCATATGGCGGTAATATTAATAGGAGATTGCGCACGGTACGGCTATCTTGTTTCCTAAGCGTAATTACCCGCGAGAAGAAGCAGCACTGCAGCGCCTCGGCGAACTTGAGGCTGCGTCCAACGGATCTGGGGCTGCTGTTTTCAACGAGACGTTGGCGGTTTGGTGCGGTGGCTTACGTAGCTGATGTCTCCGCTGGTAAATATGCAGTGAGGCGATACTCGGAGCTTGTAGAACCCAAGTGATATAGCGCAGCTTTACTAGAACGTCCCGTCGAGACGTGTATGACAAGTGGTGGTGTAGCGCCGTCGACACTGACCCATTGATACCTATAACCCGTGGTAACCGGTTGGTGGTTATTGTCAACTAACTGCCTATCCAGAGTTAGTGTCGAGACCTGGTGGCTATTGCCGCTGGATGTTGTTTTTGTTTGTTTTGAATTGAGGTACATTAGTTCTTCCTAACGACTACAACGACCTGTCCCGCAGATAGTAACGCTTCATCTACAGGTTGGGGCTCCTACTTTGCGTATCGCCTCTGTCGCGTCTTCCTTAATCGGCGTCTGCGTCAGGCTCTTCAGCCTCTCCAGCGAAATATGCATCCCGCCAATGACTGAGGTCACCGTCTAAAAGGCGAGTGACTTCTGCTCAGCGGGGGGGGGGGGCGGGTTGGTTGGTCCGAGCGGACCCTGTCTGCTATCTCTCTGCATTGCGAGCTATTGTCGCTGGAGTTGGTGTCAGGTCGATAACCACGTCCGTAAGCAGCGCTAGGAGGATAAGTAGGAGGCAGAGGTCTAAGCTAGAACAGGGCACCGCTCTTGCCGCGACCAGCACCACGCGTCAAACCACTGGGATGCATGTCTAGTACGGCTCCAATGTCGTGCAAGATAGTCGATATCGTTCCTGTACATGCATGACCCGAACGACTTCCGCTTTCTATCGCTTGAGGACAGCCTCGTTAACAGGGGGAGGAGACGGTAATGCTATTGCTCTACGATATCTGACCCGTGTCGGTCGTGGCCAGGAGTGGGTCAGACATCATGCTTTGAGTCGCTCGTCCATCCTTGAGCGTGCACCCAACGTCAAGGCATCACGAAGCTTCGACACGTATAAGCATGAGAAGACATGTAATATGTTAAAGTTCAGAAGTGCTACATATATGATAACTGAGAGGTGGAGCCGCGGAGCAGTTCCTTGACGTACTCACCGATAAGGCGACCAAGAGCATCAACACGGCTGGCCACGGATACCCGGGTGTGAATTCGAATGCGCAGATGAGCACGCTCATCCACTCGATAAAGCATCCTCAGCTGTGGGTGTACCTAACTAACTGTTTTGAATCTTAAAAATGCTCTTTGGGAGCTACTGTTTGGGCGTCGATCTTCACGAGCATCAGCTAAGCCTATTGGCGGGTGCTGACCTTTTAGCTAATCTAGCTGTCGCAGCGCCTTCTGGCACTTAACCCAACGAAATCAGCTCTTGGAACCATAAACCGTAGACTAGTGTGAAAGCAAGTGAACGCGTTTTGCAGCGTACTGCAACTTTTAAGCTAGACGTTACCAATCTACGGTATTTTTCATTGTGAAACCACCTTCGCCATACTCACTGTTGTCGGCTGTCGATCAGTTGAATGTAGTGGCGGGTAAAAGTTGTGTAGGCGTGGAGCCTACACCTCCAGTGATGATCTATTCGATGTAGTTGTACGATTTACGCTGCGTTCTTGGCGCGCTGTGTATGTCGTGCCGTGTGCAGTTAAATCGTTGAAGTTGCTTAAGTTGCTGGTGAGTTGCCCCACAAAAATCAACATGTGGTTTATTTTTGGGAGAGAGGAATAGCTTTGGCAGTTCACACTGATACACAACGACATCGATGGAGCGGGGCCTGGCGGCCGGTGGTGGCGGCGGTGGCGGCGCCGGGAGTTGGCGTCGCCCTGGTTTAGTTGCAACGGAGGGTGGTGCAGCAGAGGGTGGCGCAAGAATCCGCGGAGGTGGGACAGATGAGCATGACGATACAACAGGCACAGGTACGCACGGAGAGTCGGTGTCTCGACGGATGGAGCGCACAACATTTCTTTGTTGGGACGACTTCGAGGCAGCTTTAGGGGAGTATTGTGAGAGTACTTACCAGATGTACAAGTACGTTCGCGACGTTGAGTTATCATTCCCTGTGAGGTCTAGTCAAACTTACCTTTATTCAATGTTCTTTTTACAGGAAAAGGAGTTCAGTCTCTATTGAGTACTTTAATAAATCAAGACAAGAAGACGCGCAGTACAGCAGCGAGTTTGGTCGGTTTTACTCCGTCTTGTTTATCTGTACGCACGGGTGGAAGGACCTCAACCAATGTATACAAGGCTTACCTGTAGTGCATGATTATATACTGTGGCTAAGTTTTTTTTCTTTGGGAAAAGGAACGATACCTGTTCCGCACTTGCGCGGGACAGCATGTGAAGCAAGCTTGTCTGTGACTCTCACGAAAGTGTTAAACAAGATGACTCGAAGGTGAGAATACTGCTACCGAGTGAATCAATCGGAACCTATTCATACACATCCTGTGAACGAGACGATATGGCGAATGTATGCTGAAAACCGGCGCGTGAAAGACCCAGTCGTCTTGTCAATGGTTCAACAGCTATTAAAAGCTAAATCGCCATTTAAACAGATTTATCAGTACGCCCTCAAGTCCTCAGGTACTGTAGCTTCACATATTATCGAAACCATACAGCGATCAAAACTAACCTTCCCACATTCAAAGGCAAGGACGTGATCCGGCAAGATGTGCGCAACATGATAAACGAGATTACAAAAGAGTACAAGGCAGACGCTGTTGAAGTTCGAGTTGCCCGTATCTTGAATGACTTCAGGGAGAGCGATGCGGGCAATACATCCCAGCTTTTCGTGGATGACGGTGGAATTGCGCGGTGCTTAACGCTGCAGACCTCGGGTATGCGACGTCTGTTCCATCTTTTTCCAGAAATACTGCTGGTTGATACCACGCACAAAACGAATGACCTGAAGTACAAACTATCAAGGTCCTCGAAGACAAATTTTCCCGAGCTCGTGTATTAATCTGCCACTTCCATGTCCTCAAATACTTTCGGACCGTTACAGGTTCGTAAAGCTCTAGTAGTTGTGAAAGTAGTTGTAGTTGCCACATTTCAAGGCTCATATCAATAATTGTATGTGCAGCGAATGCGAAATACGGCCTCAATCATCAAAGACAGAGTGAAGTCTTAATAGCAGTTCAAGACATGGTATACGCCAAGGATGAAGATACGTACGTCGAAGCTCGTGATTCGATGTTATCCATGGTTCGAGCTATTCCAAAGCACGAATGGCCGGCCGCATTTTCGCGGAAGAAGAAAAAACAAGTTCATCTAAACAAGCGTCACGCAAAACCGAAAACTCACAAGTGCAAAGACAGACTGTGAAGGATGATGGACAGACTGTGAAGGGTGATGATGGCGTTCACCCGTTTGAGGCCTACTTCATAGCAAATTGGGACGAATGCAAGAAACGCTGGGTGACTTGTTACCGCAATGATTGCCCGCACCTGGGAAATCACACTAACAACCGCTTGGAGTCCGGCTGGGGAAAGTTAAAGCCTGAGTTAAACATGCAGATGCCGCTGGATGAGAGTATCTCTACGGTACTCACTATACAGCTTCTCAAAGAGAAAGAATTATCCCGGCAAATGGCTGTAAGTAACCTTTAGTATTATGGCAACAATATCATGAATGCATCTAAAGTTGTACTTGAATAGGACATCGGGACTGTCGTGAACAGATCTTACGACAGTGAAATGTTGAACGTGCTACGCATTGCGTCCCAGCATGCCGCAGAACTTATTCAAGAGCAATATCTACACGCAATAAAGGTGAGTCATATTTACTACACGACCATATCACTTTGAACCAGATCTAACAAAGCAATCAGCATTCGACACAAGTCGATTTCATAGAAGATCGTCCAGGTCATTACCTTGTGTCGCGAGATAGTGCCGGGGAATACAAGTACGCACTTGATGCCATCAGCTGGACGTGTTCCTGCTTGTTTTCGAGAACGCGATTACAACCGTGCTATCACGCAATGTATTTAAGAAGACAGGTAGCCTCTACATTTACAATCTTCACGTTTGAACGATAGCTAATAAGTTGTTGTGTTACTAGACGCTGCCAAACCAGAGAGTCATCCCGCTAAACAGTATTCATAAGCGGTGGTTATTACGGTCTGATGCATCGATATCCATTGACGTTCCTCAAGCTCGACTCCCCTTTGTCACGCGGATTAGCACCAGGCAAAAGGCTCTTATTGAACAAGAAAAGTTTAGTAGACTGTCCGTATTGCAAGCGCGACTTACGGAAGCTGTGGTGGCTCATGGCACCCGTCATTTCGAAAGTATTTTTCGCACATTGGAGCAGTTTGTCGACCTGGTTGTAGATGGACATATACCGCAGTTAGCGACGCCACCTGAAAAGGGCCTCCCCCCACGGTACGATGAATTCGGGCGCATCTACCCCCACGAAACGCGGTGCAATTGTCACAGGGCCCCAAGTGCAACATTCAGGTATAAAGCGGGCCAGGTCGGACTTATTGAAGCCAAATGGAGTTGTTGTGTCGAGCAAGAAAGATTTAAATCTTACTCCGAGTATGTTCAGCGCCGCTGACTTCACATTTACCAAAAACGATCACGTGTCGGGGCGAGTCCGTTCGACGAAGGCAACCCGTGCGTGGTACCCGAAAAAATCGAAAAAACAAAAAGGCAAGTCGGATCGCACAAGTAGCGCCGCTGAATATGGAGACAGCGAAGAAGATGACAGTGATAATCTCGTGGATGACAATGCACAGTTGAGCGCTGCTTCGCATCAAGAGGCAGGCGTGTTGAGTCAGCACCGCGATCATGCAGAAGAGATTACTTCGCTTGCCAGCATTATTGACCTTCGCTACGACTACTTCAGTATTGATCTCTCTCTACGAAAAATGTTTTCGTTTGAAATGGTTTCAACTTTGGGTAAAAAATCGATCGTTGCTTTTAGTGCAAAGTATACACGGCAAACGGCCAATGAATCTACGATTTGTATTCGACAAAGAGATTGTGGATACAGCCTACGATAACATAATTATGTTGGAGGCGGCGATGATTGAGAAATGCGATGCAAGCCACGTCAACGGGGAAATTTTTCATGACGTAGATGTGGATGGAGAAGGCATTGATAATATTTGTGTGAAGGCTGGGAATGCTGGAGATTGCTTCCACTCTTCCACTCTTCCGCTATTACAGCAATGCGAATGTTCCACCAGCGCCTTCAATATCTAGCAGCAGCTTCCTCATGCTTGAATTGGTTTCAAAGTCATGCCGACGAGATTCAGATTAATCAAGAAGTCGTGCAAAACTTTGTGGATGTACTCCGAACAACGTCCGTGTTCAGCCGCCTAGCGCTTGGCAATCATGTGAGTACAAAATTTTAACTTTAAATGTCCATGTTGATACTAAACTGCCATTGTAACATGTAGGAGGCGTTTTTCTATGATCTGTTTGCCTTTATGGACGGCAACTGGATGAACGACTTGTGCATCAAGATGGCGCTCCATGTTTCTCTTGGATACCGCAAAGACACTTGTTTTATCGACACATCCTTCTTCGGTTATACGAAACCAGAGCACGCGTTGTTGCATGATGCATTTGCTACATCTTTCCAAGGTGTCTCCCGGTTTTTGGTTCTTCCGATTTGTTTCGATAACTTCCACTGGTGCATGGTACTGGTCGACCGACGCTGCAGAACGATTTATCAGTTTGATCCTCTCCACCTGCAGTACTACTACGATCGACTTGATCAAATTTGCCGATCGTACTTAAAAGTGGGCCTTAGAAGCGAGTATGATTCGTACAAACAAGAGCGAATTATTGACCTGCACCAGACCGACGACTACAATTGCGGAATTTTCATTGTTCTGTTCGCAATGAAGCACATCAAGCAAATACCCATTCCGACCACTACAAATGCAAATTTGAATTCGCTCCGACCAACACTCTTCATGGAAGTGCTCCGCTCGTCTCACCCTGCTTTTAGCATTAGCTGAATCGATTCCGAATAGGTAAAAACAATGATTAATGAAGTAGATTTGCTTTGCTTAAGTCGCTCTACAACTACGTCAAATTCACACCACACAGCTACTCAAGGCGGCCATGCAGACTGTATTGCTGTGGTTAGTTTCTTGTATGATTTATCCACAGGCTTTACCTGGTCACGGCCGTGTACCTTAACTTGGTCGCTGGCCGTGTGACCAATTTCAATGCATACTTATGATGTAGACGGAGATGTTCTCGGGTTGTCACAGGTACGAAGTACTTAAGGCATTAAGAGGAACATTGTCAGACTGCATTAGGTTGAGAAACACAGCGTCACCGGTCAGCATTTAGAACACCGATGGGGATCTCACCGGGACGTGCATTCAGTAAAAAAATGATTGTGCTTGCCTTTGTTGGTGATACTCTAAACAGGCTTTACGGTCGAGGCATGTAGCTATGACAAACAAAACGTTATCCCGTTTAGACAAATGACCAACCAATCTGTTTCAAAGTGTGGCGAGTGTGTGGCAATTCGAACCACAAACACACCACATATTGGTTTTTCTATGTGCACTCTGTGTTCGTCCATATCGCGGCCGTTCCGACATCCCTACATATTCCGACAACTAGGAAGTTTGTCAAAGCCAGGGCAAAATCGGAATTAATGTAAAATCGGAAATTAGATCATGTCTACGGTAGAGTAGGTCTAGGGGGCCACTTGACCGATTCCAGTCAGCTTTCATGCGGTGCTCACAGCCGCGAGGAAATCGCCTCTAGAGGCCTCTGGTGTAACGGGGTTACACGCACAAGTGGCTACAGTCACTTGTAACTCTAACAGACACGACGTCTGTTAGAGGTTCGAAAGACTTTCTCGTCCTGAGAGCAGCATCTCTTAGCCAATGAGCGACATGCATAGCATTGGAATTCTGCCAACCAGCCGTTGGCAGATTCCTATCTTAGAATATTACATTTAGAGGAAGTCAGAAACATAAAACAAAATTAGCAGTTCTCATCTTTTACCAAAACCCGCTACTTGGAGTCTTTATCTTGTTTAAAGTATACTCGTGGATCTCGAGTATACTTCACTCAAGTAAAAGAAACCTACGCTTCCTCATACACGTGCGCATACGTGTAAGCCGTAGTAGTGAGCCAAGGTAGGCCCACTACATCTGGGACGAGAAGATCGACATTTTGTGTATTGGCGCATTTTTGCCCCGGAGCAATGTGCACAGGAGCCGGCAAATTCATTAGTGAGGCCGGCACCCAGGTAGAGGGGCCACAATTAGAAGCAGTCCGGCGGTAGCTATCCCCCCACGGCATATCATTGGCTAATTCATTGGCCAATCAGGGTCTTTAAGCAATAAAGAGTGTTGATTGGTACAGCCTTCAGCCAATCAGCATTCGCCGCCTGTCCCAACGAAAATTTGGTGGCTGCCAGTCGCCGACACACGGCGCGCGCCCTCAGTCTGTTTTTTTTCAGAGCTCGGAATCAAGCCTCCGGACCAAGATTCAGCCCCGTCAGCCTCGACAGCATCGCCGGCCAGCCAATCAGCCAGTCGCAGCCCCCCCCCCCTCCCCCCGCCTCCCTCCCCTGGGCACCAACACTGTAGCTCAATGGATAGAGCGCAGGGCTTCGGCCCTGAGGTGCCTGTTCAATTCAGGCCGGTGTTATCGATCAAGATTGGCGTTGGGGTTGCGTCGTGCGGTGACTCGGTGCTGCCGTTCCGTGTCTCCGACTGCTGCTGCGTCGTGCTGCTACCGCACCGGGCTTGCGACGGCTGCTCGTCCTGCGTGACCCTTCTTCTGTGCCTCACTGCTGCGGCGTGCCTCGGCTGCTGTTCCTCCTGTGTGCGTGGTTGGCGAGGCGTGCGTGCGTGTTGTGCCGGTAGTGCTGGTGCATGAATGCGTTTGTGAAGTAGCGGTGTTATCTAACCTTCTTAGACGTGACCTACAGTGGCTAAGACGGCTTGTGTCTCTGTAGGCGCAGGATCAACGATTCTACGGACAGCGCGTAGCGTCTTGTATGCGGCAATGCGCTCGTCCAAGACGCCATTCTTGTGGAGTGGGCGCAGCGCACGCAAGACGCTTCCAGCTCCCTTGGCGTTGACGTTGCGCGACTTCAGGAAGACAAGCACGGCTTTCTCAGCCCGACGGCCAGCGTCCAGGACTTGATCCTTGTAGTGCGGCGCCTTGGGGTCAAGCGTGAAGCCTTCGCTCAAGAAGAGCTTCATGAACGCCGTGACGTGGCGAAACTCGGACTTCTTCTGGCGGTCGGCGGAGTCCCAGACGCGTGGCACCCGCGTGTACCATTCGAACCACGCGCTGGACAGGTTGGTCGTTGCTTTCTTTCTGCGCTTGGGTTTTGGCTCTTGATCCGACGTATTTTGTGTCTGTGGCTCCTCATCGGGTACTTGTTTTCGCTTACACTTTAGTTGCGCAGCCTCCACGATTGTAAGACGCGCGGAGAGGGCTCGGTTCGAGGCGATAAGCTCATCAATGACAGCTAGAAGGTGATGATGGACTTGGCATGAGTGCGTCTTGGATTCGTGTGCTTGTTCTGCAACAGGTTCAGCAGGTGAAGCTTGTTCGTTGAGCGCCACCGACAATGCGAGCACGTCAGCTGTCGAGATCCCCGCGGAGGCCAAGCACTCTTCCACGCGCTCAACAATCGGGGCATCCGGAGCCAGCGCCTTTAGCTGCGGGTAGTAGCGGACCGGGTATGCCGTGAGGACGGTGAGGACCTTGCTGCTTACGTTGAGGCTGTGTTTCTTGAGTCCAGTACAGGTGCTGAACAGGAATTCGCGCAAGGATGACAGACGCTCTTGAGCTCCATGATCCAGCGCCGCAGCATCAAGGACAACAGGAGCTGCGTCGGCCTCCCAACCGCTCAGTACTCGCGCAATCTTCCGGTCTTCCCGCGGCGTGTTGTACACGTAGGCGAACCCTTTGTTGACCTTGCTCATGTCCCATGCACCGCGGTCGAAGATTCACTGAGCGGCAAGGCGATCGTCTCCGTTAGCGTGCTGAGCGCCGCCGTGTCGGAAGGAGTGGGAAGTCAAGTCGGTCGTGGCTCCCCGGGCTCGGCAACGCGCTTGAGGAGGCGGTTGACATACGCCTGAACACCGTCTTCATCGCGCGTCTTCTCCCCAGCGCTGGCCTTCGATGTACTACTCACTTGTGCTTCTGTGCTTGCAGGTTGGGGACTTGAGTTGCAGCTTGGTACGGGACTTGGCGCGGGAACGGGAGCGGCGACATCAGGCGAGGGTGGCATCAGGGCGACCCTGAGCGTAGCTGGCTCTTCTTCTAGCAAGGCCTGCAGTGGCACACCAGGGTCTAGCGGCTCCTCGCTCGTCGCAACAAGCTCAGGGAGCTGGCTTAACAGAGTCGCGCAGGGCGCGGCCTGTATGACGAGAGCTACCGCGAACGAGTGAAGCGGGCATGTCAGGAAGTCCTCCTTGTCAGGTATGAGCGTTAACCCTTGTTCTTCAGCCGTTTTAACGCGGAGGAGCCGCAAGTAGAAGCCGCCGTCCGCTGACACTGACACATGTTGCTTGCGCAGGTAGCCTAGGTCCGACGAGCGGCCGAAGCAGTGCCACATGAGGCAGGCTAGCGCAGCATCTTGGTAGTCCGAGTTGACACGTGCTGTGCTGTAGACATAGCGAATTGCAGAACCTAAGGCCTCTTTAGTACATGGTGGCGCTCTGTTAACGAGTCCTCCTTTCTCACGTTTTAAGCAGTGCTTATCTAGAGTTTTCTCTTGTTTTAACAAGTTCATCTCCGTGGGTAAACGCAGGTGTGGAAACTCATCAAATAGCCACAGCTTGACGTTTCTATAGTACGATGTAGCTGTGTTACGAGCTAACTTACCTTTCTTACCGTCATTAGTGGCGAGATAATAGCCGAAGCGGTCCATTGTGGCAGCCAAGCGTTTGCCCGAGGGGTCTGTATGTATGCTTGCACGAAACAATTCCATGCTCACACCCTCGACCTCTAGCATTCTCTCGAACGCGTTAATCGCCGTCGTTCGCGCCTTTTGGGTGTTTGTAGGCACAAACACAGAGAGGCTCATGATGGCCGCGAGGACACTTTCGTTATACAATATTGACACTGGTGGCTGTCCACCGGTGTCTCGCTACCTAGAATAAGTTATGCCTACAGTAGGAATTTGCCTAGTTGTCTGAATCGCCAAAATATTTTGAAAATATTTTTTGTACTGGGTTTCAGTATGATTATATACATATTCAGCCTAGGATTCCGACAAATATATGTAGGGAAGTGTCAGAAAGGATTTCCCTACCCCTAGTTGATTTTATTGGCTGAAATTACTCCAAGTCAGAATATGATAAGCTGTTATTTCTATATAGACGACCATGAAACAATCCTGGTCTCTTATCTGTCGGAAAGACCACTATATTCATCCATGCCTCTGCGGCTACAGCCAGTGAGATCTGCCCGCTTTTATAGCTCCAGCAACTTTGAGAATCCCTTTTAGCTAACTAAACTCTATATATAATACATCACCTGCAAAATGAAACATGAAACGTTGAGAATTCCGAGTGTTGATGTTGGCCAGTACATGTATGACCGCCAATACATGTATGAACGCTACAAGCGGATTCCAGAACCACGCGTGCATTAAACACTCCCGCGCTGTGAACAGGAATACAGGGAGCAATGGACCACGATCTGACCGTAACTCCAAACCGTATGTTGCTTCCCGAGTTTGAGTACATATTAATACGAGGCCAGTTCAATCAACGTCACAATCGAGTTTTTAAAGTGATCTTCAACGACCTTCACTCTGCTTTCGCGGCCTGAGCACCATGAAGCGCGCAAGCAGTGACAGTGATCATGACCTTCTCGCAGCGGCGCCCAGCAACGATGAGGACGCCAACGAATGCGAAGAAGACGAAGGAGAAGACTTAGCAGCAACCCACTTTAGCGTTCAGACAGTCTACCAACCAACTGCGAGCCTTTCGAGAAACGTAATCTGTAGATGGATGGCTTACGCGGAGGTTCTCGCTCGAGATTTGGATTTACTACAGAACTGCATCCGCAGTGTGCACCACACGAACCAGCGGAGCCATTCCTGAATTGACTCTCCAGCGCTAACACCCTCAAGACTCACGCTTTGCATTTCGGGTCGCCTCGAACGTGTTGGAGAGCGTGGATGTTTCATAAGAGGTTCTCAATTTCGGAACTACATACAGTACTTGAGAATAGGCTTACAGTAAACGAACTGCTAGGAAAAACCGTAGGTGCATGAAACACGTATGCACTGGGAACAGGAATGCATGAAAGAAAGAACCTCAGTCTGACCGTAACCCGAACCGTATGATGCGATTTGTATTTTAAAAAATACTTGGCCAGTTCAAACAACAGTCACAATTGACCGAAAGTCTTACGGATGCTCATCAACTTCAACGACATCCGCATCTACTTCACGGCGCGACAGCGACGTCAAGCCGACGTCAAGGCCCAACGCCAGCAGCACCAGCGCCCAGCAACGACGAGGGCGTCAACGATTGCGAAAGAAATGAAGAAGAAGACAACGGCGCCCAGACGGTATACAGTATTACCAATCTCAGCTAAGCTTGCATACCAACCAACGTGAGCCTTTCGAGATGTACGTAATCTGTGGGACTTTCCTGTTTCCGATGGCTTACGCGAAGACTCTCACTCGAGATTGACTTACTACAACTGGTTATTGTACAACCAGCGGAGCCATTCCTGAATTGACTCTCAAGCCCCTCCCCCCCCCCCCCCCCCCCCCTACACGCCCAGTCATGTGTCGGTATCTTCATTTCCAGAACCTCTCAGGCTTCTTTTCGCCGTGTTCAGCAGGTAGCGATCGATCTTGAGGGGCAAAACCAAGATTCTTGATCTTTAGCATAGGGGCGTTGGCCAACTTGGAAGTGGCGGCATTGCTGTTGGGCACGAGTAGGAGAATGATCAGAGTGATGAGTAGACTGCATACCAGCAAACGACTTGCCAGAGCGTTCCCCTGAAGATGCTGAAGAGAAGGTGGGGTTTACCAGCCAGACCGCCGAGCGTGTCAAGGCTGCCTTCGTAAAGATTAAGGCAAGACTGTCTAATGCAGTATATGACGCACTCGAATCCATACTGCCCCGCTTGTATCGGATTATGGACAAGAAGGGAGTAACCCCGGGAAACTTGTGAGCCAGAGCGAAGGGTGACAAACTGGTGGACGACTACGCGGCTTGGTTGGAGGCGACCCGGAATGCAGAGCGTGCGTCTGAAGGGCAATTCGAGCGTCACGACAGAAGAAAAGCAGGCACAAGGATGTTTCAATAAGAGTCAATCAATTTTGGGACTCTTTTACTTGAGGCTATCCTATCTGTAGTGGTGATGTTTCATGTGTAGTCCTCGGTGAAGTCACTTCGTGTAAGCTTCGGCAGAGAGAACATGAGGGGTGATCAAGGTGTGTATGCCGTATGGGGCGACCAAAATTATGCCCGTAGTTTGCAGATAACGAAAATTTCGCCACCATTTATCGCTTACATGTATGATCGACCTGTAGAACCTACCCCGGCGATGTTCTAGTACTAAGTACTTAGTAGAAAATTGCATTCACGCCAGAAAATTGCATTCACGCCGATGATGGCAATGTATGGCCGTCATATACCCATATCCCCTACATAGTGATATATATAGTAAAGAAACTAGATGTCGATCCTTCCTGATATTCTTCTGTAAAGGTTTTGCTACTGTGGAGCCACAAATTTCCCACGAAATAGATTTTTTTCATACTTTATGCCACCTCTACTATCGTATATCGTAATTGAGAGATACTCTATTTACAATTGAGAGGTAACGCAATTTTTTGCTGCTTCAGCACTTCCACTCCACTGGTCCACAAGTCAATAGACCACGTCAGTGTCATTCACCCCACCCCAGCAGCATAATGGCGGTAAGGCCTCCCCACCCAATGCTCAATAGCTGCCTGCCTACGTTCCACCCAACTGACCCCGTTGCGTCTCGCTCTCTCTACCCCCAGACCACCCACGACCCCAAGCGCGTGATCTACCTGGAGGACGACGCCACGTACGACAAGGCGCAGTTCCTCGTGCCGCACCACTACCTGGACTCGATCGACTCGGTGCTCATCCCCAAGGGCCTGATCGAGGACCGCGTGGAGAAGCTGGCGCAGGATATCCGCTACGCGTACGAGGGCAAGACGGTGCACCTGCTGTGCGTGCTCAAGGGCGGCAGCGCCTTCTTCCACGCGCTCGTGGACAAGCTGCGGCTCTTCCACAAGTACAACAAGTGCGACTACGTGCCCTTCACGTTCGACTTCATCCGCGTCAAGAGCTACGAGGGCACCAAGAGCACGGGCAACGTGCAGGTCTCGGGCGCCGACCTGGCCAAGTTCAAGGGCAAGAACCTGCTGCTGGTCGAGGACATCATCGACACGGGCAAGACCATGGCCAAGCTCGTGCCCATGCTGCACGAGTACGCGCCCGAGTCGGTGCGCGTGGCCAGCCTGCTGGAGAAGCGCAACCCGGAGAGCTGCGGCTTCCAGGCCGACTTCGTGGGCTTCAACATCCCCGACAAGTTCGTCATCGGCTACTGCCTCGACTACAACGAGATCTTCCGCGACCTGGACCACATCTGCATCATCAACGAGGCCGGCATCGCCAAGTACGCGAGCAGCTCATAGACTGGAGGGCTAGCCCGCACTGCGCTTCACCCATGCACGTATTCACTTCCTCTTCGGCGTGAAGGCCCGTGTCTGTCTATATATTTGTGCCAATTACAGGGCCAATTGCTGCAGCAGCGACTGTCAGTCTACTTGCTCTGGAACTGCTCGGGCGTCATCGTGCGGATGGTCAGGCCGTGCATGTCCTTGATCTCCTCCTTGAGAATCTGCAGCAGGCAGCAATAGCAACAGCAATATTTCAGTAAGATGGCATTCTTTTAGGCCAATGGCCGGCCACCACGAAGGGCGCACCTCGTTGACCATGCGGTGCTGCTTGACGCGCGACTGGCCCGCGAACTGCGCGGACGCCACCTCGATGTCAAACATGGAGCCGCAGCCGCCCGACACGTCCGTGACCTTGACGTGAACGGCCTCTAGCCGCGTCTGCAGCGCCGCGTGCATGGCCTGCTCCGCCTCCGTGCCGGCGCCGTCCGCGCTCGACGAGAGCCACGCGCGGCTCAGCGGCCGCTTGGCCGCCGCAAGCATGCGTCCTCGGAGCCCCAGCATCGTTGTCTTGATCAAAGTATGAAAGTGTCACTGACAAAATTGAGTCCATTGTGTAGTTGGTGTCTACCACACAATATATCATGCATTTCGTGTCCAGTACTGTACCAATTTTTAAACAACAGTTAAAACTGTTAACAAGCTCTCTCTGTACGCCGAAAAAGTCGCGAGGCTAAAATCGGAAATCAACCAATCTCCTCGACCTTCCGTGTGGTTGTCTTGTAAATATGTGGAGGTTCGACATCGCTCTCTAGACGTTCGAGTAATCGCCTAAACAGTATCGCACACAGCTCATTCCGTGGCCTGGCTACTCGCTGTCTTCAAAACCTTCTTCGTGCAAGTTTGGAAGAGGTGGCAAAACAGAGAAACTAATAACAAACGAACCTTGCTCGAGAAGTATTTGCAGCTTGACATACCCATGCATATAATCCTTTTGAATAACAGTGTTGCACGAATCAGAATGGTGTCGCTGATACTTATATCCGTGGCTATGCCACTGCATTACTGTGCACGCTTCACAATCGGCGGTATTTGGACAACACGAGTTTTATTATAACCGAGAGGTATACATGGCTACAAGATCTAACGCGCGACCGCAGGAGACATTTTGTCTGTATAGCCCTCAATCCATGAGGCCAAATCTTTACAGACATTGTCAAGATCTCAAACATCAGAGCAGGCTATTGCTGTAGAAAACCTTCTTCAAAGCCCTTGGCACGACTGCACTATTGGCCCATTCGAACACCGGAGAACGCTTCGGTCGCCACCACCGCTATGTACGGCATTATTGCCGCTGGTGAGAGTGTCTACGGCACGCAGCATCTCGTCGAGTAGAAGTCGTGGTCTACAGATCATTTCAGGGCATAAAAAATGACGAACAAAAACCGAAACATAGCATGCATTTTTCTTTAATGCTCAAAAACAAAAAAAGGTTTCTCATAAAGGTATCGCTTGCGAAGCCGCCTGCACGCAAAACTTAATAATAATAATAGATCTTTTTCTCACTTGCTAGGCAAGAGAGGCGGCGGGTAGTTATGCTTCGAGGTTGCGCTCCTACCCATTGGACGCCTGCCAAATATGGCTTACTCGAGCGGCTTATCTGCAGTAATATGGCGGGGTCATAAGCCCGACGTAAATCTGCAGAGACACGAAATCGGTCTCGATAAGCAGTCCTAACCCTGCCTTTATGTCGTGAAGCCATCATAAGCTTATATCTTGCTATTTGTATAGTTTAATCTGACCATCATTCTCGAAGGTGTTTCCTTCACTCTGGCGGCTTATTGCCTCGATTATATCTTCCTGCCGACAACTTGAAGTTGCGTTCACTTTTAAATCGGACGGCGAAGGCGCGAAGTCGACCTCCGCCGACTCACAGAAAGGTATGTGTGGTGCAAACTGCTGCTGTCGTGCTTGCTGTGGCTGACTCTGCTGTCGTGCAGTGACATGGACCGCCACGTGCACTCCGCCATCCACTGGCAACTGCGCTGCATCGAGGACTCTTCGAGTGACGAGAACACGCCGCCGAACGTCGCTGCGACGCCGAACTATGGCCACAGCCGTCGACCCTGCGGAGGAGACGGCGAAGCGAGCGCAACGGGGACGGCTACGCCGCCGTGGCTGTCTCCGGAGCGGACCAAGCGTCGGTCCAAGAGCGCAACGACCACCGGAGACACCGCCACTACGGGAGACGCCGCCGAAGGAGCCGGCGCGTGCGTATGCGAGCCCGACGACTTCGTCTCCAGTGCTGCTGGAGGCACCACCAAGATCCCCGCCGCGACAGAGGACGACCAAGACGAATGACCCACGTGGTCGAGGCCGCTAAGCACGCCGAGAAGCCGCGGCCCCGTACGCGCGCCCTCGTTCCGTCCATGAGCACGTCATCCGTGGTGCTGCCGCCGAGCAAGCGGCGACTCCATCCGCGGTGGATCTTGCACCGCTGGCTCGCCATCATGCGTCGCGGCCCGGCGACATTTTCGCGCCAGCGCGATGGCCCTATAGCGTTGCGCACTTGCACGACAGCTTCAATCCTCTGGCTACGATCTTCCCCGTGGTGCGCCACGTCGGATCCTGCAACTGCTGGAACCCGTGCCGCACGGAATCCTGTCGCAACGCGCTGATGCACATCTTCTGCAGCCCGAACTGCTGTCCGTACTCGGGGAAGTGCGGCAACGGCCTGGAAGATTCGTCCAAGGTTTTCCTCGGCCGCAACCAGCGCACGCACGAGTTGGGGATCGTGGCCGGCGAGGTCATCGACGCTGGCGAATTGCTCGGCCAGTACCTCGGGGAGATAGAGCACGTGAGCGCTTCTCGAGCGAATCGACCGCGCAACTGGGGCTACAGGCTCGTGTTGAAGCAGCGGCCCGAGCAACCGGCGACCGGCGTCTGCGCTGCAATCAACGCGGAGCGCATGGGGAGCCTCATGCGCTTCGTGAATCATTCATGCAGGCCGGCCGCTGCGTTCGTCGAGCTGTCTAACGGCCGTCGCACGACCGTGGTGGTGGTGACTACGCGAGACATCTGTCGCGGCGAGGAGGTGACCGTGGACTACGGCGACGACCTCTGGTTCGTGTGCCGCTGCGAAGCGGCTGAATGCCGCCACAGCAACATCCAGGACGAGGAAGATCCATGAAGACGCTGCAGGAGGGCCAAGCGCTACGTGTAGGTCGGTCTATGAGAAACATGCATGATGAGATGAATGAAATCAAGGTGACTGTAACGATGGGTTCATTTTTTTATTTAGCTGCAGGACGTGGGTGTTGTGTTCGACGTGAACGACGTTGATTTTGGGCGCGAAGGCGCATCCTCCAAGTCCCTTCGATGTTTTGAACCAGTTGTCTGCGTTGGCGGCATTTTACGCGCGCGGATTTCCCGCGTTGAAGTTGTCGGCAGCCTTTCAAGATCGACGGCGCATGGCTGGTGAGTATTGCTTCTCGGTAGATGACCTGCATGCCGCCGTGGTCGACGGCGTCTCTCACTTTGCTATTTGCCAGCTCGCAAGCAAGCCTCCTGCCCAAGCGCACTCCCGCACCTCCTCTCCAAGCTCCTTCCCCCGTGCGTCGCCCTCCTCCTTTACTTCACTCCCTCGCTGGTTGGCTGCCTGCCTGATTGTCGTCGTGTGCTTCGTGTGTCTACAGATGGGCAAAAACTCCGGCAGCACGAACTACACGATGTTCGCCATTGACCGACTCCTACACCTCGTCGAGCAGGCGCTCCCGCTGGGCCGAGACGAGTGGGAGCGCCTTGTGGTGACCTACAACGCTGCTCGCGCCCGTGGAGCACCGGAGCGCGACTTCGAGAGCTTGAGGCGCAAGTTCAAGACGCTGTATAGTGCTCGCAAGCCGACGCGCATGCCGGAGATGCCGCCACGCATCAAACGCGCCAACGAGGCCAAGCAGGCCATTGACGACAAGGCCAATGTCATCGAGATCGACGACGAGGCCGGCCGCGACCAGGGCTTCGTGGAGCCCGACTTCTCGTTCGAGGCTGACCCCGACGACGACGACTTCTTCGAGGGCGGTGAAGGCGACAACGTGCACCATGATGCCGAGAGTGGCACCGGACACGACGAGCACCTCGACACAGATGGCTCCGTACGGGCGACTCCAGGAGCTCCAGCGCCCCACCCAGTCGAGGCGGGTTCCAAGAGCTGCTGGCGGCACCACTTGCCAGCGATGAGCTCGGAGCCCATGCTCGTACTCCGCGTCCGGCGCCGCTTCGAGCACCTCAAAATGGCCGGCAGTCTGGCTCTGGGGGGCCACCCAAGCAACGCAAGAGCCCTTCCACCGTCGTTGCCAGCGACGGCGGTCTCTCGACGGGGACGCCAGTCGACCAAGGACGATCACCAGGGAACCCGAAGAAGGACACGATGTACAAGACCTCCTCGAACCGCCTCGGAGGCACCGATCTTACCAGTTTCCGGGATGCGGTGGGCGCCAAGCGCACCTTCGAGGAGGACAAGGAGACGCTGGAGGCCAGCTTCGCAAAGGCCAAACGCATCAGGGCCATGAAGGCCACCACCGCGCTCAAGAACAAGTTGAGCGGCCTTGAAACCAACGCCCACACCATGGTGGCAGCATCATGGAGACGATCCTGCTGCTACGCGAGGAGAACGAACGGAAGGCCGAGGCGCGTCGTGCCGACGAGGAGAAGCGGCGTCGCGAGGAAAAGGCCGAAGCCAAGGCCGAAGCGGAGGAACGTCGTCGCCGAGAGAAGCTGGAGATGGAGGAGCGCGCACGCCGCGATCGCGAAGAGGCGCGTGCGCGCACCCAGGAGTTGCTGATCTTGATCGGCGCCTTGAAGAAGAAAGATTGAGGCAAGGACGGCGTCCAGCGGAAGCAGATCATGGACAAGGTAGTGAGGTTCTTTCATTTTCATCGACGTAGTGTAGCTCGTAGCTCTAAAGGCTCACAAATGAACTACTCATGTTGCTGTACATGCTCCGATTCCTACCCATGAAAAACTCGATGTCTTTGCACTTCTTAACCAGCAAAGCTCATGGTTTGCATGTCTTACAACTTCGTGGTAGATCTATAGACAGCAACGTGAATTTCTTGCTTTGACTAGCTCGAGACAGACATGTACGTTCAAAGTCCATAAGTGTATTCATCAAGCAGCACAACTACATGTATTGTAATGCATTACAAAGACCAAAGTAGCAATACAGGTGCGTTGGCAGCTCCATCTCGCCCGCGAAGGTTGTGCGGATTTGCGAGATGCCAACCGTGCGAACACGGTAGTTTGCCAAGCGGAACAAATTGTTCAGTCTGAGCCCACGGAGTGCCGGCTCGTAAGGTAGTGGTAGATTGAGGCGACTGTAAACCTTTTGAACGCATCCCATGCCCCACTCCGCACAGCGGTGATGGCGTTGTGGATGGTCCGCGCCGAGCTCCTCAGCGACGGGTGCAGGCGCTCGAGGTCGCCGTCCTTGAGCGGCGTAAGGATGCGGCCGACCATGGGGGAAGGCCGAGTCCGAGACGACGTTCTTGCGCGGGTCGGGGCAGTACACGGGGTCCAGCAACTTGTTCCTGAAGCCCAGCGACGTGTCGGAGTCGTTCCACGACCCGGGGCAGTTGTGCTTGACCCACACGATGCATCCGTCTGCCGCGAAGCAGATCGTCCCGGTGACAAACACCGAGTGCAGCCAGCCATTGTACATGGAGTTCTGTAGATCAGCGTTCGAGGGCTGCTGGACCTTCATAGCAACAAAACGTAGCTGTAACTTATCGCAATACAATTCAGTTTCATAATGAGCGTTGTGTGCACCTTAAAGTTTTTCCCATCGATGAAGCCGAAGGTGTGCTTCAGCAGAGACTCTCGAGCTCCGACGAGCTTCGCCAGCTCAGTCTGGCGGCTGGGTGACGGTCATGCGATGCGTGCGGGGCGTAGTTGTCCAGTGTCTTGGACAGTGCTTCCTCAGCCCGTCACAGGGTCCGCGCCAATGTACTCGGAGGAACACCGAACAGCATGCTCAAGCTGCTCAGCTCCATGGAGCCAACATAGAAGCATAGGACCAGCCCCAACACCTGGTGGTGGTATCGGAGCTTGAGCGGTCGGCCCCTGGAGCGGGCGCGCGGGATGTAGTAGTAGCTAGTGAACCGGCGCAGTAGCTGGTGAAAGGAAGACCTGTAGCATTCATAGCATTCATGTCCTGTTAATATACGCATCTGATGCAACACACCTGCAGTTCAACGTACTTGGTAAGGCTGGTGGCGTTTAGGAAGTTGATGTCAGTTCCGTATCTGTACAGGACCATCCACGCAGAGTCACAGGGCATGTCCAGGCATTGGGCCGTGAGGTAATGGCGGCTGCGCATCGCCACTTCCATGCCTCCTCGACCAGGAGGCGGAAGCCCTCACGGCGAGCGACATGCAGCGCCTCACCTTGCTTCACGAAGGCGTCTGTGAGCAGCAGCAGCAGCACGTCCGAGTCTTCGGTGGCCATCGTGGCGGGAGGGGCTTGTGCCCGACGTGCGCAAAAGTCAGAATGAGGAAATCTAGAAGGATTCACGCGCTCGGCGTGTCCGAGGCAAAGTGACGGGTACACACCTCACTGTACCAACGTCACTGTAGCAGCAGCCTTATTTAGGACACTATCGGTCGGACACAGGTAGCACTTTTAACACCTTCGTGGTAGAGATTTTTTGCGATAAAGCGACATATATCTTTTTTAAGTCGGGCTTACTCGCTGCAGATAAGCCGCTCGACTATGCTATATTTGGCAGGCGTCCATTGATAATTGTACCAAATACTAACGGATTTACCGAATATAAGCCGGCCTTCTAATTCTCAAATTGTACGATTCTGACGAGGGGACTTGTATTCGGGTAAGGACTTAGGGTGTGTTCCTCAGACAGGAATTTCAGCGGATTTGGGCCATTTTGGCGAATATGTACGTTTTGGCGGATTACACAATCCGCTGTTGCGTTTGAGGAACACAAGAGGCGTCGTTTTGGCGGATATTCAGCGGATTTAATCCTCCCGAATTTGGGCGGATAGCCCTCTCGTTTGGCGGATTGACGAGAAGCATCTGTAAAAGTGCACATTTATCCTTCAGGCTGTTCGACTTTCTACTTGCTCTACGCCTACGGCAGTACCTCATTGCACGCAGTTGGCGCGATGAAGCAGGAGTCCTAAAGTAGTTTTAGCACAGCCATCCTACACTACGACCTCCTGCCAGTAGCATCAAGAAGTCGCGCCACATCTTCGAGGCGATTCGATCGCTCAACGATTTTGCTTTACTCACGCAATGACAACAGTTTATTGTAATAAGGATGTGCTCTGAGCTTATGCTACTGTTGATCCTCTAATTGCACACCACTCCGTTTCAAAAAGAAAGCATGATTCACTGGCCTGGTTCAAGCCTAATCGAACAAAAGCGTCCCTCACTGATACCGCCTCACTCAGTCGCATTTCTACAAGCAGTTTCGAGGCAAGTGACTTCATGGAAGGGTCTTCAAATCCCCGGTACAGCGCGGTCTTGAGTTGCTCCTTTGTTAGTTGTTTCTGCAACACAGCATCGTGTTGAACGGGTCCTCCTTATCCACCGCCTTCACGAAGGAAACCCACATGCTCATGTTCGAGTGTGACCAAAAACTACTTTGGTGATACCTCTTCAGCGAGAAGTTGAAGACGTCATCCGCCGTTTTCTTCTCGAGGAGCCACTTGTTGAAAAGGATTGTTTCAAACTTTGCTGCCATGTCGGGGGCATCGCTCCATGCTTGTGACATAAATTGGGCTCGCTATGGTGTGACGTCAACACAGATAATATCGTGTCGTCCGACTTTAGTGGATCCAGCTTCATGACGTAGGTCACCCAGGCCCGCACATCGGAATAGTCTAAGAACAAGAATTTATGCTGGTCCAGGTCCAACAGCTTGAACACACTAGCCGCGGTTTCCCCCTCCTTTTGCCACTTGTCGAGCTGTGCTGCCTCCAATTTAGTAGCAACGGCGCGTGTAACGGGGTTTTCCTTCGCTTCTTTAAGCATCATAACGAGCTTATTGGCTGTGTTTGTGAGCTCGGACGTCTTGAGTTTCTCAAGCAAGAGCATGTACGGATCTCCATCTAACTTCTCAACGTAAGCCATCCAGCTACCCAGCAAGGGGTTACTCAGAACGTTATCCACATCATCGTCCAACTTCAAAAGCTTGAAAACTTCATCTGCAGACCGTTCGTTACGGAGCCAATCCGACATATGAGCTTGCTCCAATTTCACTGCGAGGTCCTTCGTGTCCGCGCTCTTCTCTGCCCCAATAAACATCGTGGTCAGATTCGCGTCGCTCTCGTGTACCCTCATTTTTGCCAGCAGGAGCCCGTACGTCTTGGCCTTCGTCATATCCGCATACTCCATCCAGGTGCTCACCAGCGGGTCCCAAAAGGAAACGTAGCTTTTTTATCGAGCTTAAGAGCCCGAAACACGTCATCCACAGTGTATTCCTTGGCCAGCCAGTTCTCCATCTGAGCCTTCTCCAGTTTGGTAGCCATACTCTCGGTACTCGCCTCTTGCTTCGCCTCTACGACCATTTTCGCTAGGACTTGTCGCTGCGCACCCTCATCAATGCCGCAGCAATGGCCCTTTCGGCCCCGGTAGAGTTCGTTTTGAACCCTTTTGCAACTGAGCTAGCCCAATTCTGGAACAGCGGACTCTCGAATAGATTGGATTTTTCATTGAGAAGTCCCAATTGGACGAAGCGCTGGAAAACTTCCTCTTCGTTTTTCGGATGTTTGGACATTTTGCCAGCGAACTTCGACAAGGCGCTTTTTACATCCAAGACCCTCTCTTCCTCGTCGTCGATGGCGTGCTCGCGAGTCCTTAAGCGTCGCTGCGTGTGACCGTCACATAACTCGACATCGACATCGAGAGGAGTGATAACTGACGCTTACCATCCCGTCGAGCCCATGGCCACAGAAATCAAGTTGGTGCATGTCGATAGAACTGCGATCGCCATGAACAAGACGCTGTGGAGTTGCATGATTCGCATCGTCGGGCTGAATATGGCAGCCATGTCCGGAGCACGAAGCGTTGTGAGGCGGATTGCAGAGTGGCAGGATCAAGTCTGGGCTAACATCCCACGAGCTGAGCGAGAGTACTCGCGAGTCGCGGGAGCGAGCACGAGCACCTAACACCTCATGAGCGCGCTCGCGGATCTGTAGCTACTTGAATTGCACCCACTCAATATAGAGTTGTATGGAGAATAAGCAGATATAACGCCACGGAATGACTACAATCGACAACTGTATGACTAGGACACTATTTCATAAACGGGCCAAAACACCTACCAATAATACTAGACATTTAGGCCGATTTACCTTGGCATCCTATTCTAGCGGCTAGTGCATGAGCTCATCTAGAGCCGGGTACGTGTTCTGTGGTTGAAATTTGAGACTACCCCCGAAGATGGCGCAGCGAATGGCGCCTTAGAAAAGCTTGCTTCAACGTATTTTTAAATATTAAAAATATAAAAATTATGGATGCAAATGGAGCGATTCCTGTAGCGTTTTGAATCTTATTTCTATTCCAGAAAGTCCGTGTTCAAAACGTACGGGAATCGCTCCAATGGTGTACCAAATTCGACAAAGTGATTGGAATTTGGTACACCAATTCGACCAATGGAGTACCAAATTCGACGAAGTGATTGGAGCGATTCCCGTAGGTTTTAGAATCCAAAAACTATCTCAAAAGTGCGAAGAAAGGGCAAGAATAAATCTTGTCGGCAAATCACAGATCTGGAAGAGGGGGTACCCGGGGTACCGTACCCCCTCTTTCAGATTTTGAACACGTGCTTTCTGGAATAACTAGGGCTCGGCGAAGGCTGGGATAGAAGGATTTTGGTATAAACTCCCTCTTTATTTTAATTGATTGCTTTTCTTAATCCTGGTACGGGTTGGGGTGACGCCCTCCCGGGGAGCGGCGCCGCGGCGTCGTTCTCGGGGGCGCTAATGCGGCTCCGCCGCGGACGCCCTCAGTTCTTAGACGGACAAGGATGTGAGACTAGTGTCTCTGGGCTGAGAACTCGACGCGGGTACGACTCGCGGCGGCGATAGCGGACAAACCAAGCGCGCTCAGTGCTCAGCCACCGACTTCCTGTGTGTTGATGACTACGGCATCGCCCAGGAAGCTGATTCGGCGGCGAGGCGCGAGCGCCCGCGAGGGGGGGCTGTTGCAGCCGTCAACCGTCAAGGGAAGGTGCTCAAGGGGATCAGCATAAGGCGCAGGAACAACACAAGACCGAAGAACAAGGGCGTGCTGGCTGAGACTGCGTGGTTTGTTGCGGCCACGACAGCAGTTGCCGGGCAAAGGAGTTGTGACCCAAGTACCTAGCTGAACCAAGACTACAAGACCGAAACGGGCGACGGAAGCAGCGGACATGCCGCCACCAAGGCCTAGCGCGTCTCCGCGAAGGGGGAGCCATTCATTGCTGACGTATGCTGATCGTGCCGGAGAAGACAGTAGGAGCTCAATTAGTGGCCGCCCACTATTGGAGTTAGTGGTGTGGACCACGCTTTGAGAGTGTAGGTCACTTTTTCCCTAAAGCGTAAGGCGCACTAACGTTTACAAGTACAAGTGCAAGTACTTTTCTTATGAGCTACGGTCATCTCCTTCGCCTGCTTCGCAGCCGCAGCATCTGCCCGGAAATTGGCCTTAAGACTGTAGATGCCAGATATCAAGTGGCAATGCTTTACAAAACACAATTAAAAATGCGAACTGAGATCTGCTTGCAGCTTGTAGAAGTTTTATACTTGAAAATGAAAAGGCTTATCTCTAGTGCTATTACATATAGTCCGCCTCAATCGTTATCTTTACTTCAATTCGTTCACTGCTCGAATATATATACTGAATCGTACCAGTGTCGTCGGTTGCACACCGCTGGATCTGCCCACACATATAGCTCGTTCGTCCATCACGTCCAATTCTTTGTCAGGTGGAATGTGGAATGTTCCCACCTTGTTCAGCTCCATCTCGTACTCATTTTCGCAAATACCTTGTAAACCGATCACCGTAGCGATACATTCATCCACACTCGCGCTGGGACGAATGAGATCAAGAAAATATACCAGCTAGATGTCAAGAGGGGTCATCGTTTGACTTGACGTACCACGGATATAATCCTATTTGGTCTGCGATAGCAGCACTAACGTTGCTTCCTAAAGTTTCAAAACACTGCGGTGGAATCGCTCCATTAGCCTAAAAAGGGAGCCAATCACAATCGGAGACTATTGTCACCATCCAACCACCGAAAGCCTCCAATCCGCGACCGAACAAACCACGGTCACTTCGATCGATCCACGTGTATTGTAGCAGAGCGAAGCAAGGCAGGCCCATGTTCTTCTGCAGCGGGCCTCCGCGCACCTACGCGGTGGCGCGCGGGCGCGAGCGGCTGGAGGACGTGGCGGTGGCCATGCACCCGTCGCAGCGCGTGCTCGCGCGCGTCACGTCCTCGCGCGTGGCGCTGTGGAGCGCGTCGCTGGGGCTGGCGGGCACGGGGTGTCGTCTATTGGCGCGCTGTCGACGCGGCGGCCAGTGGATCGAGGCGCTGGAGGCGGAGGACGCTCAGGACGGGGAGGAGGGCAATGACGGACGTCTGCGGGAGAGCGCGTCCCGCCAGCTGTGGGCGGCGTGGGTCTCCGGGGACCGCCTGGCCGTCGTGGAGAAGGACTCGCAGGCCGTCGAGTTCTACGCCTTCGATGGGCTGCACAAGCTGCTGCAGCGCGCCGAGAGCCACGACAGCCACGCGGCCGAGGACCTTGCGGTGGACGCCAACGCCATGCTGGACCAGCCGTCGTTCGCCGAGCCGGAGCAGGAGGAGGCGGACAGCACAGCGGCGGCCATTGGCAAAGGGCTTCAACTTGCGGCCAAGTTCGTGGAGGACTACCCGCTCAACCAGGGCGCGAGTCAGAGCGACTACGACGACGTGGCCACCTCCATGAGCGCGGTGCCCGGCAGCAAGTACCTGTTCGTGGGCATGGCCAGCGGCATGATCAGCGTCGTGGAAGTGGCCGAGTCGTTGGACGGCAGCGACGGCTCGTCCTCCTCGTGGTTCAGCGCCGGCAGCGACGCCACTAAGATCTGGAAGATCGACGTGCGCACCCACCTGGCGGTGCCCGAGGACGCCGAGCCGCCGAGCTGCTACGATCTCACGTGCGCGTCAGCCGACCTGCCGTCCAAGATTGCGTCGCTGTATCTCGTGGCCAGCTTCGAAGGCGGCAAGTGCTTCATCATGCTGCTGTCTCCGGCACAGAAGAGTATCGACCAGCTGCTGTCACTGATTAACACAGAGAGGGAGACGGATGCCACGACGACGTCGTCGGGTAATGGTCGTTGCACGACCACCAAGTTGGACGCCAGCGGATCCAGGCTCGCACTCGGGTGGTCGGACGGCGGTGTGTCACTGTTTCGGCTATCGTTGAGAACTGCAGGGCCGATTGGGAAGGCGAAAAATGTTACGGATGATAATAAAGAGGTCAAGACGCAGTCCGCGCTGGCGCTGGCGCTGGAGCCCATTCGCGAGCTGAGCCTCGTGGCCTGGGGCTATACGCCCGAAGACGTCGGGTCTGTCACGGCGCTGGCGTGGTCGCACGACGGCCGGAGCATCGTCGTGGGCTACGAGCTGCGCGGGTTCTCACTTTTCTCCACCGACGGCTGCCGACTGATGTCGAGCTTGCCGCAGCACAACCAGGAGCGACCCGAGAAGATCGACGAGCACAACATCAAAGAAGTGTGCGCGTTCGGGGTGCACACGCTATTGTGGGCGCAGGAGAGCAACTCGCTGATCGTGGTGCCTCGTGGAGAGCAGTCGACCCAACTCGTCCAGCTGCCGGAAGACGAAATTTTGCGCGAAGTTGAAGAGGAGAACAACGTGGAGCTGACCGAGGCCTCGAATCTGTTCGAGACGGTGGAGGCCAGAGTGCAGAAGGGAGAAGATGGGCTGTGTCTGTCGCTGTCTGGAGCCCCCGGTCGCTGTGGTGCCTGGGTTCGAAGTGACAAGAGCTTTACGAAGCCAGCTGACGGCGGTGTGGGCCCAGCTGAAGCGTGCGGTCAGATTCAAGGTGGAGACCTGCTTGTAGGGATCAATGATGACTTGAAGGTGGTCAACCTGCCTTTCGAGCAGATTGTCAGCGTGATCAAGGAGCTGCCGGACAACGAAGAAGTGGCGCTTACATTCATGCGTCTGAAGTGGGAGGACGTCTTCCCTCTGGCTGTTGAGGCGCTGTCTGCGTCCGAGTTCATGGATGCGCACGGGATTCACATGCTGGAAGATGAGAACTTGTGTATTCGCGAGTACGCGCTGCGTATGCAGGCGCTGCATGGAGACTGTGATCTGGAAGAGCGCCCCCCTCTTATGGAGTTTGAGCGGCGTGCGAAGTTTGACGGGTGGGAGGCGATTCAGGGAACCTCAACTCGTGTGGCGAAACACAAGTATGTGAAGCTGTTGTTTGCGCTATTCCCAGTGTGGAATCCGAACCACTTCCTGAATGTAATCACGGAATACGGCAACGCAGTGCTCGCTCAGAAGCTTTACCTCGCGAAGCAGAAGAGGCTCAGGGAACTGCACGCCCACCGAGAACTCGTGAAGATGCGCAAGCGATCATCTATGGCCTTTGCTGAATTTGATTTCGCTAAAACCGTGCCGCTCTCTGGAGGTAAATCGTCTCATTTGGCCTTGCTTGAAAGCAAGAGTGTTCGCTTGGTGGCTGCGTCCTCACTTGACGATCCATGCGCGCTGACCTCTTGCGTGAACTGGAGTGTGCCAACTGAGTTCGAAAAGTGCTGCCCTCTCCGCCTTGTGGCTCTGAGTGCAAGCGGGAATCACATGGCAGTGGCTGGCCAAAGAGGCTTTTGCTTGCTGAATATTGTGACAGGAAAGTGGCGGATGTTCGGCAACGTGAACGATGAGCAGGACATGTTCGTGTATTCGCTGCTGTGGGTGGGCGAAGACGCGATTGTGGTGAACTTCACGCGATTTAGTGAGAAGCACCAGTCGCTGCACTTGCAGGCGTATCCTAGGAATCATCTGGATGAGGAATCGATTTTGGAGCAGTTGGTGTTCGCGCGTGAAGGCGATAACGCCGCGCGTAGTCGAGGAGCAGCAGCAGTATCAGGCGGGCGCTCTATCGGGGACGACGCTGACGACTGTTTCTACATCATGGATAGTGACAACGCGCAGAAGAATCTGTTTTGCGTGTCGAGGAGTGAATTATGGTGCTTTGACCTCAAGCACGGGGGCACCATTAAGCAGAACGACCTCAGAATGGAGATTCAGCTCAAGCGCCAAGTCAATTTGCCGTCACGGGTAGTGGAGTCCCAGCCCATTGGAACGTGCAGGCGAAACAGCATTCTGAATTTCGCGGTGCTGCCGCGATTCTTACATATTCAGGATGAAAAGTTGAGAGAGCAACAGCAGCGTAAGTATCAAGCAGAGCGCGAGCACGAGCAGGACGATGAAGGTTGGCTATCGAGCTTCGTGAACATGCTCGTGGGGGGCGAAGTTCCCGACCAGTACACACCGGAAGAAGTACTGCCGCGATTCGCATTCCTCGACAGTGCAGGTGATGTGATTGTGTGGGATCCAGAGAATCGGTCGCAACGATTATTGTGTTCCAACGTGAGTACAATGGCCAGACTATTCGTGACGCCACAGGCCTGCGCGTCATGGCCAGCTCCCTGCCGACTCATTTACGGATTGTACGGTCCTGAAGGCATGAGGGTGTGGCTACCGTTGTTAGACGGTGTATATATGACGCACACCAGGGCTTTTGAGCAGGACAGTCGTCGGCTGGAGACTTTCTTGGCTTGCCATGATCCTTTACGAGCGAAAACGTACGAGATTGAGTTTGGTACAGCACCTGCCACCGCTGAATTGTACGAGCAAGTTATCAGCGAGTACGGGATCGCGTTGGAAGGCTTCCTGTCCAGTGGAACTGGTGTTGGCTTGGGTACTGGTAGAATGCCCCTCAAGGACGGGTATACCAACATGCGTGGATGCGTGACGTCGGTGGACGATCCGTCTGCGAAGGATGGCATGCTGCGGTTTGACTTCGACGTGAAGGTGCTTGGTGCTGAACAAGCATTTGGACTGCTGGTCGGTGTATCACAAGATGTGTACGTGCCTTCGGGCGTGCTGCTCCCGTGCTACGACGTGTTTGCTCGTGTGCAGCCCATTTTCCACACGTTGCTGTGCTTCCTTGTCCAGAACGAGCAGCTTTCGTGGGCGCGTCTGGTGTTGGATGGCGTCCGCAAGCAGTTTGCCTTGTCTACTCCTACGCAGGAGCTTTTCCTTCACTCCATGCTGGAAGCGTGCTTCGCGAAGCGGTGTCCAGAGGACAAACTACACACTGCTATCCAGCTACTGCGTCCTGGGGAAGGAGAGCAGCAACCGGAGGTTGATATCGCGGAGTACTGCGAGATTGTAGCGCACGTGGCGCGTAAGAGCGAGCCATCACGCCTGAAGGTGCTGTTCCCTGCTGCAGGGGACCCCATGGATCTACTCGCGATCTGCCAACAACGATCAGAGCTACGCACGGCTGCGAACTTCTTGCTCATCTTGGAGGAGTGTTCAACGGCGTCAGGTTCATCGCTGCCTCTGCGAATGGAGAGTGCCGCTGAGCTGCTGAAGGAGTGCGTAGATCAAGAAGAGTGGGTGCTCGCGCAGCACGTCGTACGCGTCGCGCGCGATTGGGAGCACCCACAGTTCGATGATTCGTCGTACTCTCACCCGCTCCCTTCCGAGGACACCAAGCATAGCATTGATGAACAGCTCGCAGCTCTGGTTTGGGATAACCTCATGCGCGGCGAGTATGAGCGCGTGGTGTGGTGTGTCGAGGATCTGCAGGCGAAGCTGCCGCTCAAGTCACCTGAAGAGCGGCAGCAGGAGGAGGGCAGCGCAACTATTCTAGACCGGCTGTACCAGGTCTTCATCCAGGGCAACAAGCGGAGACAGCTCAGGTATGGAGCAACCAGCTATTGTTCTGTGTTGGATAGTAGCGTGCGTGCTGACGCTGTGACTTGACTCTTCTTGTGTTGACCGTTGAATTACAACGTAGGATCCTGCTGCAGGCTGTGACGGAGGCGCATTACGAGGAGTGGGTCGCGTGCATCAAGCACGTAATGGAGCAGTAGGGAGGGAGCGCGAAGGCGGTGGCCGATTCAAGCCGGAGAGCTGACAGCCCATGGAGCGGTGGCGGTGACAGCACAAACGCTGCTGCTGCTGGGCTGGACGCTAGAAGTACGGGGTCGTCGCCGTTAGCTGGCCGCTCTTTCTTGTAAGTGTGCGTGCCGTCTTGACGTGCCTAGAAGAATGAAACGGAGCACATCATGTAAGGCTGGTGTGGTTGGCTGTGCCATGGGCTCTGCAGGTGTATGTAGCTTCAAGTCTCCGTTGTACCGGATGTAGATCAGTGCGTGCCGCTTGAGCCCGCCGCATGCAGACGACCCACGCGTCGTCTTACAACGCGGCGACGAATAAGCCGCTCCATCCTGGCTCGTCCGCTAGTCGCCGCCGCGTCTGAAGGTGCCCTTGCAGGGAGGGAGCCCGTGCGTCGCTCATATAAATCATCGGGCCCCTCCCTCCGAAATATTACGGCGCGCGTCGCACGCGGCGACTTTCGTTTGCGCCCGGGTCGCGTCAGTCAGTGCCCTCAGAGGCCGAGGTGCAGGGAGGAAGAGGCTGTTGGTGTGACGCGAGCGAGGCGGATCTCAGTGCCATGGAGCTGGAAGCAGTCCGCGCGTTGGCGAGGGTGCAAGAAGAAGTCGCCGAGAGGCGGAGGGCTCCTGTAGTGCGCTCGAGCCTGTCCCCGCCGCTTGAGCCTTACGCCCCACAAAAGGCTTCCAAAGCTTCGAATCGATCCCGTGAGTCACCTTTCGCCAGTCTGCAGCGAGTGGGACGCCACGCGGGCTGAGCCTTTGGGTCGGCGCGACCAAGCAACGCCACCTCATTCGCACCCTCCGGGAGGGCCTCCCTCAATGACCGATGTTGTCGAAACAGTTGTTGAAGTTGATCCCCAATCTATGCGGGGCGTGTGTATTGATTCATCTAAGGCTATCGGGATATACTTATGGTACACTACGTCACTCAAAGGACGACACCACGGGTGCAGGTGGACATGGAGGAAATGCAGGCTCTAGCAGTCGGAGCTGTCCATGCAGTCCAGCGGCAGCCGAGCGAAGGCGCGGCCGGCCTCCGTGAGCTCGACGCTGATGCTGCTGCTGCTCTGGCTGAGCAGGGTCATGGCCGTGGCGGCGGCCTCGTCGTCGGTGGCGGCGACCGAGCGGCAAGCCGACGGTGAGCGGCTACGACTGCGGTCGCGGCTGGACGGCGAGCGACCGGCCTTGGCCCGCTCCAGCGCGCGCTCCTGGCGGATGCGCTGGGCGTCCTCGCGCGAGATGGCCGACCAATTGATGGCGTGCTTCTTGGACTTCATGAGGCGGTAGGGCCATACGATGCCGAGGCGCCGGCAGTTGCGCTTGATGGTGACGGTGGCCACGCCGAGCTGCTGCGCGGCCTCGCGCTGCGACATATGGAAGTACTTGGCCATCTCCTCGGTGGTGAAGTCGAACACGACGCGGCTCTTGCGGGCCTTCTTGGAGGGGCTGGCCGCGGGCTCGGCGCGCGCCTTGGCGGCGGTCATGGTGGGCGAGGCCAGCTGGCGCGACGGGGACGCCACCACGGGCGCGGCGAAGGTGTTGATGGTCATGGGCTGCTGCTGGTAGCCGAAGGCCGTCGAGCCGCAGTGCAGCGGGTGCGCAACACTGAACGTGCTGGGCACCGCGGCGCACGCGGAGAACGGAGGCATGCTGCTCATCATATTGGGCGGACGGGCGGAGGCAGGTCGGATCGGGCGGTGCTCGCTGGCGGGTGAATTCGCGAATGACTCGTTCCGACCGCGGCGCATTTCGGCCGGCCGGCCAGGATTCCGGGCGCAGGCGGGCCGGAGGCGGGGGCGAGCGGCGCTCCGGACGCACGGACTCCTCACTGATTAGCGCTGACACGAGCGGCGCTGGCGCCAACCGGCCACTGCGGCCGAGCGGATACTTTTCTCGCCGCGGCGCGCCATCGCCTGTCTCGCGCGAAATCTTAGTCCGCAGACATGGCCTCGCTGCGACTTGCTGCGCGCGTGCGGCCGGCGCCGCCTCTGGCCGCCTTCGTTCTGGCGACAAATGAGCCTGGCGAGCGGCACTTGACCCCTTTGAAGTTGGAATAAGAACGCCCTGGATCGCTTGAACACGCGCTCTTGCAGAGACCGGCGCGCGCGCCCGCGCTACACCCCGAAACGCTGGACCCACATGGCTGCACCCGCCCGAGGTGGACCTTACAAAGCCCAGCCTGCGAGCAGGCCACTGGGCCAGACCGGGGCTGCCTAACGTCGTCGCGGAAGTAGAAGCAGCTCCACACCGCGGCCAGTAGTAGGCAGGTAGATCGATCTTCTAGCAGCGGTGGCGGGCTCACTCAGCGCGACACATGGTTTGGCCGCTTGCGCGCGGCGTGGCTCGGGCCGAGGGCGCCTCGGATCGTTCTAGCCACACCCGCCTTCAACTTGCAGCCGAGCCTGCAGGCATTCGTGTCTCTGGGCCGCAAACTATATGGGATACCCGCCGCTAAAAATGTAGCAGACCCACGAATGCATCGTTCGTCTTCGGAGAAGCTGAGGGCGTTTCGGACGTCACGGGCGTCGCACGGTTGCAAGCTTGGATAAGAGGGTGCCACCCTGTCGAGGTGCCACTGCAGTCTCGGCGGAGGCCTACAGTATCCTATGCACTTCAACGTCAATAACCAGCAGCGAGCTTTGCGGCCGGCTGGCGGATTTTCGCCGTCTCCTTGGAGCGGGATCAGTGGGAATCTGGTTTGATCGAGCTCCTGCAAACCGTTCCTACGGTTTCGCGGTCACTGTTTGGCGCCGGAGCTGGCAGCTTGCGCGGTGGCAGTTCCAGGAACATCACTTTCGGGGCCACCGCACTCGGTTCAGCGCGCTCTGCTGTATTTTGCGTTCTTGCAACCCAGGCCTCGGTGTGTCTTACGATTCCTGCCATCCGAGCGTAACTCCGCGGCGCCCAAAACAGATAGCTTCAGCGGTGCAGGGGGCAAGACTGTGGCTGGAAACTTGGCTAGGAAAAGAGCTAGTAAACACGCGCAGTATCCCTTGACATTGATCATTTGTAGCTAGCCATCTCCTTCAGAAAGCAAATCGTTTTGGCTCGCTATTCTGCTGGTACAGTAATCTGCCTGAGTAAGGAACGCCTGATATATATAAAGACGCAGAATATATAAATTGATGTTAAGTTGAGTATACTTTTCCAATGTACTGATTTAGTTATTTCAAAATGAACTGAAGAGCAGCTTTACCTACGAGTCCGGAATGTGGCGTATGGTCGAAGCACCAACCTTTGACCAGGCATCCTCGCACCACAACAGCGCTGTCAACTGGTCGACCTCGTAGGGATTATCTAGCCCTTCACCAAGCCGGTCTAGAGCCTGCATCATCTTGCGGGATAGAATGTGTCGCTTAATACAATGAATAATCATCCTTGGTCCTTCTCCAGCGGCCGCCCCAGCAGGACTGCACTTGACTTGATTATGCGGCATATCGTTGTCTTTCCTGGGGCGGCCGGGAGGCTGAACTCCGTCATAGCCCACGCAGCCAGGCCCCTGTAGGAGAGAGCAGGTGTGCGGGCTGCCTTGTCGAGGATGCCCACTTTCTCAGACCAAGTGAGGCGGAGACGCTTGGACGGTGTGGACTTCATGGGTGGAGTGGGGGAGGAGGTGGGCTTGTGGGGCGAGGTGCAAAAGCAAAAGTGCGAGTCTACCACTACGGTACATGTAGTTTGAAGTCTAGTAAGATCGCTAAATGCGCGCCATTTTTCAAACGAGGGTGGAGAGCTGATGATTGGCACTGGATTTTTCACCTTAGTACCTCAGTACCTTGCACATCCCCCTATCGCCACATCGACTGGAAAATAATATTAAATATGTGAGGCTATTAGTTGTACACCCGTTCCTTATTCGGGCAGAATTCTGTACCGTACCAGCTGAATAACGAGCCAATGGTGCCAGTGATACCATTGCTTCGTAAGAGCTCGTTCAGAGGTGATGAAGGGCTGAAGCAGTAGCCGCATTTGTTGGAGTGAAGGTGCTTGGACGGCGCAGGAGCTGACATAAAGTATCAAATTAGCGCTAGGACTAACCTAAGTAGAAGGGTGGCCCGCTGGCAGCACTATAGATAGTGTCACACTATTAGTGTGTGGGTATGTGCCGGTCTCATTCTCTCTGTTGAAGCACCGTGATAGGCGTGCATTTTGCCGGAGCAAAATGCGGGCAACCACACTGAACTGAATGAGCAGACAAAGCAATGAATGGACGGCTCGCACTCGTTGGCACGCTTAATATTCTGTACAAAATGGTCCCGTTATCACATGATCGGAGCTTGACACAAAGCTCGAATAAGCTTTTCGGCGTCTGGACACATGCAGTCCATTCGACCGCGACGCAGTAACGAGCGGCGTGCCGCGTATCCTCCTCCAGCCAATTGGACAGCAGCGCTGTTTATCGCTTACTTCATTGGCCACGCAGCGATGCGGTGTCAAGTCGAAGCGTCCAGTTAATGCGTGGCTGTGCTGATAGTCACACGCGCGCTTGGTCCGACGCGCTATACGCTTTACAAGCGTTTAGTGTTTTCTGCCAACCTGCTGCTCGATCTTAGTGGCTAGCACCTCAATTGACTCGCGAATGCTACATGTATCTTGTGGAGCCCATCTCAAGCAAGAAGACATTGTTGATTTGGCTTGCGTTGGTATGACGAAGTCACTGCATCCGCTTTTAAGCTTGATGAATGTATTGGCCAAGTTGAGGTAAGCTGCTTGACCGCTTTCGTACGCAATGAATGACTCGCCCAGAGCTGGGTTTGCAGTTGAGGAAGAAGTTGACCATCGTCCCCTTCATATCCTGCTAATAAGGAAGATAAGGAGCTCCGCGCCTAACTCTCACCATAGTTCACGGGACGCACTCCAACAAGTTTTTTCTGCAGCGGCGACAAACGCTCGGACTCAAACTGCAGGCGGGTTTCATCCGAGGCGCTCATGGGCGACAACATCGCCAGCACATGCCCTATCAAACGGCCTTCGTACAAAGTGATGGCTTAGAGAGCGCAAAAGCCAAGTGTGCATACTTCTGTAGAAGATGACGAGTGGTAGGCTAGGGGGGGGGTATTGTGGATACTTTTTTTAAAACTTGTCCACTATGGCCCATTGCTTAAAAGCATTGGCCCATAGTGGACAAGTGCCCGGTATGCACCGATATCCAGTGTCTTCCAGCACTTCCTACCTATTCATTTGATCGGACCTGTGTGTAGGTTGTATTGTACCTTGTCCCTCTCCATTCCCCACAGAGGTCTATTCGCTTCGTATTCTAAATTGCTGCCTAAATTGTTGCGGATCTGTTCTTCTGCAGTTGACGAACAGCACTGGGTGAATTCACTTCGTGTGGGGCATTCATGAGCAGACGGACCAGTAGCACATGCAACACCACTTCTCAAAAGCGCGAGTAGATCATTTGATACCTTTTCAACTCAGTAAATACATGTAATGGAGACAAGAAAGTATCCGCGACGCGGGACTCAACCACGAAGGGCTTGGGGCCAACCGTTTAACATCCAGCGAGTGGCCATCACCATCGATATACCGACAGGGGACAGGGGATCGAGCGTCCATAAACATCCTGAAAGGCGCCCGACAGTATCCGCGTGGAGTCGGCCACGGACACGATTGGACCTTGGTGCAGCGAATGCGCGTGTCAACTGGACGCTTCGTCTTGATGTTACCTTGACCATTTGCCAATGACGAAAGATGGACACCGGACAACTGAGCGTCCTGCGGTCTGATTGGCTAGAGGGCGCGTCGCGCGGTGCAGTTGAGTTCGGAGTCCGAACTTCGGACACCACGCTCCGAGAAGCTTATTCAGACCTTGTGTCAAGCGGTTTTGTATCCACCAGACCCCCAGCGCGCGCGTGTCATCAAGGCAAGAGCACCACCAACTCGCTGCTTCGGCTCATTCGGTCCAGTCTGAGGGTGGACCATGCCCGTGTGCAGAGCATTTGCAGAGCTCGAGTCGGTCATTTCTTTTTTCAGAACCAGAGCAGATATCGTTTGCTTGTCAAGTGCGAGGAACAATGCGCTGCAGCTTGCAGTTTGCTCACTGAGCAATGCTCAGTGTAAATTAGCATAAAGTATCATAATGCTCAAATAACAGGCATTGTGCACCCGATCAAAACGCTTCGTGGACAGCTCGTGATTCGTATGCAATGGTGGCGTAGCCTAGAGTGGCAGTAGCAAAGCTTGTACAACACAAGGCGTGCTTGGTGGTGGTGGGGTGGGGTGGGCACGGGATCAGCGAGAGAAATGTGAGCCTTATATTTTCATTGCTCTCAGAGCATACACCGTGAGACCGTAATCTATCGCACAGCGGTAATAAGAGCCACGAAGTCGAGGTGAAAATCGGGAACTTTGCCTTGGACCCCGCTCATTCCTGTATTGTGATGTGTCCTTTGCGACCGACCTGACCCCGACTAAAGAGAATCCATCCAGCTAGCTAATGTCCACAGAGCATATTTCACATGGGTGTCAAGAAGCGATGGCCGCGAATGAATATCCAAGCGCGCGTGGATCCCTAAGTTTGCGGGCTGCGAATCACGCGCGCCAAGCACGCTTTTACTGGACAATTTGACCATTGCAGATCTAAAACTAGCCAACTCTTCCTGCCACAGTCTTGCCCCCTGCACCGCTGAAGCTATCTGTTTTGGGCGCCGCGGAGTTACGCTCGGATGGCAGGAATCGTAAGACACACCGAGGCCTGGGTTGCAAGAACGCAAAATACAGCAGAGCGCGCTGAACCGAGTGCGGTGGCCCCGAAAGTGATGTTCCTGGAACTGCCACCGCGCAAGCTGCCAGCTCCGGCGCCAAACAGTGACCGCGAAACCGTAGGAACGGTTTGCAGGAGCTCGATCAAACCAGATTCCCACTGATCCCGCTCCAAGGAGACGGCGAAAATCCGCCAGCCGGCCGCAAAGCTCGCTGCTGGTTATTGACGTTGAAGTGCATAGGATACTGTAGGCCTCCGCCGAGACTGCAGTGGCACCTCGACAGGGTGGCACCCTCTTATCCAAGCTTGCAACCGTGCGACGCCCGTGACGTCCGAAACGCCCTCAGCTTCTCCGAAGACGAACGATGCATTCGTGGGTCTGCTACATTTTTAGCGGCGGGTATCCCATATAGTTTGCGGCCCAGAGACACGAATGCCTGCAGGCTCGGCTGCAAGTTGAAGGCGGGTGTGGCTAGAACGATCCGAGGCGCCCTCGGCCCGAGCCACGCCGCGCGCAAGCGGCCAAACCATGTGTCGCGCTGAGTGAGCCCGCCACCGCTGCTAGAAGATCGATCTACCTGCCTACTACTGGCCGCGGTGTGGAGCTGCTTCTACTTCCGCGACGACGTTAGGCAGCCCCGGTCTGGCCCAGTGGCCTGCTCGCAGGCTGGGCTTTGTAAGGTCCACCTCGGGCGGGTGCAGCCATGTGGGTCCAGCGTTTCGGGGTGTAGCGCGGGCGCGCGCGCCGGTCTCTGCAAGAGCGCGTGTTCAAGCGATCCAGGGCGTTCTTATTCCAACTTCAAAGGGGTCAAGTGCCGCTCGCCAGGCTCATTTGTCGCCAGAACGAAGGCGGCCAGAGGCGGCGCCGGCCGCACGCGCGCAGCAAGTCGCAGCGAGGCCATGTCTGCGGACTAAGATTTCGCGCGAGACAGGCGATGGCGCGCCGCGGCGAGAAAAGTATCCGCTCGGCCGCAGTGGCCGGTTGGCGCCAGCGCCGCTCGTGTCAGCGCTAATCAGTGAGGAGTCCGTGCGTCCGGAGCGCCGCTCGCCCCCGCCTCCGGCCCGCCTGCGCCCGGAATCCTGGCCGGCCGGCCGAAATGCGCCGCGGTCGGAACGAGTCATTCGCGAATTCACCCGCCAGCGAGCACCGCCCGATCCGACCTGCCTCCGCCCGTCCGCCCAATATGATGAGCAGCATGCCTCCGTTCTCCGCGTGCGCCGCGGTGCCCAGCACGTTCAGTGTTGCGCACCCGCTGCACTGCGGCTCGACGGCCTTCGGCTACCAGCAGCAGCCCATGACCATCAACACCTTCGCCGCGCCCGTGGTGGCGTCCCCGTCGCGCCAGCTGGCCTCGCCCACCATGACCGCCGCCAAGGCGCGCGCCGAGCCCGCGGCCAGCCCCTCCAAGAAGGCCCGCAAGAGCCGCGTCGTGTTCGACTTCACCACCGAGGAGATGGCCAAGTACTTCCATATGTCGCAGCGCGAGGCCGCGCAGCAGCTCGGCGTGGCCACCGTCACCATCAAGCGCAACTGCCGGCGCCTCGGCATCGTATGGCCCTACCGCCTCATGAAGTCCAAGAAGCACGCCATCAATTGGTCGGCCATCTCGCGCGAGGACGCCCAGCGCATCCGCCAGGAGCGCGCGCTGGAGCGGGCCAAGGCCGGTCGCTCGCCGTCCAGCCGCGACCGCAGTCGTAGCCGCTCACCGTCGGCTTGCCGCTCGGTCGCCGCCACCGACGACGAGGCCGCCGCCACGGCCATGACCCTGCTCAGCCAGAGCAGCAGCAGCATCAGCGTCGAGCTCACGGAGGCCGGCCGCGCCTTCGCTCGGCTGCCGCTGGACTGCATGGACAGCTCCGACTGCTAGAGCCTGCATTTCCTCCATGTCCACCTGCACCCGTGGTGTCGTCCTTTGAGTGACGTAGTGTACCATAAGTATATCCCGATAGCCTTAGATGAATCAATACACACGCCCCGCATAGATTGGGGATCAACTTCAACAACTGTTTCGACAACATCGGTCATTGAGGGAGGCCCTCCCGGAGGGTGCGAATGAGGTGGCGTTGCTTGGTCGCGCCGACCCAAAGGCTCAGCCCGCGTGGCGTCCCACTCGCTGCAGACTGGCGAAAGGTGACTCACGGGATCGATTCGAAGCTTTGGAAGCCTTTTGTGGGGCGTAAGGCTCAAGCGGCGGGGACAGGCTCGAGCGCACTACAGGAGCCCTCCGCCTCTCGGCGACTTCTTCTTGCACCCTCGCCAACGCGCGGACTGCTTCCAGCTCCATGGCACTGAGATCCGCCTCGCTCGCGTCACACCAACAGCCTCTTCCTCCCTGCACCTCGGCCTCTGAGGGCACTGACTGACGCGACCCGGGCGCAAACGAAAGTCGCCGCGTGCGACGCGCGCCGTAATATTTCGGAGGGAGGGGCCCGATGATTTATATGAGCGACGCACGGGCTCCCTCCCTGCAAGGGCACCTTCAGACGCGGCGGCGACTAGCGGACGAGCCAGGATGGAGCGGCTTATTCGTCGCCGCGTTGTAAGACGACGCGTGGGTCGTCTGCATGCGGCGGGCTCAAGCGGCACGCACTGATCTACATCCGGTACAACGGAGACTTGAAGCTACATACACCTGCAGAGCCCATGGCACAGCCAACCACACCAGCCTTACATGATGTGCTCCGTTTCATTCTTCTAGGCACGTCAAGACGGCACGCACACTTACAAGAAAGAGCGGCCAGATAACGGCGACGACCCCGTACTTCTAGCGTCCAGCCCAGCAGCAGCAGCGTTTGTGCTGTCACCGCCACCGCTCCATGGGCTGTCAGCTCTCCGGCTTGAATCGGCCACCGCCTTCGCGCTCCCTCCCTACTGCTCCATTACGTGCTTGATGCACGCGACCCACTCCTCGTAATGCGCCTCCGTCACAGCCTGCAGCAGGATCCTACGTTGTAATTCAACTGTCAACACAAGAAGAGTCAAGTCACAGCGTTAGCACGCACGCTACTATCCAACACAGAACAATAGCTGGTTGCTCCATACCTGAGCTGTCTCCGCTTGTTGCCCTGGACGAAGACCTGGTACAGCCGGTCCAGAATAGTTGCGCTGCCCTCCTCCTGCTGCCGCTCTTCAGATGACTTGAGCGGCAGTTTCGCCTGCACATCCTCGACACACCACACCACGCGCTCATACTCGCCGCGACCAGAGCTGCGAGCTGCTCGTCAACGCAACGAGACTATGAACTGCAAAATCATGGCTATTTCTGATGCAGCACGTGAACCCTGGGGGGGGCTACGAAGTTCGTTGTCGCCATTCAGTGTCCCCTACGCAGGACGGACGCTCTTCATGCAATTCAAGACATTTGTCAACGGTAGTTGTCTTTATTTTAGGCGCGACGGTCTCAATTCGTGAGCGTTGTGAGCGAAACGGGCCTCGCATCTCTATTGCTGGAAGCCTTCTCAGCCCATTTCGTTGCCATTCGTGTTTTGCTCCGTTAACCACCACGATGTATGCCAGCGTCCTCCACCCACCAAACATCCAGCTCCTTAGCGACGCGGTTATCAGCGGCATAGTGCAGTATACCAAGCGAGCAAGAAGGGTCTACACGGAGGAGGAGCGACCCAAGAGGAACGAGCTGCAGCGTCACTGTGAACAGGGACAAATGCATGGAACACTATCAACGAATTGGGAGGGGCATTGTGGTGCACCAGAAGATGAGGACGTGGCAGCAACGGAGGATTGCTCCGCTACAATAGGCAAGAGGAAGCGTGCCGAGACCCCGACAGATTCTTCGTATAGACCCCTCCAACATCCTCCGCGTGATCCCCAAGAGACTCAGCAGACCGTTAGACCCATGACGACTGGAGAGGAAGAAACTGAAGCACTGCAGCTTCATCGAACCCAGCGCCGGGAAATCCAAAGACGCTACAGAGCCAAACAGAAGAACCATCTCGAGACCCTCGAGAAGGAAACGCAGCAGCTTCGTCGTGAGATCGCGGCGCTCGAAAGCCGTCGTCGTGGTAACCAGACGAAGGAGGACATCTGGAACGTGGCAGCACAATACTTTGACCTCTTCCGTCGTGGTACTCAACTGAAGCCGCGCTTCAACGCCATGGCAGCTACGATTAGCGACAATCAGACAGCGCTCAACGACGGGTACGCCACTGAGGCTGCGCGGAGAAGCTGGTGTTTCTCCCAGAGGTTCGATGACTTCGAAGTGGAGCCTTTCGGCTTGAAAAGGATGGAGAACGGGTCCGTGACCATCGCCACGAGGACAAGCGTGACCCTCACCGAGAGAACGCTACGCAAAGTGTTCCCGCACCTTTGTGCCTCACACGACGGGCGACACCTGCGAGATAGACTGCTGGGTCAACGGATCGTCATGCACGGCTCGACGTACTTCCAGTGGGATAGCGACAGTGGCCGCGTGGTGAACGTGATCGCTCAGAGCGATATGCTGACACCTATGCTGCACCTTTTGGGGAGTTTGGAGGACGTTGCATTTGTGTTTGACAAGGCACTGGTATCTCCCGACTTCCAGTGGAAGCCGGCCTCTGCGTAAAGCCACTGGTGGGATGACATCAGGAAGAAGAAGTCGGTATTTGAAACCTTTAGCTTTCGCTTCTTATGAATAAGCTTTATTTTTTTTTTAATAAATTCTCTTGGGTGCTACTTAATTGCGAGTACACTTCACTGACTTCCGAGTAATTTCACTCAAGTCTTATTTGTGACTTAGGAAAGACGCCACAGAAAGCCATGCCACCCTGAACTAGACCAAAATAAGGCACGCTATGAATGCATCTGGGGAAGTAACGCATCGAATCACTTGTGCGGATGCGAGCAAGCAAATAGAGAATTTAAGCGTTACCTAGCAGAAAACAAAAGAACACATCTTCTTATGGGCTTGTAGCACGTTATTTACGTTCCTGAATGACATCCCAACAAGCAACGCCTTTGGAGAAGAGTCAGTAGTAGCAAGTTGATGCAGTGCTCGCGTTCAAATGAAGTTTATGTACTCGAAAGTCCGAGTACATTACTCGTTACTCGAAAATCCTTGAAATGTACTCGAAAGTAAGGACAACCCAATTCTCGTTCGTCTTCGAAGATGTTGATGAATCTACTGGAGCAACGCAAATAGCTACAATGGGCCCAGGGCCATGCGAACTGTAGCACGACGTTGGAGTGATCCTGTACCTTTAAAGTTGCACATAGGCTAACGTTCTGTAACGTCAACGTGGCACGAGTGACTCATGATGAGTCGTGCATGCACCACGAGAGCAAGAGAGGAGGAAGTCCATCATGGGTCAAGCTGACCAGGTCGTCACCATTTTGGTTGTTAGCAAACGCGGCGTTGGACATCGCGGCATCGCGCTGGAGCAACACTCGCCATCGTAACGCGAAGCTGGATGACTCCAGTTGGCGTATTTGCCTTGTGGGCTGTCTCCCTTCGACTGCGGCCGAAAAGGGGCTCCGAAGACCCCTCGGAGCTCATTTTTCGCTCATACACGTACAGTTTAGCCGACTACTGCGCCCAACGCACCACGCTACGTCGAACGATAGCAATCCAATTGCTAGTACTTGTAGTGCAGCAAGGTATAACGCGAAGTCGGATGACACCCAACGCACCATAAAACAAGTCAGATCATTGATACATTCGGAGGAGACACACTGCTGTCCTCTACTTTAGGTGTACTGCCGTTCATTTCCGAATCGGCCCAATACCCCCCAAGCAAAAAACACAAGTCCGAAAGTCGAAAGGCGGGAGCTATGCAGGCGACGCACATGCTACTCTTGCTCTTGTTTGCATTCATTATAAGCCCTGGCATTATTGCAGCCAACGAGGACCAGCATGGCATCATACGCCACCGCTTACTCAAGTTCCCTACCACGGATGGAACCTCGCCACAACAAGGCGACAACCCCACCGATACCTTGCCGAGAGTGGAGATCGAAGAGAGAGCGTTCCTGTCCTCAGCTGCAGCGAGAGTCAAAGGTCTATTCAAGAAGAACTCTGGTCTAAGCAGCCAGCTCGCTAGTACGCGCAAGAATGCCGACATTGTCGCGGCTGTGGAGAACATGCCAATCGCGAAGAAGCTGGACACCGCCATGAAGAAGGACCCGAGTTTTGTTAAAGGGCTGAGCAAGGACCCTGAATTGATCGAGAACTTGGCGAAGAACCCTCCAATTGGGAGAGTTTCGAGGATGCTGGAGAAAAAGCACCTCAAGGTCTCAAAGCGCAAACTCAAACAACTTCGGGCTGCTGCTGACGGCGACGAGTACCTACGCGCCAATCTAGAGGCAATGGATGTTATGGACGATATGATACTCAAGCCGGCTGCGTACGTGCTACTCGCTGTGATCGCCCTCATCGCCTTAGGCTTTGGAATCTCATTCCTACCGCAGCTCCTAACAGAAACAAAGTAACCAACTCAGGTCGGCGGAGTGCTTGTACCGATAAGACTGCACCATGGTCAAACATATTCTTTTAACCACATTTGAAAGCCTCTACCACTGATTTAAGCTACACAGATGACCAATCAGCGCGGGCCGCGGTTCGCGGACCGTGCGGCCATACATTTGCAAGGCAAAGGCGGTCAACCATGGAGCTCATGCCGGTCCTTGAACCGAGTGACGACGGCCAGGTCGCCGCTGTAGACGAACAACACGCCAAGCCGCCGGAGGACGACGCGGTCAATGCGGTCAACGTCAACGTGGCGCCCACGATCGAGGAGGCCGTGGCCGCGGCCGCGCAGGCCGAGCCGCACCACGTCGAAGACGTCGCCCTACCGGCCTCCGTGTCCGTTGGGCTCGGCCGGCGCCGCGGGCGCAGCGGCCGCCTGGGCGGCGACAAGGCCGAGGCGGCCATGGTGCTGCCCAGCTTCATCTGGGACTACTTCGTCAAGGACGCCAGCGGCAAGTTCGTCATCTGCACGCTGTGCCCCGCGCAGACCACGCGCTTCGCCTACTCGGGCGGCACCAGCACCATGAACCGCCACCTGCGCAAGAAGCACCACAAGTACGCGCCGGGCAAGTGCGCGGCCGACTACGAGTACCCGCGCGGCCTGCACCGCCGCCAGCTGCAGCAGCAGCTCCAGAGCCTCGCGTCACCCGCGGGCGGGGCCGTGGCCTCGGCCGCCTCGGCCGGCCTGCTGCTGCCGTCGGACACGGCCGGCGTGCTGGGCAGTCTGTCGCCCGGCGAGCCGCTCGGGGGCAAGCAGCGGCATCAGCTACTGGAGCTGCGCACGGCCCGCCGGCGCGCGGCCAGTGGAGGCGCCGCGGCGTCAAAGAGGAGGAAGCTCGTGGTGGACCAGGCCGAGCAGGCCGCCGCCATTGGGGCCGCGGCCAGCGCGACACTCGGAGTTGCGGCCACGGAGTTCGACCCGGCCGGCTTTGTGACGCTGCCCGGCACGACGGCCGGGGCGGCCACGTCGGGCGCACTGCAGTTCCCGGCGGGATTCGAGCTGAACGATGCGGCCATCGAGTTGGACCAGAGGTTCTTCGACTATTCTACTCTAGCCGGCGCCGGCCCGACTGGCGGAGTGCTGCGCGGGCGGCGACACAGCTCAAGTATTAGCGGGAATAGTGGCGCTGGCGCGGTGAACGCCAGTGTGAACAATGCGACCAACCAGAAGATCCTGACACATCGGCTGCTCAAGTACCTGATAGCACAGTACGAGCCGCTGGACGTCTCGCACATGGGAACCGAGCTAGGCATGCTGCTGTTCGGCGGATCTACGGAGTGGCCCACCCCTGGACTCAACTTTGGCTATGGCGGGGCGCTCGGATTCGGCGGCGCCGGCATGGGTGGCCCCTTGCCTAAACTGCCGTCCGAGGACACCATCAAGCTGGCGTTGGCCAATCTGTACTACTCGCAGCGAGAGATTTTGAAGGAGGTGATGGCCGATGTGGAGGTGCTGAGCCTGTCGCTGAATAATTGGACGTCTGCATTTGGACAAAATGTGCTCACGGTGAGCGGCCACTGGATCTCGCGCGGCTTCCGGCGTCGCGACTGTGTGCTGGAGGTGTACGTGCTGCCTCTGGATGAACGCGTGAACACTATCGCGCTGCTTCGAGACGTCATGGACAAGTGGGAGATTCCGTCATCTAAAGTTGCAGCCTTAACGATGCGCCCACATACGCCTACCATCAACAACTCACAAGAAAACGACACCGACAGCCCAAGAACAGCCGCTGAAGCTCAGGCAGAAGCAGAGGCCGAAGCGAACGCAATTCACAGCGAATACCCGGGCCTGGCAGTCGTACGATGCTTTGTGGAGGAGCTTGAAGGCGCCGTGTCCAGTGGTTTGCGCGAGTGTGCAGATCTTACGCGTCGTTGCCGCAACTACGTTTCCTATTTCATCCAGAATCCGTCGGAGTACCAGATTTTCCTCGCTTTGCAGCGCAGTATGGGCGAGGAGGCCTCTGCTGCCTCTGCAGCGTCAGCTCAAGCAGCATCCATTGCGGCCACGGCGGACGGGGTCAGTGTGAGTATTGCCGAGGGTGGAAACAGTACGATGGGCGACGAGTTGGACGGTGTCAAGGACGGCCAAAGCACGGATGTGACAGCAGAGGATGGGACGTCTTCATCCCAGAACGCTACGTCTGCACCCCCAGCTTCCGCATCAAGTAGCAACAGTGGCGAGGCGTTGCCTGTAATCTGCGACTTCGATGACCGCTGGAACTCGACGACCCAAATGATGTGTCGAATTGTGCAGCTGGAGCCCATGCTGCTGCGGTACAAGACTGGACTGGAAAGTGACACGAACCCAGCCCGCAGACCAATGCAGTTGCGTTTTGTGTGCTGCGAGTTGTCATCTGAGGAGTGGGCATCGCTAAAGCAACTCGCGCGGCTACTGGACCCTATTGAGGGATTGGTTCACGTGTCTCCGCTGGCTTATCCGGGCTTGTCGATCGTGTATCCGCTGCTGCACTCGCTGAAGAAGCATCTAGCTGATGCCGGGACGTGGGTGACAGACCCGCTGGTCGCGACGGTGAGGCATACAATCGTCAACAACCTCAATATGGACCTCTGCTCGTCAGGCCAAGCCCCGTCGTCCCCATACTTGTCGTGTTTACTGGATCCGCGGTTCAAGTCGCTGCCGTTTCTCCCTCCGTCGGAGAAGGAGGGACTCGTTGAATCGCTCTACCTGCTGCTTGGGGTGAATGACAAGGACGACAGTGTTGATGATGATGGCCAAGCGCAGCACGTTCCTGCAACGGAAGAAGACCAGACCGAGGAGCACAAGAAGCAGGATCAGAACGGCAAAGACTCCTCAGCCCCAGCAGGAAGTGCCTCTCTCGCCAACAAGAAGACAGCAGCGCTTCTACACGAGTTCTTCCCGCTGGACGAACCAGCTACCGAGCTGGACAAGCTCAAGACGCAGGTGCAGCAGTATCTGGATTCACCATCGTTGCCCGCCACGGACGAGTCTGAGCACGACCCGCTGGAGTGGTGGAGTCGGTACCAGCGGTTGTTCCCATCGCTGGCCCGCCTTGCCAAGAAGTATCTCTGTATTAGTGCCGTGTCCACACCGTTCCAAGAGGCCTTCACTAACTACGGCCAATTGATGCGGGAGAAGAAAGCTCGTCTGGATATCGAAGTGGCGGCCCAGGTGCTCTTCTGTCGCAGTGTTTCTCGGATTCCCGAGATGGAACGTATCGGCGTATAAAGAGAAGAAGACAAGCTGTTGTTGGATTCTCAATTTTTAAATCAAAAGCTGCTTGATGGTTGCAATGGTATAATACTGTAGTTTCTGATCTCCACCAACATTGGTTCATCCCAGTGTTAGGCGGGCGTTCCGAGTCGGAACTTCCGACTGCTCTCTTACGAACACAATCGAGAATCAATCACTGTTCAATCAAGTGTTTATGGGGATTACAGTCATCCCGAATTGCGTTATGCCACGAGTAATGCTTCGTGTCGTTGTACATGTAAGTACTGTGTAGTCTACACACTTTTGCGTTATGAAAAAGCGATGTTATTCACACTTTCCGTTACGAAAGTTTATGAGCGATGATTGGTTCAGCGAGAATCGTTCCCGGTACACAGCACAAGTACATGCACGAAAATACCGTACGCAAAAATACCAACTCCATACTGTACGATGAGCGAAATGAGCTCAAATAAAGTCAAGCACGTTGTCACTCATCCACAGCATTGACTTGTACATGCAGAAACATTATACTGTAAACAAACTGCTCTCATCCGCGCCGTAGAAGAAGTTTGAGCCGCTAATTCTACGATCAAATGCTCCACGACTGGCACATTAACTTACAACTCCTAGGATACGAAACCCCTATCCGTACCTGAGACCCGCTGTTGACGTGTACGGAGGGCCAGATCGCACCGCAGTTCTTTTATCCCATGTCTTGTAGCAGTGGTTGACGGGGATGCACACTGTCACCATCTCGTTTCGACTCGATTCGCCGTCGGTACTCGACGGGTTGGTGAGTCCATTTCGAATTCGGCTCGGAGCCAGCACTTCCCAGAGCGGAAAACACGTCGGAGTACACACGTAAAGCATGCCGACAAACCACCTGCTTCTCCTGCTCCTGACGGCTTTTGTCGTCAACACCAATGCCGCTGTTGCCACCAAGGATCTACCCAACACACGCAACCACCGCATTCTCACAAGCAAGGTCACCCCCGAAAATGAAGAGCTACCATCGATCAAAGGAGAGAAGGAGGAGAAAGTGTTCATGCCCTCAGCTGTTGCGAGACTTAAAGGTCTCTTCGGGAAAATCCCTGGTCTCGGCACCAAGTTCAGTGGCGCGGGCAAGGATTCGGCCGTGTTCACGGCTGTGGAGAGAATGCCCATCGTGAACAAGCTGGACAACGTCGTGGAGAGGAACCCGAACTTCGTCGAGAAGCTGAGCAAGGATCCTAGAGCCATCGAGAGATTGGAGAACAATCCTGAAATCGCACGAGTGTCGACGATGCTGGAGCAGAACAAATTCAAGGTCACCCAGAAGGACATCAACCAGCTTCGAAATGTTGTGGGCGACGACGCCACCAGACTCAGCAAACTTGAGATTATTGAGGTGGCTCGGCAGGTTGGGAGATGGCTCGTGCTGGATACCATTGCCTATATTCTGTTTGTGGCTTTAATCTTGGGGCTTGTCGCGGTCGTTGCAAATGGCAACTAGTTCAGGTCACTACGTAACATGCTAGGGAAATGAACAAGAGACCTTGATTGAAGACGCTAAACCGGCATAATACTTCTGGCCAACTACTACGTAGGTCCATCCCAATTTCCCCACCTTGATTGTGTTATTGCTTTTCTTTTACAGATTTTTCTTTAAAAAAATATGACCGCGAACTTGATGTAATGTTGCTGCCGTCCTCGAAATCATACCGCTAATTTTTTCGACACCCGAATATTACAACACCTCAGGCCTCCGGCCCGAAGAAGCTCTGAAAGTTGAGGCTTTAATAAAAATGAATGTGGAGCTAAGAAGGAAATATGATGTTGTGTTTTGTTTGCACGCCATGGTTAATCGCCCCAGGATACTTGCACTGAACACAGCAGCGCCTAATATCACTAGCGGCACGCTTTCATTCTCGCAGTTGTTGCATTTATACTTACACTTGTTTGTTGACGTGTCTCTCAATGGCGTTCTGCTCTCCCTGTTGCCACTCCGACTGGATATGGTCGCCTTCACAGAGAACCTTCGGCCGACTAGATGATGCCACGCTCGCGCAGTTCGTTCCCTAACTTGATCAGAAATGTTTCGGTGCCATACTTCAGCGTGAGGGCCCTATCTGGCCAACATCACCACTGTTTAGCGCGTCGTAGCCAATCGCCTAGAACGGATAGTAGGTAGAGGTGTCCACACACCTCACTTCAGGGATATACTCGAGGATGATGCACTTGAGTCGCGCCTCGAGCTCGATCTCGTGCACCTTGAAGCGCACGATGGAAGAGCTCGCGGATCTCGTGGGATATATTCAGCTACAGTATGCATTGTCGCTCTCCTTGTAGCCGCCAGCGTTCGCCATCGTGGATCACTGAAATTTTTTGTACTTGGAGTACTTTGAAGTACACCATAATGTTTTGAAGTTCTTGTTCATACGTCACTGTTTCTTTTTGCTACTAAGGACAAATAATGAAATTAATAAAGTAACTTGTGCGGTCTTACAGTGGATATGTTAAAGTACAAGGAAGAGTTCCACCGCGTGGTTTATCTGCCAAAACAAGCTAGGAGCCAACGGGGGTGTACATTTAATGCACATCCCCATTTTTCAAACATGTTTGAAAAATTCCACCGTACAACAAGCACATACGCTTGCTCACTACGTGTACGCGCCGTATCCTACGTAGCGAAAATAGACGTCACAGACGAAGCCTACGTCACACGCATTCATTGCGAGCGATACAAGAACATTTCAAGAAGAGCCGCCTAGTAAGGAAACGTGAGTTCATGTACCGACCAGTCTTTGCCTTTATGCAGGAGTGAGCTTTAGATGAACAAAGAAATCCATTTATTTCCACGATCATGACTGCCAAACTAACTTCTAGGTACGCACTAACAAACATTTTTAGCAAAACAAAACTGGTACTTCGACGTAGTGGTGTTTGGAGCAACTGGTATTTGCAGCTCAAAGAGGCACGCTCAACATCAAGTTTATACACAATGGATTACTGCTACCCCCAACGATTTTCTGTGCGATATCACTTCCCTTGCTTTCAGTCGACGAGCTTACAAGTTCCGCTGGTCAAAGTGCCTTAGGGCTTGGGGGTCGGGGGAGGAGGAATGTAGCGGTTGTATGGACTCTTGGTGATCGGCGTGCGCACGTAGTAGAGCTTGCGCTTCTCTGGCGAGTTCTCCTTGACGTCAACGCTGGCCGTGGCGGTCGTGGGAGCAAAGCACATCATGACGGCAATGGCGACGATGGCGAGTCCTTTAACGAGCTGCATGGTTCTGGCGGCGCTTTTTCTTCTCTTGTGGTTTTGGAACGCGAATTCGAGAATGAGGAATGAGGAGTCCTCATTCCAAGGTGTGGTCCTCAATGAGGACCACACCTTGTTGTCGGCACTTCGCGGAGTTGGAGAAGGACCTCGTGCTATCGCGGAAGAAATCGTTGACTTGGTATCATGGGCTGGTGAATGCAAATTGAGTCAATGATTTGATGCGATAGCCTACGGTAATTAGTCTGACCTAGACTATTTTTGATTGAATGGTTCATTGCTCTTAGACAATAAATAGTCTGACTTAGACTATATTTTTGCTAAGACTACTTATGAAGCAACACACACACGAAAGTCTTACTCGGAGTTTTCATCGACCGACTTACCTTCGAAGTGCTCGCGGTGTTTCGCGATAATATCTTGAAGATGCGGGTAGAGCTGGCCAACCGACCAGGTACCATCGATTCCAAGTGAAAGTCCACATCGAATCATCGCCTTGCGCGCATAGGACATGCCATTTTTGTCCTTTTAAAGGTTGACGGCTTTCACCGCGTATGCAGCAAGCTGGAGGAAAAACTTTTTCCCTGGATTTTGAACCACAAACAACAACAAAACTTGCAAAGGAGAAAAAGGTGTAATGGGTCAGTCGTGGTGATTAGAGCCTTGCACCCTTACCCGCATGACAAATTTTTTTGAAGTTGAAGTGGTCAGACTAATTATGAATTCTACAATTTGACCAGTACAATAAATAGTCTGACCAATACTATTTTCGAACATAGACTATTTCCGCACACAGACTAATTACCGTAGGCAGTGTACCGTATATGAGATCTCCTACTTCAGAGAGATCTCCTAATTAATACCGTAGAAAAAGAATATGGCCATATTTTGCACGAAAGGGGCTAAAAATGAACAAAAACAATGTACGACGCTACAACTTCAATAATCAGGGGTCTGAAGTAGGAGATCTCATATACGGTAATCAACCACGAAGTTTCAGATTCTGTACGTTTTTTTCATAGTGCATGGTTAAATAAGTACCCATCCATATACGTAGGGAAGTCTCGCGTTGAAGATTTGTGGGGAAAACAGAGTTCTAGCTTTTGCTCCTTCATGCCAACTTAACTAGGGCTCCACGAAGGCTGGGATAGGAGGTTTTTGGTATAATCGCTTTCTATTATTATGAGTTTTTTTTTACGAACCACGGGCATCTCCTGCGCCTGCTTCGCAGCCGCAGCGTCTGCCCGGTAATCCATCTCAAAACTGTAGATAGTGCTTATACACAGTGATAAAACGAACCTTGCTCGAGATCTGTTTGTAGCTTGTAGAAAATGAAAATATTTACCTTTGTATGCTTATGCAGCAGTTCGTCCGCTTCAATTATTCACTTTACTTCACTCCTACTATTTGATGTATGCTACTGACTCATACCGGTTCAATCTGCCCACGCATATAGAGGGCCAGTGCGGCACCGCGGCCGTACCGGTGTAATGGGTTTTCTACCAGTTCAGCTTGCCCACGCATATAAACCTTTTGGAGGGCCCAGTGCGGCACCGGGGTCACGCCGGTTTCAGGACAATGTACCAGTTAGGTCAAGAGGGGTCACCGACGTACCACGGATATAATCCTGTTTGGTCTGCGATAGCAGCACTAACGTTGCTTCCTATCCCAGTATTAAGTATGGATTAAAAATTGGTTGAAAATGCATTATGAACGATTTATTAACGTGAATATCATGTCCGTTCGACAATATCCAGACTACCTATTACGCCTACAGATCCTTAGAGCATCTCCACCGGTCGTGAGTAAAACTAAATTTTACCCCTTTTCTGTCAATATTTAATTATAGTTTTAGTTTTGTGCAGCTCCACCGGTTTGAGTAGTGCTGAGCAAATTGCTCCATTTTTTACGCAGATCAAATTTTTGCACAAGTTTGCCAACGGAGGAGGCTTTGAGTAAAAGGTTGAGTAAATGTCGACCAGCCAGTAGTAGGGCCAAGGCGCCGAACCAAGAGCTTTAACGCGCTCGCTGCGAGTCTCAATGGCCGGTGCTGCGCACTGTCTTTAGCACGGTTGTGCCGTTGTAGGCACGGATCTGAGGGCAATTTGCTTTTACAGAACTCTGCCTGAATACCGAACGCCTGATATATATATAAGGACTCCAGATTTATAAAGTGATCTCAGTGTTACCAGAGAAAAGGCTGTACTGAATTAGTTTATCTTAGACGGGATTTGACGCTTGCTTAGTTAATCAAACCCGAGTACTGAGTTGTTTCAGCGCTGACCTTCGACCAAGCGTGTTCGCACCACATCAGTGCGGTAAGTAGCTCTACTTTGTACTACTCCTAGAGGGCTTAGCGGGTAGTGTGCAAATGTGAAAGTGAAATCGTAAATACAGAGAAGATCGCACAGACAATCAAAAGGGCGCCAATTTTCAAACTGCACAGCTTAGTACTTTTAGCCAAGCAAAGGTATCCTGGATTTTTACATCAGTACCTTTGCCCATCTCAGTTCGTCCTGTAGTATCGGATAAAGCAATGCAACAATACCAGTGGCAACTGAGGTTAGATCATATACAACTTTAACAACTATTGTGGTTTTCAAATATTTTGCCGCCCGATTTGACGTGCTATCTCGGAGTCCGATTTATATAAAATGGAGCTCCTACATGATCGGTTAGTCCAATTTAGCTATATCTGGCCTGAGTTAGTAGCATATGGCTCAGAGGGGAGGCATTCCAAGCGAGAACGCGTGAAATACACACAGCAAATCAGGGACCTTCTGATAAAAGCATTCTGGGGGTGCATCCCCCAGACCCCCGCAGTAGAAAAACTAACTCCGAGTTGCGGCAATGGGTCCGCTCGCTGGAATGCTCGTTGCTGGGCCCGCCTCCGCAAATACCGCGCGGCCCTGCTTCGCGGGCACCCCGCGCGGGTTTGCTACGGCTTCGCTCCTCGCAACCGCTCACTACAGCCTTCTAATATGGTGGACCTACCCCTAAGGCTGTGTGTTTTTCAGCCCCCAGACCAAATCGGGCCAGATATAGTTTGCTTCCCAGCCCCTCCTGCTAAATCGGAGCCCTCCAGCAAATCGGGCCCGATATATCGGATCTTGGACCACCCGATTTGCCAAAACGGATGAAAGCCACAATACATGCGTACATGTAAGTAGACCTGGGTCCCAAACCGCTGACGCTATCATACATACTCTGCTGACCACGGCTACAGATTCGGAGGAGTTCCGTTGTGACTTCGAGGAGCAATTTCCATAATCCAGTACATATGAACACTTAAAAGTTCGAGGGTGCTCAAAGGAGCTCAAAAACAGTAGATGGCTAAGTACGGAATGAATCGGGTATACTGTAGTTGCCACCTGAACCTTTCAACAAAAAGAACAATACATTAGAGGGCAATAATTGCTGTATGGATTGTCCTATGAACGGTAAATATTGTAGTAATAGGTGTGTTCATGAATGGTGCTGGCGGATGCAAGTGGTAAAATTCGCCGCGATTTCACCTTCTAGTGACATACATAACAGAGGGGTCTAGTTATGCAGTATTATCGATCGTGTTTTGTAAGCCTGGCAAAGCAATACCACAGAGCAGCAGTTTTACACATTACGATATGTAAAACTTTCGCAACGCCAACTTTACAGAGGCCATGAACCTAGAGCAAATCGGTCAACATTAAATGATTTAAGCTTACCAAAAACCTGGAACAAATAGGATACACTTGTCCTCACTATCACATAGCTACGCTCTACGAGTGGTTCCACAAACCATAAAGGCTCGATATGTTCCACGTTCGTATAAATATCGGATTCGACACATTGTAGCCGATTGTTTTTGTACTTGCAGCTAGTTTTTTTATGTCGAGTGTTCCTGTGAAGTTTGGGCTTGTCCTAACTAAAGCTGTTTTTAGTCGACGTAGAGTCGTTCAGCCGAGAACGGATCCCACTTGACCTGCACCCGATGTTTGTGTGCTTGAGAAGCCTGGTGCTCGAAGCACAGCACCTCCAGTCAGTCAGGTAAACGATCATAATATAAAGAAGCAAAAACGACACTTAGCTATTTTTGTAAGTCGTTCGCTTGCGGTACTGCACGGAGTTAGTTATTAATGCTATGAATAACTCTAACGGCGTCAATCATAACCCTTATAATGGACTTTAGATTCGCTTATGTTAGCCTTACAACCCTTCTGTCTCGGCGCTAACTCAACGAAAAGCACGTACTCTGAAAGCGATGCCTTCCGGTAGCCAATCCTGAAGGCCTTTGGGACTGGCACCTCTGTAAATCTTTTTCTGTGGCCACGCTTGGCAGTGGTTCCTGAGGATGCATGTTACCACCAGTGTGGTAAGTTCGCTTGAGCGAACTTAATGTGAACTGTTTACAGTACTTCTAATTTGCCAGAGATTTTAGATAATCCAGTACATATGTACTGGATTATGGAAATTGCTTGACTTCGAGTCAGTGACCATTAGTAATGGACCATTACGTCCGATGGCGTGGGACGGCATACATGTCGCTTACTTGCGAGTCCGCCTGAGTCCATCTCGGAATTGAATCCACATCCCCATTGCGGAAAACACACCAAAGCGGAGAAGTCGATACGGGAGAAGCATGCACCTGACTCGCCTAATTCTACTGCTGCTGGTTGTGCTTGCTGCCAATGTTAATCCTGTTGCGGCGACCGAGGGTGAGTCCAGTGTCTCCCACACGAGCAGCCATCGCGTACTCACGGACAAAATCGACTTCAAGGCTGGGGAGTTGGCGAATTCGGAGCTCGAGGAGAGAGGGGTCATGACTTCAATTGCCACGAGATTCAAAGCAATTTTTAAGAAGAACTCTGGTCTCAGCAACAAGGTCGGGAGTACACGCCAGAGTTCCGAAATAGTCAAAACGTTGGAGAAGATGCCCATTGTGAAAAAGCTGGAGACAGCCGTGAAGGACAATCCGACTCTTGTCAAGGCGCTGAGCAACCCGGAATCAATGAAAAAGTTGGCCAGGGACCCTCAAGTTGCGAAGTTATCTGCTGTGTTGGAGCAGAACAACGTCAAGGTCACCAAGGAGGGCATTAACAAGCTTCGATCCGCTGCGGGCAACGATCCCGCTAAACTCAGCACACTGGAGGTTATCGACGGCGTAGTAGGGGCGACCATGATTACTGCTATTTCCGCAGCGGTCTTTTTTCTGTTAGTAGTTGGTACAGGCTGGGCTGCAGTACTGTTTGTGGATTCATTCCTACAAGGCGTTGAGAGATGAGGTGCAAAGCAATGTTGAGCTGAAATATCCTGATGTGAGAAGGCTTTTTGCGGAGAGTATCCAAACTCAAGAGAACCACCAGGATAAGTATAGTCACTAGCTTGGCCTCAATTCCTACAGTACCAAACTGCTCATAAAGGATAATTACGACGGAACATTGCGATGTTAATGAAGAATTCTTCGTTAAGATATGTATTATATGCCAAACTTAACCTCTAACGAGAAGAAAAGTTTAGCCATATCCTGACCAAAGTTAGTATTCCAATCCTAATTTCATTTTATACGGTCACCTCATTTCGACGTTATCCTAGGATAAATTAGCCGCACTATCCTATAAACGTTAACCCACAACTAGCCAATGCCTGGCCAGACTGCAAATTCCCATGCCCGAAAACCTGACTGAATAATGTTTCGTAAGGCAGAGAGCGAATCGGAAGTTTGAAGGAGGGATATGATGCGTATGATACTGGTTCACGTGCTACGTTAGAATTTTCAAGAACGTGTGTGCAGCTTATTGCTTCCGTCATTAAACAATTCATCGTTGTTTATTCGTAAAAGAAACAGATTAACATTACCATCCCCACACTGTCGCCGATTCGCGGCGAGCAAGTGTACCCATGAGATCCCGTATCGCAGTCACGTTGCATCAAGCGAGCTACGGTCCCACGTTGCCGCGTTACCACCTCAAATGGGTGGGCTCCGAAAGTGGATGGACCCAATCTGGCTGAGAAGAGACGTAAGTTCAAAATTGCCGTCCGAAGACCCGCTGGTCTCCTGAGCCTGGCGTGCCCAGCGGGTCCCACTCACTCCGCCTCCTGCCGATTAACACAGGCGAGTAAACTTTCGCAAGTGGAGCCGGGTGATCCCGACGCGCTAAAGTGGCTCCGTTATATCAGCCTCGACTTGACCCCGTGATGGCACCATCAACTCCCGTCAGGAGTCTCTTGCCTTGGCTGCCCCTCAAACTTGCGATAAGAGTAGTAGTGAGACTCCTAGCAACAAGCTCATGCATAGCACACTCAATCACTCCCCAACTTGCTCACTTCCACCCAAGTCCCTAAACCCGCAACAATGACCGCCGTCTTCTGCCCCAATGCCACGCACAAGCGCGTGCCCCCCAGTGCCACCTCCAACGACAAGAAGCAGCGCAAGAGCCGACGCAAGTTCGACCTCACGTACGAGTTCCTCTCGCAGTACTTCCACATGTCCCAGAAGGAGGCGGCCAAGTGTCTGAAGGTGTCGGTCATCACGGTCAAGCGCAACTGCAAGCGCTACGGCTTCAAGTGGCCCTACCGAGCCAACAAGTACAAGGCCGGCAACAGACCCGTGCTGTCCGCCAAGGGCCAAGCCTTCAAGCAGCTGCCGCTCGACTGCATGGAGGAGGAAGTTGAGGAGGTGAAAGAGGAGCTGAGCGAGGACGACACCGACACGGAGAGTGTAGAGGACACCGAGCAGCTGCAGAAGAGCTACAGTGCTATCTTGCTGACGTTTCGCAAGGCCCCGATCGATGTTTGAGGGAGAGTGAGAAGTTCTGTGTGACGTGCCTTAGCGTATTATCAGACTGCACCGAGTGGTAAAACTAGTAAGAACTATTCTTTTCTTTCACGTTTTACTGTGCTGTTTACCTTTTTTTTGTTTTAGTTTGCCATGATTTTCTTGCGGTTGATCGATTGAACTGCTTCAGATGCAACCGTGTGCCACTAAAGTCCGCCTCAGGTCTACATGTTGGCGAACCATGAATTCCGAGCTCGTAGAACGCAGAAGTGCTCGAGCTAAGCAGAATTGGGTTAATTTGTTTGCAAGTTGTACCACTTGTTGCGAGTTTCCAGCTATTGTCTTAAAATTGATAGATGGTTTGATCCTAAACGCTGAAATTCAAAACTCTGTTCACTGTCAGCAAGTGAGCAGCCTACCACATGTATACAGTCTACGCAACAAGCTGCAGCTGAGAAGGAAACGATCTCTGTAAGGAAGAACCCGCGGGTTAATTCGGAAGTTAGTCATCCATCCCGAAAGGATCCAAATGTGCAAAAGTAAAACGGTTAACTAGATATCTCGTTCAAAGAGATGTATGTCGAGATCAAACAGGGCCCAGATGATAATGCTGTTCTCAGTACTGGACATCTCATCTACTCTGGTCGCTGCTTGGATAGACTTTTTATGGGGTCGTATACTGATCGGGCCGGTCGATTTGGTCGGGCTTCGCCTGGGTGAGCTCCTCGTTTGCACCGCCAATTTCGCTTCGCTCATGGCGGGCAAGGCGTCGGTAAAAAGTTAGTAGCTCCTACTTAGACATACCTACTCCGGCCCACGCGCCGACCATTGCAGACCTCCGCTTCGCTGCGGTTGCAAACGGTCTCTCTGAGGCATCTCTTGACAGTGTTTGATCGTTCTACAACACTACAATTGTGTACAGGAAAGCCCGACCAAATCCCCCGACCCGATCAGTATACGACCCCATTAATAATCTACGGTTGCTTGGCTCGGCCCGGTACTCTGATTTCGAGCAGTGAACTCGTTCGACGTTGTGGACTTAACGACCGGCAAAACAAGCCTCGTCCTCATTGTTTTTTTCCCAGGAGATAAGTATGCAGAACTGCGTGCCTGATCTCCACGCGGCTTGGATAAAAAGTCAAGGGCGGAGAGTCCATGCAGCGGGCATCCGTGTACGTGTACGATGCTCAAGCTTCCCCTTGTGCTACATCTCGCATATCACTGAGACTTCGGTGAAGACAGGACACTGTACTCTACAGATAACGACACTATACTGGCTCGCCTTAGTTTGAAGTTCGTAAGAAAAAATCCCCATGAAAAATTTGAACTTAAACTATCGTTAGGGGCAGGAAACGCAGTACCGTGCTCCCAACACCGTTTTCTACCGGTAAGGAGACGGTACATGACTTCGCTGAACCATAACCCCCAAAAATCTTTACCATGCCTTATTCAACGAAAGCTCAATTATTTTTGACCATGTTGAAGTGTCACCTCTTTTTATAAAAGGACCACCGCCAAACAGAACTTGCCTTCATTTCGATATTTGCAGGGCGGCAGGCAAGTGAGGTGGGTCACTGGGCTCACACAGTCGAGCGTGATATTGGCGTTGGTTCTAATGCTTTTTGGATCTGGCTAGGTTGGACAGGAGGGCGATGAGCATGGATCCGCCAGCTGGACCAGCGTTTCGTTGTATAAACATTCAGAAGGGTTCGGCTTGGCGACATACTGTGTGGAGGCAAACGAGTAACTACGCTAGGTAAATGCGTGGATGGTATGGACGCGCCAGCGGTAACAATGGTGCTAACACGGAGCATTGTGTTTGAACAAGAAGTCGTTGAGACTTATTTAAGTATGACATTTGTTCATGAGTCTTCGGGAGCGCCGCCAATAGATGCACATGGACGAGGAGAACGTGTGGACACATCCGCCGATGACTCGGAGGATCCGACGGCAACAGGAGAGCCGGTGGCAGCCGGGCTCTGGGTACACCAATGACTGGTCAGGGAGACCCATATATACTGAGATCAAGTCAAGCGGAAACCGGGAGTAATCCTCTGATGAGAGGCACCAACGAGCACAAGGAGAACAAGAAGGAAAGCAGGAGGGGAAGACTAGAGAGTAGTTTGAGAGACGATAACATTTAATCTCACTTCGGAATTTGCCCCCTCAACCACAAGCTACAAACCAACAGGTTAACAGCCGCAACAAGCTCAAGCCCTCCCGACGACCGACATGACGACGTCCAGCAAGAAGGCCGAAGTCATCTTGGGAAGTGACAATTACTTCCACTGGGTGTTCGCGATGCGTATGACGCTCGCGAGGAAGGGGCTGCTGGCGCACGTCCAAGTGGTGAAGGACCCGACAGGCCTGGATGCTCAACGACATGAAGGCGCTCGGTCTGATCGCTCAAGGCGTGACTTTGGAACACCACACGAAGATTCGGTCGGCGACGTCGGCTATCCAAGCCTGGAATACTCTACGCGAGTTCTACAACCGGACGACGATGCATAATCGGGTCACGATGACTCGTCGGCTCCACGAGTTCAAGATGGAGGACGGTGCGACGATGGCGAAGCACCTGGACAAGTTCGACGAGCTCATCGTGGGCCTTCAGACGCTTGGAGAGCCCCTCGATGACTCCCGACAACTCGTCATCCTGCTGAGCAGCTTGCCGGCGGAGTACGAGTTGATCGCACCCATCGTCGAGAACTCGGAGGACGTGACCCTCATCGAGGTGAAGGAGAAGCTGCTCAAGGAGTACGAGCGCCAGGAGAAGAAGGAGACCACGGAGCGCGCGTTGAAGGCTACCTCGTTCGGAGGTAGGGGCCAGAACGGGAAGTTCGGCAAGGGCGGCAAGGCATTCGGCCGCAAGCGCAACGGCGGACGAAAGGTCGGTGGCTTCAAGAGCAAGTGCTGCAACTGTGACCAAGTGGGCCACATAAAGCGGGACTGCCCGGAAAAGGCAAATGGAGACACCGCCGAAGACTCGGTGTTCGCTGTGGCGGAGAATCCATCAGCGGGTTGGCTGATCGATAGTGGGGCGACGGCTCACATGACGCCTCACCGCGATGACTTGTTCGAGTACAACGAGTCGTCGGCGGACATGTATGTGACAATCGCGGACGGGAAGAAGATCCGCGTGGCAGGGAAAGGGTCGGTGCGCCTAACGGGCATCGACGGCAAGCGCATCAAGATGGTGGAGGTGCTCCACATCCTCGGACTCGACCGGCGACTACTCTCGGTTGGGAGGTTGGCTGAATGCGGCATGAGTGTCGAGTTTCAGCGAAAGTCGTGCGTCATCTGGGACAAGACGAAGGCGATCGCTTCGGGGAAGAAGGTCGGCAAGGCGTACTTGCTGGACTGCCAGCAGGACATGGTGTATTACACCGAGTACTCGGGAGTCGACGGGAAGTGGGAGCTATGGCACGCTCGTATGGGACACTTGAACGGAGTCGCTATGGCAAAGACCCGCGAGGCGACGGACGGGTTCCCGACGACTCAACAGCAGACGAAGACCCTGTGCGGAGGATGCATGAAGTGCAAGCAGACGGTCGCACATTTCCCGTCGCGGTCGATGTCGGCGACGACTCGACCGCTGGAACTAGTTCATACGAACGTGATGGGTCCTATGAAGACGAAGTCCAAGGGCGGAGCGAGGTATGTCCTCACATTTGTCGACGGCTACTCGCGACACGTCGTGGTGTACTTCTTGACCAAGATGAGCGAGGTCGTGACCAAGTTCAAGTCGTTCATGAAGCTGTACGAGAACCAATGAGGACAGCGCATTAAATGCCTGCGCTCGGACAACGGCACTGAGTTCGTGAACACACCGATGACTGAAATCTGCCGGGTGAATGGGATTATGCATCAGAAGACGGTCCCGTATAGCCCCCAGCAGAACGGCGTGGCGGAGCGGATGAACCGCACGACCATGGAGAAGGCTCGAAGCATGCTACACTACAAGGGCGTGGCTTCGATATGGTGGGCAGAGGCGGTCAGCACTGCTGTCTACCTGATCAACCGGTCGACGAACAGAATGCACCCGACCAAGACTCTGTACGAGTTGACGTTCAAGTCGAAGCCTCGGCTGGACCATCTTCGAGTCTTCGGGTCGATTGGTTACGCCCATGTCGACAAGTCGCGACACACCAAGTTGGAGCCTTAAAGCTTCAAATGTATGTTACTTGGGTACGCAGACGACTCGAAAGGCTACCGAGTGTACGACTTGGAGTCGAACAAGGTGAAGGTGTCCTGGTCGGTGAAGCTGGACGAGCGCGAGGTGAATGGCATCTACGACATGGCGCTCAGCGAGAACTCGCCGATGATTGAGTTGACGAAAGATGTCGAGGATGCGGCACTGCCCGAGGAGATGCAACGACCTGCCGCCGACAAGCCGATGGAATCGGTGGAAGAGACCGTCGAGGACACGGAAGGCGGAGATGCCGGAGCCATTCATGCAGGAGCTGACAACGCACCGACGACTCGCGAGACCGGTATGGAATGATGACATGGTCTTCCATCCGGATCCGGAACGGACCCGGCGTGCCCAAGAACCGGTACTACAACTTGGAGATGGTTCCGCAGACGGTAAGGAGTCGAAAGAAGATAGTCCCGATGACTCGGACAACGATGATCACTTCTGCCCACCGTCTCCAAAGCGACCCTGGGTGGACGAAGACAGCCTATTGGCTGAGGCGGTGCTGGCCTACGCCGCAGACATCGGCGATACCAATGACGCACCCACCAGGTATCAGGAGGCCATGCAGAGCGACGACTCGTCGGAGTGGGTGAAGGCAATGAATGTGGAGCTCAAAGCACACGCGGACAACGGATCATGGTCGCTGGTCCGTCGGACACCGAGTGCTCGACCGATCGGTTGTCGCTAGGTGTTCGCAAAGAAACGCGACGAGCACGGCCGAGTCATCCGGTATAAGGCCCACCTGGTGGCGAAAGGGTTTAAGCAGAAGTATGGCGTGGACTTCTTCGAGACGTACTCGCCCGTGGTCAACATGAACTCGATCCGAGTGGTGTTGTCGGTTGTGGTGGCCGAGGCGTACATCACCGAGCAGCTGGATGCGGACACCGCCTTTCTCAACACCGGGCTGGTGGAGCGCGTCTACATGGAGGTGCCCTACGGAATCATCAACGCGAAGAACATGATGTATCGGTTGCAATAGGCGATCTATGGTCTGAAGCAGGCGGCGAATGCCTGGCATAAGACCATCCACCGAGTCTTCGTGGGCATCGGATTTCGGAGCTGCTGCGGCGATCAGTACGTATACGTCAAAGGCGAGAAGGGCAGGTTCGTGTATGTCTGCCTGTTCGTGGACGACATGATCATCGCGGCCAAGATGAGCGACGAGATCCAGGAAGTCAAGGTGGCGCTCAAGAATGCGTTTAAGATGAAGGAGTTGGGCGAGGCCTAGTTCATTCTCGGTATGGAGATCGACCATGACTCATCGGCGAAGACTCTCATGATCAAGCAGACTCGATACATTGATGATGTGGTGAAGCGGTTCAACAAGCAGGACGCCAAGGTGGTGGTGAACCCGTGCGAGTCGGGCATGAAGTTGTCGAAGACTCAGTCGCCGATGACTCAGAAGGAACGTGAGGAAATGCAGGCGAAGCCCTACCGAGCACTCACTGGCTGTTTGCTGTACATTACAACGTGCACCAGACCTGATGTGGCGTACGTCGTGACCCAGTTGTCGCGCTTCCTCGAGAACCCCGGGCAGCAGCACTGGAAGGCTGCCATACGCGTGCTCAGGTACCTGAAGAGCACCCGAGACATCGGCATCGCCTACAATGGGAACGCGAAGAAGGTCGAGGTGACGGCGTACACCGACGCCGACTGGGGCAGCAATCTCGACGACCGACGCTCGGTGTCGGGCATCATGGTGATGATTAGCGGGGCGCCGGTGGTCTTCAAGTCGAAGTACCAGCGCACGGTGGCGCTCAGCTCGGCGGAGGCCGAGAACATGGTGCTGAGCCTGTGCACGCAGGAGGTGCTGTGGACCCGCGCCATGCTGAAGGACATGGGTCACGAGCAAGTGGGAGCTACCCAAGTATGGGAGGACAACCAGGGCGCGATCGCTCTCGCAAGCAACGCTGGCTACAACGCGAGGACCAAGCACGTGGACATCAAGCATCCCTTCATCCGCGAGAATGTGTCCCGAGGACTCATCGTGTCAACTACGTGCCGACGGAGGACCGGCTCGCGGACATGCTTACCAAGACGTTGGGGACGAAGAGGCTCAAGTACCTGATCAGCGCAACCAGAGTCGTCGGGCGGATGACGTGCCGCCAGGTCAGAAGCCCGCGGTAGGAATACATTGGGAGTATGAAGCACTAGACCATTATTAGGAGTAAGCACAACAATATACATGAAAACACACGACAGAGTACAACCTGAGAAAGAAGAACAATATAATAGTAAAGAATGAAGCCGACTAAAACTTGGGCTAAATTGGAAAGTGCGATAAATTCGTACAGGAGGCCGATAGTCGATGCTAGAAAAAGGTCTATTTTAGGCAGCGGATAGTCGGTGTCACTTGATTTTTGTATGGCAATCAAATTAGGTCAGCTTTTGTCGAACTGTATCAGTTTATCGGAATTGGGTGTGGTCCCAATTTTAACTTAGTTTAATCAGACCGGTGGAAATGCTCTAAACCGCAACAAATTTAAATTCAAAACAGACCGTCTTAGAGTGTCCCCACCGGTAAAGCTAAACCCAAAGCTAAATCTGAGTAAACCTATACCCGCTTCATGTCTGGCAGCTCGAATTTGGCATCAGCTAGTATTAATAAAAGGTAAAATAAAAGGTGCATGGTAAAGTATCTTGGATTTCGTATGACCCTGAAGTCCGGATGCTATTTCCAATGCCAAATTTGGCAGCAGATTTAGCGGCGGCCAAATCACCAATACAAAAACCAAGTCATTGTTTCAGATGGTTTCGGCAGCTACAGTAAATCACCACTGCACACGGTTATTGTGGGTAGGGAATCGAGGTTTAGCATTGGGATTTAGCTTTACCGGTGCGGACACTCTTAGTAGGTAGCCGACTCCCGGAAATGTGCAAAGTACCGTGAAGCACATTATAGCACAGCAACATGCTATACAACATACTTGTACGAACTTCGTCTTTCCCCGGGACCCATGGGCCCGGGAAAGCTGTAGCTTCTTCCTTGAGCTGGTTTACTGTTAGTTCGAGCCGGGGGTATTACACCGGTTATGATGGACATAACCACCTTGGGACCGCCCGCCGTTTCCTTCTGCACTAGGCCGGCTGTGCCAACTGGGGCCAGGTCGCTCACGGTTGCGCACGTTGATGTCCATGCTCGTGTGGACCTGGCGTGCAGCTCCGTGAAGATGCCGAAGCCCGGGCGTTTCTCTGCGAGTGTGTAGTACACACTGTACCACGCCACTCCATGGCGCCGGCTAAAAACAGCAATCAGCAAGGTGCAAACGTTCCAGTGTTCACAAAGTACGTGAAACTTGAATGCGGTATTGGAGACGTATGGGTCCAGAAGATGCGGAACAAGTGAACTAGGGAGGGGACGAAGAGCGCTCGAACAATTGAAGAGCAAAGCTTACAGATTTCGCATAATTAGCTGACTGCATCGCAAAACCACTCACTTCACCGTATGTGAGGCGGAGGTACGCGAAAGTCTTCACAAGGGGTGGAAAGACGTCCCCCCCATCTCATCGCCGCCTCCCGCAAGACCGACTGACGCTTTCATTCCGGAATCCGCCTCCAAGTTTTCAGAACACACAAGTCCCGACATTCAACATGCAGCTTACTCGCCTGTTCGCCTTGTTCATGGTTGCCATCTTCGCAACGCGCGTCGACATCTCGGCTGCCAATGAGAAGACCGACATCATTGAGACCACCAACAAGCGCGTGTCTCTAACTGCGGAGAGTGAGGAAAGGGCCTTGCCCTTCTAGTTCCTTTCGAGAGTCAAAACTGTACTCGGCAAAACACCGGCCTCGGCGACAAGGTAAGAACTCGGAAGTTGCCACGGCTCTGGAGAAGAATCCGGTGGTCAAGAAGCTGGAGACCGCCGCGGTGAACGATCCAAAGCTATTCACCGAGTTGAAACAGGACCCGAAGTTGGTCGAGAAGCTTGAGAAGAACCCCCAAGTCGTGCAAGTGGCGAAGGCGCTGGAGAAGAACTAGGTCAAGGCCACGAAAAATGACATCAAGCAGCTCCGATCGGCTGTTGCAAAGGACCCAGCGAAAGCGAGCAGGGTGGAAGAAGGCCTTCTGGTTGTTCAGGGGATTGTGACGGTGGGGATTCTCGCCGGGTTCGCGTTGCTTTTCCTCTTGTTGATAGTCGGCGAACTGAAACAGAGTAGTGTCAAGTAGTTAAAGTATCCATTGAAAAGTTGAAAGGCTACCCGGTGGCACTTTGAAGGTATCAGATACGAGAAGAACGGCATTCGAGAAGTCAAGTCCAAGGTGAGACATACAGCTGAGACCACGTTGGACTTCGCCAAGATCTCTCGTTCCAGATTGCTCGGTCATGGGACATCAACGCTGCCTTTCCAGCGCGTTAGACGAAGCTTTAACCCGATCTTCATTCCACAGGGAGTCCAAAACGAGGGGAAATACCCAAAAATCTATAGCGACTTTAACTATAAAACGCCATTGCTTTGGCACATTTCATCATCGCGACTTCAATGCTCGCTTTTTAATCTAGTACCAAGTTCAATACTGCTAAATCGATAGAGAGAGCAATCAAGTAGCAAAAGTATCCATTTAAAAAAATAAAGCCTGGCATTGAAAGTCTACATGCCAAAATCCCGAACTCCACAGAATCATAGTGGAATATAGGCAGTTCGGGGATCTGGAAATATCGTGATCCATCCTCTAGTTCCAGGTTCCACGATACACTTTTACATAAACTTAGTGACAGAGTTGACCGACCACCCACTGAGATTCGGTGAGACCCGCTGTCATGTGCTTCCTAGCTATTATCCGCAGAATCCGCAATTGTGTTAAACCACCGGATGCAGCCATCTCCCGCTGGATAGATCTCATCTAACTTGGCGTGAAGCTATTCTGTCCCCCACACAAGGAGCAATCTCGAACGTGGGATCTCCGATCCTCCGCAAAAGTCCTACGTGGCCCCAGCTACACGTCTCTCAAGGACTCGGCGCGAATCTCAATCCAATCCAGTTCTCAACTTTCCCTGTCCCAGCCAAAACCCCACAAAATGCCGCACTATTTCGTCATCGACGCTCGCTTCAGCGTCGGCAAGGACCCCGACACCCCGTTCATGAACTACGACCTGCCCCACAAGTGCGAGCCTTCGTACCCACCTACAAAGTCTCGACGAGGCAAACTCCCCCGTGATCGGAGCGGCTCCATCTCGGTCGCATCCCTCAACACCTTCCCAACGTCGCCCGTCAACCGGTTCGCTCAGTCCATGGGCCCAGCGAGACCAATAACTCCGACGGCCTGGAGCAGACACACGACCCCCGCCATGTCCACGCGACGCATGGACTTCTACTGCGACTACAGCTTCGTGGACTCGTGGGACCACTCGTACCGCGCCAAGTCGAACCGCCGAAGCGTCTGGCAACGATTCGCGGAGAACGTGGACAAGTGCGTGTTCCGTGTCGTGAGCAAGTTCTACAAGTGAAATTGTTGTTTAGTGTGTAAATGAGTCTGTGGTAAAGTGCCCACTAAGCCCAATGGTAGGCTGTGGTGAAGATGCTAATATTTAAATAGTGGATGTTCATGAATTTATTGTTGTAGCTAAAGACCGCAGTCAAAGTGCTATGTTGCGTGGGTCACAACCGCAATCGCCGCTATCGCCAGCAACAAGACGAGCGTGGCGAAAACGCCCTTGACAACCAGCGTCGTCAGCTTGTCTAGTACGTCCAGAATCTTGTCCAGCTTTCCCTCGATTGAGGGATCCTTGAGTCTGGCAATTGCCGCTCGCAGCTGTTTAATGTCGTCCTTAGAGAAGTGCGTGTTCTTCTTCTCTAGCGAGACCGAGATCTTCGCCACTTCGGGATCCTTGTGCAGTTTCTTGGGCAATTCGGGGTCTTTCTTCAGCGTATTCACAAAATTCGGGTCATTCACCGCAGCGGTCTCCAGCTCCTTCACCAACGGACTCTTCTCCACAGCCGCAGCAACTTGAGGGTTGCTGTGCATGCTCGCGACTTTCTCGGTGATGCCAGAATTTTTACCAAAAACGCTTTCAACTTCCGAGACGAACGTGGCAGACAACCCTCTCTCCCCGCTCTCTCTACTCGTAAAACCGCTCGAATATCTTCCCCGGCTGAGGGCGCGGAGTCTGGTGGTCTCGAAGACGTCGGTCCTGTCGTTGATGGCGTCGATTACGTTGCAGAGCATGAGGAATACCACCATCAGAGCTACCACGATGCCATTTAGCTGCATAGTTCGCCCCGGTCAACCCGCACTTGCGCGTGTGTCGGAGCTGATTCTGAATTGACATGTGAGCTCGTCGCTGCAAGTTGCAGGAAGTACAAGTTGAGATGGGGTCATGATAGCCTTCAAGCTTTGCTTATCATATTTTCCGAGTATGGAACAGCCGGTTTTAGCATCAATTGTTGGTGCTGAGCCACTTGAATTGGAAGGAGAAGTCCACTCCGTAGTGCTCCAGGGGCGCTTGCATGGCTAGAGTGACCCAGAGGCAGATATTGGCCTGCACGAGCGCCCAGTTGGTCTCAAGAACGAACGCGAGTTGCCGTAGCACGGAGACTCGAGTGCGCCGCTGCAGGATTACTCCCAGCACTGTCAGAGACACGATCTCCAGGGACGAGTAGCCCAAGAGTGCGAAGATGTTGTACGAGATTTCTTCAATGCTCTTGTCGTGAATGATGTTTAAGTACACGCGGTTGGGCAGGTGATAGGCCGCTAGCAGATAAAGACCTGGCAATCATTATTAGTAAAAGGTTAATAAGCCAGGGGGGAGGGGGGGGGTGACGTACTGTACATACAGGGAATCATGACTTCGGTGAACTCAATAAGTAACACGAACTCGGTCAAATACAGCAACCGAGCGGAGTGGTGCACGAACTCGCGGAAAATCGCCGTGTCAGCGCTAGAGTCCGAAGTAATCATCGATTGCTGCGCTGCCACTGCCAAGTCCACCAGACTCGAGCAAGCAGACAGCCCGTGGACGTTTACACTGGCTGTAGAACGGACATGAAGGTGTTCGTGCAGTCGTTCATCGATAGGGTCGACATCAAAAGGCACGACGCGTGGTGGCTTCACATGTTGACTGAGACCGACACTTGACTTTGGCTGCGAAACCCGAGCCTTTACTTTAGAGATCTCCGAGTTAGAGTTTGGGACCCCCATGGCTGCTTTGGTCCTGTCCAGCAGCGAATCGCTCCTCATCTCGCGTGTAGAACTGGAACGAGAGCTAAAATATCTCACCGCGGACTTCGCCCTCTTCATCAGCAGAATAATCCTCGCTTCACCCGTAACGCTGGAAGTGATACGAACGACCGCGTTGTCAACTTCATGCAACGCAATAACCGCTTCCAGGACGTCAACGAGCATGAACGAAACAATGGTCGCCTTCGAGACGGAGCCGTTCATACACCACGACAGAAACAGCACGTGATATAACTCCGCACTAAACACCACGAGGCAAGGTTGAAGATCTTGACGTTCACGCAGCATACGAGCAAACGCGTTCTTGTAGAACGTCTTGATCACTGGCAACAGCGCCATCGCGGCGATTTGGCGTCCTCCTGAGAGCTCGTTGAAGACGTAGGCGTACGCTGGATACACCCACACCATGCTGGCTTGCATCGTCTCTAACGTAAAGTGACGAGTGAATGCAAGGCGTCCAATAGGGTCTCTAAGAAGAAAGTGGCCCCAAGCGGCCATCATGCCCAAGCCCATGATGAGCATGCCGATACCAGACTCGCACACGAGCGTGAACGGGAGGGGGAAGCCGATAGCGTATGCGATTCCGAAGGTCCCGGCGGCTCCCACGATCGCAGACGCACGACCACAGGGGTAATAGCCGACGGTAAGCCTGGAACCACGACTCGACACGGCCACATGAATCCGAGAACCACGATAGTAGTGAGCGCGAACGTTCGCACCCATAGTAGAAAACTGTGCTCGATTCCATCGCTAGGTGGACGCAACGGGATGCTCTCAATTACTATAGTGACCAGAAGACAAGGCAATGTGGTCGTTATCAGCACGAGAATGCAGTGGATTGTGGACACGCCCTCGCTATAGTCGCGGAGCTGCTGCAGTCGCTCGACTGAGTACGCTCCGTTCAATTCGATCTGGAGGTCGTTCCACAGTCGTGCTAGGGAGGCTCCACATCGTCGGAGCCTCTCGTTCATGGCGGAAATTGATGCCTGCGAGTGTTCCACAGTGAGCCAACAAGAGTTATGTCGCCGCACGCGCTATCAACTACCTCGTCGGTGACGTCTACGCAGATGAAGGAGCTCTTGGAGAGGGACGAGAGCAGCCACGACAGCAGTGGCCACTCGGAGCACTACGACATCCCCAGCGACGTTGACTGTGACAACGAGTCCTAAGAAGCTGCTGCTGACCTTGCATTGAACCTATTTTGGTAGTTAGGATAAAGTTTATGCCCCAAGTCACGACCGAGTTATATTTTCATCCCACCTACGTAGTTCTTATAATCATAATCGAGCAGCATACACGTGAAGACCCGAAGTGTTGATTAAAAATATAACTTCTCGTAAGAAACTGGCTGTTGGCGACGCCGTTGCCGAGAATCCTTCAACACGAACAAATTCTTCACCCATGACAATTACTACTGTCCCCGAGATACTTTTCGTACAGAGCTACAATATTCTATTAAGACGCCCAACATATGCATGTCGAGGGGCAACAAGTTCCTGAACATCCACTATTTAAATATTAGCATCTTCACCACAGCCTACCATTGGGCTTAGTGGGCACTTTACCACAGACTCATTTACACACTAAACAACAATTTCACTTGTAGAACTTGCTCACGACACGGAACACGCACTTGTCCACGTTCTCCGCGAATCGTTGCCAGACGTTTCGGCGGTTCGACTTGGCGCGGTACGAGTGGTCCCACGAGTCCACGAAGCTGTAGTCGCAGTAGAAGTCCATGCGTCGCGTGGACATGGCGGGGGTCGTGTGTCTGCTCCAGGCCGTCGGAGTTGTTGGTCTCGCTGGGCCCATGGACTGAGCGAACCGGTTGACGGGCGACGTTGGGAAGGTGTTGAGGGATGCGACCGAGATGGAGCCGCTCCGATCACGGGGGAGTTTGCCTCGTCGAGACTTTGTAGGTGGGTACGAAGGCTCGCACTTGTGGGGCAGGTCGTAGTTCATGAACGGGGTGTCGGGGTCCTTGCCGACGCTGAAGCGAGCGTCGATGACGAAATAGTGCGGCATTTTGTGGGGTTTTGGCTGGGACAGGGAAAGTTGAGAACTGGATTGGATTGAGATTCGCGCCGAGTCCTTGAGAGACGTGTAGCTGGGGCCACGTAGGACTTTTGCGGAGGATCGGAGATCCCACGTTCGAGATTGCTCCTTGTGTGGGGGACAGAATAGCTTCACGCCAAGTTAGATGAGATCTATCCAGCGGGAGATGGCTGCATCCGGTGGTTTAACACAATTGCGGATTCTGCGGATAATAGCTAGGAAGCACATGACAGCGGGTCTCACCGAATCTCAATGGGTGGTCAACTCTGGAACAAAGGTTATTAGGCACAGCAAAGTGCATCGTGGATCGAGCTTGGAACTAGAGGATGGATCGCGATATTTTCCAGATGTCTAAACGGCTAGTTTCCCACTATGATTCCGTGGAATTCGTGGCTAGTTCGGATTTTTTGCATGAGAACCTGATACCAGGCTTCAGACTTACTCAAAATGTACGTTAACTAATTGATCGCACTGTTGCTCGTTGAAGTTGCTAGTCCCGCACTAAATTAAATAGCGAACATTTTTGAAGTCGCGATGATGAAATGCCCCGAAGTAATTGTATTTTATAGTTCAAGTCGCGTGAAGTGGTTACAACTGCAGAACTTTCTGCTGTCGCTGCTGACACTTGTTCGGCACCGGCATTCCAACTGTGCCTTCACAGGTTACGCTCTCCGGAGCCGCCGGTGAATTTCCCTTATTTTCGGACATCGTGGAATGTAGATCGAGTTAAAACTCAACTAATGCGCCGGATAAACAGCGTTTAGTTACCGCCAAGGTTCAATCAGCCTGTGTAATTCAATCCACAACTAAGACAGAACCCTTAAGCCCACATTGTCAATAGGTGAAAGCTTCATACATATACTACTTAGTGCTTTTGTTACCACTCGGCTGCTCTCGCGCCAAGTCACACGTGATTTATCCTCGGTCCCTCGCTCTACTTCTCACACGAGCGGCGTCTTGTGCATGGACAGCAGGATGGCGCTAAAGTCCCTCCGCTCCTGCTCGTCGTCCTCGATGCTCTCCGTGTCGGTGTCGCACTCGCTCATCTCGTCGTCGTCGTCCTCCTCCTCCTCACCCGCCTCCAGCATGCAGACGATCGGCAGCTGCTTGAAGGCCAGCTCCCTGACGGACATGACGGGCCTGTTGCCGGCCTGCTGCTTGAGCATTCGGTAGGGCCACTTGAGGCCGATCTCCTTGCAGTTGCGCTTGACGGTGATCGCCGCCACGCCCAGCTCCTTGGCCGCCAGCTTCTGCGGCATGTGGAAGTACAGCGAGAGCTGTTCGTACTTGAATCTGTACTTGCGTCGGCTCTTGCGCTTCTTCTTGTCGGCGGCGGGGGACGCGCCCTTGCCCTTGGGGGCCTTGGGCTTGAGGGTGGTCGTAGACTTGGCCTTGGCCTTGGTCTTGACGCAGGGCGACAGAGTTGGGGTCATGGCCACTGGTCACTTGGCTTGAGTCGGAGCGGGGGAGTTGCGGAATGAGTTGTGCGCAGGGAGGGGCATTGAGCTCTTGGGGGCTGTGTGCTTGGTGTGGTCCCCGAGGGCGGGACAGTGTCTCTGCGAGGGTCTCACTAGTAGTTTGGGAGCCAAGAGACCCGGCAAGTTGAAGTGAATTGATGACACCAGACGCGCGCTGATTGGCCAGCTTACTGTTACAGTGCCACTTTGGCGCGGCGGATCACGAGCGTGAAAAGTTCACCGCTCTGTGTTAAATGGGCTGGAGGCGGAGCGAGCCACGAGAGGATGAGACCGCGAATTTTCACGTGTCGCCACCAGATCGCTCGGATCGGATCGGGTCCATCCGCGTCGGGAGCTTCGAAGGCGCGGCGCTGCTTCGGAGCCCATACATTGCAGGTGGTGAGTGGAGCAGCGACTCGACACAACGCAACGACTAAAAGTCACAGCCCGCACGGGTACACTATCTCATGCGCGACTTGGCGACAGGGGTGTTTGCCCCTCTCCAGTCGTGAGATTTTCCTGTGGCCGCGGGCTCTCGACCAATGGGCCAATGGCTCTCTAGGTGGTGGCGTGCAACGAGGAGCTCGAGGCGTTAGTAACACGAAGTGAGGCCAAGACAAGAACAAGTATACCGTGATAAATACATGTATCATTTCATGCAGCGTTAGCGTTCTCTTTGGGCGGCGGCTTACTGGCCTGCGAGCAGGTCCCTGTAGATCTGCAGCGAGCGCGCGCAGGCGGAGGGGACGATGTTGGAGCAGCCGCGCACGCACGAGTTGCGCAGGTCCGGGAAGGGCCTCTCGTCGTCGTAGGCGCGGCAGGCCTCCATGCAGCTCACGCCCTCGGGGCAGCGCGACGCAGGGGCCTCGCGCTGGAAGTCGGCGATCTGCATCTTGTCGCACACGAGCTTGGTCACCGTGAGGGAGCCGTACGAGCAGCCGTTCATGCACGCGGCGTTGTGCGGGTCGCTGGTAGTCAGCCAAGGGAGGGAGGGCGGAATACAGACCATAGTCAACTAAATGTTAGTAGGGGCGGACCAAAGCCCTAAGGCATTTGACAATAGACGACGTACCGGACGCAGAGCTTCCGGCAGGTTTCCTCGTGCCAGCGAGACTGCACGCCGCGCACTCGGCAGCGGCCGCGCAGTGCTTCTTGGTCCAGTTCAGCTTGAATAGGGACGCTGGGAGTCGCTGGCACTGGAGCTGGAGCTGCTTCGATGACTGGAGCTGGCAGTGGCTGCACCTCGACATTGGAGAAGTTTTGTTGTGGAGTGACGACTAGCGGCGTGTAGAACCTGGCCCTGAGCGCCGCGATGCTGTCCGAGTCGAGCGCTGTTCGAGCGTAGAAGACCCCTCCGCCGAGCAGCAGCGCGGCCACGAGCGCCCCGAGATAGTTGGTGATTCTGCGGCAGCGCTTGGCCGGCTCCATCTTCTTCCAGTATTCGTCCGCCTCGTCCTCCCAGATCGAGGACCCGCGGCGCTCCCGACCTTCAGAGTCCGTTGGGGCTGTTGCTTGGCCCACATGGCGTCGCGTGAGGGACATGGCCTGCCTTCTCTCTCTGAGTCCTCTGGCTTCCGACCGATTCCCAATGGGTGGAGCGAGTCCTCTGATGCCCTCAGCACTTACGAAGTCAGCGTCCGGCTTTCGCCCTAGTAATGAGTGAGCCTATAAATTACCCTCGGTCGGGTATTTTTACGCTAGACGTTCGGCTCTATTTCGAGAAGGGTGGAGTGTCTTAGGATACTTCTTCTTCCTTCTGTACCAGCTCTTCTTGGGCCTCGTCCCCAACGTGCCGTTTAACACACGAAGCCCTTCAACTTGGTCATCTTTCGTCGACACCAACAAAATTCGAACCCAAAGGGATGTTGACCCGAGGCTCCGCCGGTCCCACGTGGTACTAAGGCGCCGCTCGATGGCATGGCGCTCGACTCGACTCGACTCCGTCGACGGTTTTTACTTGGCCCGGATGCATGTCCTCCATTGGGCAGGTCCGCCCTCCCCCAGACAGAGCTGCAGCGTGAGCAAGTCCAACTCCAATTTGCGCCTGACTCGACGACCGAGCGATGAACGGGATGGGGGTCTTCCTGTCTCGCGCTGACAATGGTCAGGCTCCAGTCGCTCCCTATGCTACGTGGGCCCCTTGGTCAGTGAAGGGGTGCAAGTCGAGATGACTTCGTGTGTGTGTTGGACCTAGTGAGTGCATGCAGCTAAGATTCAGACGGTGTCCACTCTCGGTCGTGGGCTCTGCGACTCCAGGCCTGGCAAACTGTGAGGAGGATTGCTTAGAAGCGAGCCGCATCCGGATCTGCAGAAGCCGTATGCTGCAGCAGCAGTGGGCCCGATCGCTTCGAACTGCGCGAATGTATTGGTACCGAATGTGCCACAGCATCCGGAAATTCGGGCCGCGCGTAGTGAAGAGCGCAGTGTTCGACAAAGTCGAGGCTGGATCTCTCTAACCAAACTACGAGTCGAACACTTGAGCCCTTCAGCTCCATAGTGCTGGTACCAATGGGGACTTGGTCTTTGGTCCCTCCTCGAACTCGAGACAAGTGTCGATCTCTCCTTGTCTGTCCACTTCTCAATTCTCCTCCAACGTAGCAGATCCTCCATCACCTCCACCACCATGGGCGCGTTGTCTCCGATCGCCAAAGTCCCGGCCAAAGCCCCGTTGTTCGAGTTCAGCACCCCCACCAAAGCCCCCGTGCTCGAGTACGAGACCCCTTCCAGCTCCCCCGAGCCAGAGAAGAAGAGTCGACGCAAGTACGACTTCCCCATCGAGACGCTACAGGCGTTCTCGCACTTCCGCCAGGACGAGGCGGCCAAGCGTCTCAAGGTGTCCCCCATCACGCTCAAGCGCATCTGCCACCGCCACAAGTACCGCTGGCCCTACCGCACCATCAAGGCCCAAACTCGTCGTGCCGCCAAGCTCGAGGCCCAGCGACTGCAACGCCAGGCGGAGTTCAGCGCTCGCAGAACGATGACTCCTCCCCCGTCGCCGTCGACGCTGGCCCCGGAGCTGCTGCTTCGCCTGCGTGAAGGCCACAAGAACAAGAGCTTCAACACGTCCCCAACGTCGGTCAGCCACACCCCGTCGCCCACTTATCCGTCGACCCCGATGGCTGAATACCCTCCCCAGGCTGAGCCCACGACCACACCGCAGCTCCCGCCGCTGAGTTTGTTGCTGGCCAAGCACCAACACCTGTCCATGAACGCCACGCCCGCCAACCGTCCGAACCGGCTGAGTTACCCTCAAACCCACCACAACTACCGAGTCAACTACAAGAGCCCGATCTACGCGGCCTCGTACGACCCGAGTGCCCCCAAGTTCCCACTGGCGAGACTGGCAGCTTTGTCTATGGGCGACATCGACCGACGCGGGTTTTGAGTCAATACTGTCGGCGTCTCAAGTGTGTATTGTAGTGTCCGAAACCAAACGGGGTTGATCATTCTAACCTTAGCTGTTAACATGAATTTTGCCACCTTTTATTGCTATTCTCAAATCAATGTCTCGATATAGGAAGATAGCCGTCCAACGATGTCCATTGGGCGCCTTCCAAAACCTATATAACACGGTTTGGTCATTAGGGGTAGGAGGATTAAACCGGTCATTAAACGGAGCGATTAAACGGAATTGTTTGGAGGATAAAGTTCAAACAATTCGAAAATGGGTTTGGTCGTCCTTTTAATCACCCCTTATTTGGCAACTCGATTAAAAATATCTTAAAGAATGTATGGGTCCAAACAGCTCCCTCATTTAGAGATTTCGTTTAAATTGAAGTTGCGCGCGCGATCTTAGAGGGCTTTAAGGCGCGAAAGCGCGCTCGCTCGCACAGCCCACGCCTCATTTCGAATCTCGCCTCGTCGTACCGAAGCCCCCGCCTGCTGCAAACGTGTACGTACACTGTATGAGTTGCTGTGGTTGTGCATACCAGCTAAAAGATTGTTGATTCACTGCCTAGGCAACCATGCACCCGTCTCCCCCGAGCAAGCGCCGCCACGCGACAAGCTGTGCTCACGAGACTTTGAGTGCTCTCGTCTCCAAGCGCCACAAGCTCAGCGCCGTGGCGTTCGACGCCGCTGCGATTGAGTCAAACCGCTGCGAACCGCCATCAGCAGAGCCACGCAGCGAGGTCCCTGCTGATGTACCAGCCAACCCACTTCCTTTGGCCATTGTTGCTGCCACGCCCACGGGACCACCGGCGGGACCTCGCGCCGGCGCGAAGGTCAAGAAGACCACGGTGCTGACGGTCGTCAAGACCGTGACGACCGTAAAGACTACTGTCCCGACCCGAGTATCGCCACGCGCGACGCCCTCCGCCGAGGAGGAACTGTCCAGAGAGATCTCCGAGCACTCGGCCTCGTTGCCCTCCGGCGTAGGAGCCCCCGCTGCTTCTGATCATCAACGGTCGGCGTCGCTAAGGACGCGATCCGGTCGGGTGGTGCTGCCCGAAGGCGTCAATGCGTCTGTGACGATGCAGGTGGTCCACTTGCGGAGTTTCGGCTCTCCCCGCCTGCCTCGTCGGGTGATGGCCCCTTCAGTCCTCGTTCCAGCCAGAGCACTGAGACGGAACCATCGCCCCCGGTCGCACCTGCGCGCTCAGCTCCGAGTCCAGATGCTGCATACTTGCCTGCGACAGCAAGTTCCCAAACCGCGACTCCCCCGTGGTCACCCCAAAGCCCCTTCCGGTCGCGCCTGCACAAACGTGCAGAGGTTCTTCCTGCTTGGTAAACCGAGGCGGTCGCCTCCGACAGCGACGAACCCGAGACGGCGCCGCTCATCGGCTCCCCACTTCCAGCTGCACGCCCGTCGTTCACCGCCTCGCGTATGAGCTCCCCGGGCTTTACTGTTGTCGAAGGCGGTGCCGTGAACCCACCCCGCGACGAGTGGCAGCTCGAGACGTGGCCGGATGACGTGCAGTTCACGTCAGCGCAGCTGAATCCGCGCCGCTGGAAGTTCCCAGCCGTCAGCGTGGGGGTGAGAGGGGGGCTTGGCTGTGGGTGCGAGGAGCGCTGCAAGGCAAGCACTTGCCTCAACGCTCGAAGCAGCAGATTCTGCACGGAGTACAACTGCACCTTCGCTGCCGAGTGCGGCAACTGGCTTCACGAAAGCCGCGCACTCGCAATTGGTCGCAACCTGCGCACCGGAATGCGCGGCTTGGTGGCGCAAGCTGCGATTCCTGCTGGAGAAGTCATCGGACAGTATTTTGGCCGCATGGACTTGTTCGGGCCGCCCTGCAAGAACGGCCCAGTCGACGACGGCTACAGAATGCACCTACGGACCCGCGCTACGGGCAACAAGTTCATCGGCATCGACGCCTTGAACGTGGGCGGCAACCCCCGCTTCATGAACCACGCCTGCAATCCAAGCGCCCGGTTCCACGAAGTTCAAACGGACCAGCGCCTGACGGTGGTCGCCGTCAGCATTCGTGATATTTACCCGGGCGAGGAGGTGACGGTCTTCTACGGCAACAAGTTGTGGTTAGTCTGTCGCTGCGGGTGGTCGGGGTGCCAGCATCGCCACCTGCAACACTTGCACCAGGACTCGGACTCTGCTTGAATCCACCTCCCGGGAGCAGTTTTAAGGCAGCTTTGCATTGAAAATTGTGTACATGTTGTGTAATGAAATCTGTTGAAATTCGAAACTTCCTGATTGACATACTGAACATCATACATACGACCCAGGACGCGATGGGTTCATTCGCCCCCTCGACGGCTTCGACACAAGCAACGACGGAGAGTATGCCGGTGGGTCTCGTACAGCTCGTTGTCTCCCTTCGATGCGTTCCTCTTTGGGTCTAACCTGCGTCGTATCTTACGTGTCTATCTACAGCGAGGCCGGCAGCAAGGATACCAGAACTACGGTGCTAACGAGGAGCTTCTCCTTTGCGACTTGGCCGCAAAAATCCTTCCGACTGGAAGGAACATGTGGATGGCGCTAGCGGCCGAGTACAATGGCTCCAGGGACCCTGCCTGGCGGGAACGCGACTTTGACTCACTGCGGAGAAAATTTCGCAAGCTCTACGGGAAGGACAAGCCCGCGGGCAATCAGGGTGACCGCTTGACGCTCAAACAGCGAGCTATCCTCATGGCTCATGAATCGATATGAGATAGAGAAGCGCACACCTCGCACGACGGGCGCGACAACGGAGAGGACGACGAGAACCTCATGGATGAGGTCAACGTGGCCCTCTTCGCGGACGAGGTGGGCAAGACCTTCAACGTGAAACCGAACTCGGTCTCGACCAAGGACGGTGGAGACAGCAACCGTGCTCCGATCGACAAGCAGCAGGAGGATGACGAGGAGGAGGTGGTGGAGGAGGACGACGAGTCGGTCTCCTCTGTCAACTCGGTCGACGACGAAAAATGCTCGGAGGAGGGTACGTCCGATGAGGCTGACGCCAACTAGCCTCGTGACCCCCCTCTTCCTCCCGACGCCGAGCTTCACGGCAGCGATACGCGGCTTGCTGGGGTCGTAATGACCCACCAGGGCCTCGTTCCGGTCGAGTTCGCTGCTGACTTTCAGCAGGCTGAGTCCAACCTTGGCGAGAGGTGCGTGATGCGCAAGACGACCAAACTACAGCTAATGGCGCACGGAGCGATCGAAGTGCAGCCTCTGCAACGACCATTGACGCTCATCAACGCCAAAGGTGTTGGAGAGGCCCACGCCGGTGACACCGAGAGCTGTGGGCCACCCGAAGCGCGACTGCCAACCTCTGGCTTCGGTGGCTTCGCCCGACGGGCCCACGCTAACGCGAAACCCGGATCGTGCTGCTTCCGATGCAACAGAGGCCGAAAAACACAAACGGCTGCACAACACCAGTGATCGCCTAGGTGGGCGAGATCTACGAGTTCTTCGGGGCAACTTTGAGGTGATGGGTGGGCGCGATCCAGGAGCTAAAGCCAAAAGCCCCGCGTCTGAGAGCTCGGTGACGACTCATACGCTGCGTCGAAGAGAAACCAAGCCAAGAAGCGCATGGATTCTATTGACAAAGAATTGGAAGAAGCAGAGGCTGCCCACGCTGCAATGGGATCGGAAATGAAGGAGCTACTGCTCTTCTTTCGCGAAGACGCCGATCGCAGAGCCGAAGCCGAGGGGAAGCGGCGACGAGAGGAACGCGACGAGCGGCGCGCAGAGGATAAATGAGAGCGAGATGAGCGAGAGCGGGTTCGTAGGGAAGAAGCTGCGCTTGTCGAAGCCAGACGTCAGCAAGACCGCGAGGATGCAAAACAACACCCTGAGGCCGTGGAAAAGAAAGAGGAAGCAGCTCGAGCGGAGCGTCGAGAAGAAGAGGCCGAGCGTCGCCGACAGTTCCAAGCCCGCCTTGAGCAAGACCGTGCCGAAGCGCGGCAGCGCCACCAGCAAATGATGCTACTGATCTCGACCATTCACAAGAACAAGTAGTATACAGCAAGATGTGTGTGCAGGAAGGAAGACGTAGTGTATTCAAGTTGCATTATGCACATAAACAAACTCAACTCACTCTTGTGTATCTCCTATCGTCCTCGCCATGAATGAATGTGGTTCGTATCTCACTAGTGCCGACGGTTCTCACTCTGTAGTTAGTAAGCCTGAAAATGTTGTCCAAACGCTGCTGCCGTTTGCTGCGGTCGTACGGCAACGGCATCAGCAGCCGATGGTAGACCTTCTCGATAGACCCCATACCCCACTCAGCACTCTGTCTAATCGACGTTATTACCCCTGATAAAGCCTTCGCCGCCGCCCGAACAGAAGGCACCAGTCTACTTGCATCTCCGTCTTTCAGCGGGGTCATGATCCTGCCGATCATGTCACCACTGCAAGGGAAAGCACTGTCTGTTACAACCCCATATCGATCGTCAAGATTTAGTTCCGCCGACACCAGCTTCCGCCTGAACTCTAGGCTGGTATCGCCATCGTTCCAGGACCCTGGACAGTTATGTTTAGCCCACACGATGAGCCCGTCCGCTGAGAAGCATAGCATACCGGTGACGAACACGCCATGTAGCCAACCGTTGTAGTGAGCATTCTGGATGTCTCTATCTGGAGGCTGCTGCACCTGTGAAGTAGAAGTATGATACGTAGATGGTAAGATCACGAACAATGATACAATAAAATCACATCTTGACGAAAGTACCTTGTAGTTTTTCCCATCCAAAAAGCCCCATGTGAACTGCAGCACGGGTTGCTTTGCTGTCACTAGACGAGCTAAAGCTTTCTGCCTGTCGAACATAGGCCATACAATCCGAGCGGGCGCAAACCCTCGGAGCGCCGCTGTAAGAGCGTCTTCAGCTGCGGTTAGCACGCGGGTAAGCGTCGTCGGGGGGACGATAAACATGAGACACAGGCGCCCTCGATACTCACAGCCTACGTAGAAAGCTAGAAGCAAGCCCAACACCTGATGGTGGTGTTGGAGCTTTCGAGACCGCCCTCCTTTCGAGTAGAAGATGGGAATCTCGTAATGAGGCGCAAAGCGAGATAGTTGAAGGTTGAACGAGGCCCTACATGTCAAGCAATAACGGCAAACAACAGTTAGAAATCAACTACACACTTAAATGCTGCATGCCGCCCTTACCGAGACAGGCTCGTCACGTTTATCATATTCTCGTCGGTTCCTTTGAGCCAGGTGTCCATCCAAGAAGACTGATCAGGCTCCTTTAGGCAGTCCAGGGTGATTTAATGGCGCATTCGGGTGAGCCGCTGCCACTCCCAGCGCCTGTGCTCGTCGTGCAGCCGGCGTCTGAAGTCTCGGAGCGTCTCGAGGGAGCGACGACGCGTCTGGGACGACGCACGGAGCATCAGCAGAAAGCTCGTATCCGGGCGAGACAGTGTGCTGGAAGAAGCGCGAGAGAATGCGAGGGGGGGGGGCAAATGACTCGGTTGCTCGGAGAGGGTCGACGCGACGTTTCCCGCCGAGCGAGATCTTTACAAATAGAGATATTTTGTAAAAATTTGTCCATCTTCGGATTGTCTCCTTTCGACCTACATAATGAGATTAAGGTATTCATACTTCAAGCGGCAAAGGTCGCCGGACACCGATAACTTTTAATGGTGGTTTTGGCCTAGGTGTTTATCACCTTCGATTTGCAGACGTTTGGTCCGGCGAGTAATGCGCCTAGTCGGGTGATCAGAGTTTTTCGATTAAACTTTTTTATCTAGGTTTTGGTAGGCGCCCATTGGTTGTCCTATAAATGCCTCGGCCGACTTCCTATTTCCAGCTGTCAAAGTGACTGTCTTCTGTTGTGTCGCCTACTTTCCTATCCGCACCGTGGGTCCATCCGTCCGTCCACTTGACCGAGAAGAATGCCTCTGCAAATTCACGCCTTCAACGACCCCGCCCCCCCAATTCGAGTCAACAACCTTATAGAAGAGGGAGAAGCGAACCTTCGAAGTCGACCCAGCAGCTGATAACCAGCTCAAGACGCTTTTTGTCGAGTGGCTCCAGCGACACAGGGCCGTCCGAGCGCTTGAACTCAGTCGAGTCACTTTCCAACTCGTCTGGATTAACGTCGTCGGAGTGCATTTGCTTTGTGCTGCGTTCCTCGGTGGCTGCGCTGCGACGTACTCGTATTTGACAAACTCCATCATGGCGTACTACAGCTATGGTCGCCCTCATCAGGTAAAGAGCACTATGGCCTTTACTCAGTAATGTACGCCTTTGCGAGTGTCCTCCACGCGACCCGAGTACTGGAACTTGTATATCGATCGCTCCACCAACGACAACTTACCTTCAGTTGCGTGAATTCTAGAAGGCCGTCCGTAAATCCTTTTCCGAGTGGAAGTTTGGCTGCTGGACCCTTCCCCACCAATATTCAAAACATTTTAGGCGACCCCAACGCTATTGTCAAGTTCATACAAGGCTTCAAAAGCATCACGGCCTCTGTAATGAACGCGTGGAGTGTTTCGTTCTCCCGCACGGGTCTGTTTAGAGTCGAAGGTCGGCATTTTCTTACGATATTCCAAGTGCGAGAGGTGATCGAGCTGTCGACTCAAACATACCAAGCGCACCAATCGAGTAAATTACTACCGCGTGAGTGGATGAACGACATTTTAGTGGCAATTCTCATCACGAACTGTTGATCGACGCTGGCTGTACATCAGTTTATCAGCCATAAATCCGCACTCGCGCGAGTGGTAGCGCTCGTAGTCGACGTGCTCCTGTGCCTCGTGCTGGAGGCCAAACTGATTTTTGCGTCAAGTTTCGCCGACTTTGTGGCCAAGTGAATCCCTCACTTTGCGATTTATCTGTCACTTGTGAGCATCAGCGGTCTCGTCGTTCAAAAGCGAAACGAAAATATTGCAATTACCCCGGGAAATCCTAAATCCGTGAAGGTTAGTAGCATTGTTAACGCCCCCGAGCGCAAGAGTAATAACGAAGTTCAAGAAGTTCGATCGAACGCAGCGATACAACTGAGAAATTCTGGTTTTCGGCTCATAAAGTCCTTAGGGTAGTATTTTGTGCGTGGGGAGCTGTGATCCTCGCTCTTCATCTCCACGCTCGAGTTGTGTCCCAGTCCAATGCCGCCCACGGGTGTCGCGCAGCTACGCGTCCGTGGCTAAGAACCCAAAGTTCGTGCTCGAGTCTGGTGGTAAACTGCGGCAGGTATGGAATGGAGACCGCAGATGACAGCATCTTTAAGCGAATCGACAGCTCAGTGCTAGCGACATTGACGCTCGCGCACTGTCCTCGATTGGTCATGCCGTCAGCGCTGCCAGAATTCCGGAGCCTCATGATCCTGCACGTGTATAACTCGACCGTCGTATCGTGGGGAAATTTCGATAACATTTTTTCGAATCCTCGGTTGGCAACGCTGGTGGTGGCCCACTCAAATGTATCTTTAGGTGCTGCACAAGGCCTTCTGCTTCTCATATCACTCTCAACAGTCCAATTCTGCGATACGAACCTCACAAATATCCCGATAGTTCTTCCCTGGAGCGCTCATCCAACGTCAGTGGTAGCCTTTGACTCTTCCAAGTTGACATCGTTGTCCGCGTCACTGGTAACACTGCAAGCTTTCGCGATATCGTTGAAGCGAAACCAACTCGAAACGATTCCGGAGCTGGCGTCAATGCCCCCGGGGTAAATGTTTTTCGGTCTCGAGCTGAATGACAATCCGCTGCTGGAACTCCCCGAGACTTTGGGCTCAACCTCGAATTTTTTCATTCGATTGGATCTGCAGGGTACGAATGTCACTAAACTGCCTCCATGGACCATGACACAAGTGATGGGGGTCATTTACATGCACGACACGCCATATTGTGCCAATACACTGCCCAAGCTCTAGCAAAGCAACGTGATCTCCTCCCCCAGACCAGCAACAGACCCCGGCATGGAGCTACCATTGGATCTGTTTAGCGGCTTGTACGACTACGATCGAGACTAAAATTCTCTGGATAGTATTGGAGCAATTCCCGCAGCCTTCTGTGACAAGTGGAGCGAATCTGACGCTGGGAGCCAATTAAACGTCTGGCAGCCCGTTCAGCATATATATCGACAAATAACATCTTTGCCATTTAAGTTTGGATTCCATACCTCTTTGGTCATTTTCCCTATACATCCCGCCCTCCAAGTAGAGTACGGTGTTCTGACCTCCGTACGAGCTCCTAAGGGTGCTTCTAAACTTCTCCCATTAGAAAAATGCGAAGCTAATGGTTCCTCCGCCTCCACAAACATGAAACGGTTTCAGCCGAAATGATGCTTACGAACCTACGTACGAACCGTGATTTAACCGCATCAATCGAAAAAAAGTGTGCATTGTGATTCTTTTGTTGGAAGCTTAAAATCAGTTGTACACTCCAAAATGTTAAGAACTCGAGGAGTAACATCGATTATCTTCATTTTTGGACCCCGAAATCTCCATTTAATTTGAGGCGTGTGATCTTACTTGTTTTCAGTTGCAACTTACCGTGATATTGGCGAAAAGCTATGCTAGAACCTATCGAAAAGAGTATTTTTTGCGCAAATTAGATAAATGTATACGATTTTGCACTTGTCTTAGTAACCTTGTAATGGGTTTTGGCGATGCCTGCCAGTCAGATTGCGAGGATGCCAATCAGATACATGTACGGTATGACAGTACAGTAATGTGAACTTGCTACTATTTGTTGTACTTTTCACTGATTTATGTGCGTCAATTACGCTGCAGGTAATCCAACTGGAGTAATCCACTTGCACAATTGGGAAGATACTGTAAGCGCGCCCACTTCCGGTACTGGTATAAATTAATATCCCGAATAAAACGATGTAATCTATTTGGAAAGGTTTATTTTTACTAAACCCTGGCGGGAGTTTTGGCGCGAACTACTGCACACCAGTCATTGCCACAGAGCAACAGCAGCAAGCCCGAAGCAGGTCTTCATACCAGAATTTTCACTGAGCCAAACAAGTACAAGAACGCCATGGGGGCCTGGATGAAAATACATCAGAAGCGACGCCTCATACAGAAGGCAGCCGACTGCCCCACGATGTCACAAGCAGCGCTCGCAGCGTGGATAAAAGCACACTACAAACTCAAGCGCGCACCAGCCCAGTCGACCGTGTCCGACATACTCAAGAAGGCTGCGTTGATCATGAGCAAGGACAACGTCGATGGCAACCGCCGCAAGCCCCTGAAGGTGACCTCGGCGGCGCTGGAGTCGCGACTGTGGGCGTGGATTCAAGCGGTGGAGGCCCAGAACGTCTGTCTGTCTCGCGAGCTGATAAGGATGAAAGCGATCGACATTCAGCGTGAGCTGTGCGACGCATGGGACCCGACGGCTGGCTCACTGCATTTGAACATAGGCATCGCCTTCGCTACCGCAATCGACCCGGCGAGTCTGGATCCGCTGATCCCGCTGCTGTAGCTCAAGGTCGTCAACGACTCCAAGAAATCACGGATCTCTACCCTGCAAAGGACATCTACAATATGGACGAGACGGGGCTTTGCTACGCAATGGCCCCAGCTCGGTCTATTTGTACGAAGCGGGCGCGAGGAGTCAAGAAGAAGACCCGTATTACGCTTGCTCTCACGGTGAACGCTGACGGCACGGACGCACTACCGCCGTTGTTCCTGGGTCGCGCCAAGCAGCCTCATTGCTTTGAGAAGCGCTCTGCAGAAAGCCTCGGCTTCTCATACCGGGCTAATGCGAAGGCCTGGATGACAGGACGGATATTCCGAGAATGGCTACACAATCTGGATCGGGACATGCGAGCGGCAGGGCGTCATATCTTGCTGCTGCTAGATAACGCGTGTTCTCATAACACCGGCGATCTGGTGTGTACAAACATTCGCGTGGAGTTCCTACCCCCGAATACTACTACCTACTTGCAACTTATGGACGCCGGCATCATTGCACTGTTCAAGCGGGCGTACAGGAGAAGGCAGATTCTCTGGGTGTACGAAAAGATCAAGGACGTGAAGAAGCTGAAGAAGGAGCCCTACGCGGTCGATCAGTTGCAAGCAATGCGGTGGAGCAAGGAGATCTGGCAAGAGCTGCAGAATAAGTCGGCCATCGAAAACTGCTTCCGCCATGCTGGAATTGTTTTTAACGGTGTAGATGAAAGGTGCGGCGATTCCAACGACACTACTTATGACGAAGACGTCAGTGTAGAAGATATTATAATTCGTGCTTCGCAGTTGAGCTTTTAAAATATATTTTGTGTGTACAGTACTTCATTGTGATCCCTTTATAATAAAATGGCAAATATTAGGAGATGGTCGGACCTCGTTACCGGAAGTGAGAGCTTTTACGGTAGTAGCGGCCTCGCCTCGGCCGCGGAGTTGAACCGCCCCAACGCCCAAGTTGGAAGATCGCTGTGCGTGACAGAGACGAGCAACGGCGCCGCCGCCACTACCGACGCCGAGAATAGAGGTTTTCCTCAGTTCGTATTGGGGCACCTGAAGGGCAAGGTCAAGGACAAGATGATCAAAACGTGGCTTATGCGCGGCAGGCAGACGAGCACGTCATGAACACGCTGGGGATTCGGCAGGGCTTGACCAGAGCTCAGCTCAGGGACCACCCGGAATTCAAAATCTTCGAAAGATTTCAGGTCAAGAAGTGGCTCAAGGAGGGCACCTCGCCTTCCCAGATTTGGGGAAATCTCGGGTTGACTAACTTCGATGGTGACGTCCAGATCGCTGCAGGATTCACAACCTACATGGAGTACGTCTGGGCGCTGGGTGCCAAGGTGCGCAAGTACAACCGAAATGGAGGGACTCCGCCTACGATTCACCAGATTGTTGACCCAGAGGAGTTGAGATATACCGTGAGCATCTTGCACTGGAAAAGCTTCGACGATATTACGATCAATCAGGTAGTGGGTGCTTATCCGCTGTAACGCGCTAACAAGGCAACCTAAACGCGAAAGAATGGAGATCGGCGGCGTTATGTAGTCAAAACTGTTTAATCTCCTAGGCTAAAAGACAAATACGATTCGCTGATGTTGGCTCCACTTGTTATACTGCATCGCTGACGAGCAGTAACACAATGCGCCGCATTGTTGTTTAACCCAGCTTCGTATGAACGAGTGTACTGTCAAGTCCAAAACCATTTTAAGCGCGTGTAAAGATCAATGTCAGCACTGTATTTCCATGTGAACACTCATTAAGACGCAATTTTAATTAATTTACTGCGTAGTAAAAATGTTCGATAGTACTATTATTACATGTACGTGTATGGAATTCACAATGTAAGCAAGGAGATCGAACCCCCAATAAAAGGACCTACTAAGGTAAGGGCAGTAGATCCTCTGCATATGAAGGCCGTGCTCGGCATTATAACAACAAGCTGACTCGAGATCGCCCGCGACTAGCAACAATCAAATGGCGCTGTATAAATATCCAGACTTAGAAATATCTAAGATGTAATACGAGCAACAACATGATAAATACTGGAATTTTTATATAAATTGCTTGTGCATTGAGGGGTGTCGTATTAGCTGTCGCACGACAGCCGATCAGTAGACCTTCACGTCAGTTTCTAGGCATTGATGTTGTCTCCCAGTCCGCCGTCGCCCGGAGACAACGCCGACGAGTGCCTCGCTCCTATACAGGGCTCGGTAAATTCCAATATCCGTAAGAATAACTAGCAGTAACTTACGGAAATAACTTACTGATACCCCGTCACCAATTTCGTGCAATAAGAAAAAGGAAGTCTGGCGCAGAAATCTATACAACTTGTGCTTGGTATGGTCACTTCCCCATGAATTCGACGGCAATTGGTGTGCAAGAGGAGTTTAAAAACACTAATTAGTAAATAATAGTAGAAGCCGTTACTACTTACTTTTGCTGTTAAATCTTACAGAAATCGAGCTCAATTGTGATAGAATGCGAAATACTAAAAACAAAAACTTCGAACCCTTGTGAGGTTTGAATCTGAATTACAGGTGTATGGGATCTAAGGCATGCTTTGGTAAGCGTAGATATGCTGTACGATGATGGGTAACCAAAGTAAATTATCCACATGAGTTAGACACTTTTGTTCTTCTCGCCTTTGTTCTTAACTCTACACTTGAGTTGTGGCTACATTAGTGGGGAAAAATAAGAAAATAACCCAATTATTAATTGGGGGAGGCTTGAGAGTCCAATCAATATCGTATTGTAGTTTGCTTAGACCTGCTCCTATACCGAACCGTTGCAGTTTGCTGAATCGATCAAAGTCGAAGTCGTTGATAGCGACACTCAGTGCCTGCGCGAATACCTAGCTATCGTCGAGAAGACGGATTGATTTCCCGCCCACAAAACAAACTTCAATTTTTTTAGTGTTTGATTCTCTGCCTAATCGCCAATCAAATTGCATGCACTCAAAGATGCTTGCGATAATTTGCTCCTTTACCAACACTTCGCCTACTTATTCAGAAACTGACCTGAAGGTCTAATGTTCGCCTCTCTTAGAAGAGTTCATTTTGGACTATCAGATTTGCAAGAGCTTCATAGATGACAAAGTAATTCGGGGCGATTTTTGCTTTGCTTTATACTTCGGTATCATTCATCAACTTCACGTCAGTGGTCGTGGGGGTGGTATAGAAACGTGTATGAAGGGTCCTAGTCAAGCTCTCAAGGTGTGCATTCGTACATGGCATTCTAGCGAAGAAGAGTAAGTAGTACTTACAGGGCTCGCAAACGGTGCTGACCGGGTACCCGTACCCGCCCGCCCACAAGCCACGGGTGCACCCGGGCCAGCCAGGGCTCAAGGTTTTGTACGGACAGACCAGCTATTACATCTCCCGACACGGTTATAAAACATCTTAAGTTAAACATTTAAGTAGGAACTACGTCGAAATCAATACAATGAAAATGACTAAAAGAAGACGGTGTAGGAGCATGATATAGCTGGTATAAGTACGACATATTACTATTTAGTACTATTTTCGTCAACTTCGGGTACCCGTTTGCGAGCCCTGGTAAGTACCCGTGGAATATGCGCAAAAATGTGGCAAGCAAACCAACCTGGGAATGCATTTGAGAGCTCCAAAACTATGGCGACTGATACTTTTTGTTTGGATTATTTTGAAATGCAAAACGAGGTCGATAATAAACTCAACATGTCACGTCGTATAAATCTTCTGCATTGCAGTACTTGCTTCGGATCTCGTCCATGGTCGTATAGCAACAGGCGCCGTCCTCTCTACATACGCACAAAGAGATCAACCCAACAGGGACTCAACTGACGTCCCTCCGCCGGAGACACTCGCGTAGCCCCAACTTTTATTAGCGATTGCTTCTACTTGGATACTGGCTGCGTCTGTTGCTTCGTCACCGCGTCCTTGTTCTGCTTTTGGCCTTCGTCCGAGAGCGCAAATCCGACACCGAGCAAATCCAAGACGGAGCAGTCACCTGGAATCCAGATCCGCTGGATCCAGTTGTGTGTAGTTGGTGTACGCGTAGTTGAAGTTGTAGTCCGTCACCGTGTACTGGTCCGCCGCCACCAAGTACTTGTTCACCTTGTCCACCGACGAGTGCTTGTCCACCGCTGAGTTCTTGTCCACCAACCAGTACTCGTCCATCAGCGAGTAGCTGTCCGTCAGCGGGTAGTTTGCCGTCAGCGGGTAGTTGGCCACCATCGGGTAGTTGTTCACCAGCGCGTAGTTGTCCGCCAACGAGTGCTCGTCCATCAGCAAGTAGTTCGTCAGCAAGAGCTCGTCCATCATCGGGTTCTTGTCGACCACCGAGCGCTTGTCCTTCATCGAGTACTTGATGTCCACCACTACGTACGCTTCGTTCATCAGCAGGTGGTCGTCGTCCACCATGGGTTCGGCTACTTGGTCCTCCTGCTTGAGCACTTGTCCGATGAGGTGTCTGCCGACGTCCGCAAAAACTCCATTCGCTTACTCTGACTTCAAGTACGTGAAAGAGGAGCTGGTGGAAGTCATCAGAACTACAAAAAAATCAAGAAGTATGCGAAGGAGGGACGTCTGCTTGATCACGAAGTCTCAACCAAGCACCCCTTCGGCAACATTTCCTCTCAGCAAGGTTGAATAGCAAGTACTCATGATCACGGACATCTTGAAAACCTACGACCGGTATGCGAACACACTCTTGGCGAAATAAAGCGTTTATTCGCTCTCTACGACGATATCGGAAGTACAAAACGGTCGGTTTCCACAGACACCACCTTTTTGAACCCAAGATCTAACTTGCTACGGATACGCTTATGAGAAACGGCTGTGAATGAAATGTGGAACATGGTATGCTCGCTCACACTACACATACTACCAGAAGTTTTTGTAGTATCCAAAAGTTACGCAAACTTGAAGAAGAACAACAAGAAGCATGCACACGCTGGCTATTGGGTTCAGCATATTGGCGCTGGGTAAACGGACTCTATGGACCACGTCATAAGCCATGGGGGCTATTTAAATGCAGGACAAACCTGACTGTGGCAACACACTGAGCAACGGACATGATCCGCTCCCCTAGACCAGCAACAGACCTGGGTATGGAGCTGGCATTGGGTCTGTTTAGCGCGATAGACGCTATATACGCCTACGATCGAGAATATTCAAAAAGCTTCGGTAGCAAACCTGTGCCGAAACTAATAGTGATACCCCCCACTTGTTTCTGATTCAGGCTTCTAAAGTACTATATTTTCACGACCACCCGACTCAACTACTCACAGCTACCCTGCATATGTGAGCGCTGTTGTAAATCTGTCTTGCCCAACGGGGATAATTTCTATTGGGGACCCGGGTGGTGGACCCGGGGGGTTTCGCAGCTCGAAACTAGATTGTACGGATACTTGTACAGGGAAAACCGATGTACTCTGGCATCTCCATCGCCTGCTTCGCAGCCGCAGCATCTGCCTAATCTGCTACTGTACAACCAAGTGTACCAAGTTTGATCGCTTCTTTTCAAAGGCATTGTCACCTCATATGTCGTTACTTCGATGAATTGAACGTCAACGCTGAGTTAGTTGAATTTGGGCTTCAGCGCTTTTGACAAACCCGCCGTGGTAATTCGACCTCCTGCTACTTGTCGGACAAGGAATCAACGGATTTAGTTTCATTTTAGTTATTTTATATTACGGAGAACGGTTATAAACAACTAGCTCATCAACGTAATTTCCTTCCGTCCTGCCATTGAAATATGCGCTGATACCCAGGCAGAATCCTTTATTTCTTAGATTGCCGTATTGTGCTCGGAAACTTACCGGTGGCGATAATAGAATTTGAAAAGTAAAATCCCGTGCATTCAAATGTTTAGCGCTGCTGGGCTACTGCTCAAGTGAACTTGCTGGGTAATCTGATGACGCCAGCAATTTGTTGCAAGTTTGATAAGTCAAAATTGAGGTCTAGCAGATCTCGATCGCGTGTAAGGGTAGGATACAGCGGGTACTTTTTCTTTGCTTTGACGGTGTCCGTCCGGATTTCCTCTCGCACAGGAATCCGGGGCGTACAGCGACGACGTAGGAGCATTAAAACTCAACATGGCGCAGCCGCACGTCCGGGTCGCCTGAACATCTAGCAGCAAAAACGCTGTCAGCTTCGGTTCGTCCAAGTGTGTGATTGCCATTTATCAAGTATTAAGCTGAATGTACCGTGTTCATGTAGCATTAGGACGATCTGAACTAATATCGGTAAAATGTACTTTGACGTTGTTTTTGACAAGAACAGGATCAGGGAGTAGGTAATTCTACACCACCAGTAGTAGTAGAAAATGGGCTCGATGGATCTCTGCGGGTCGCAGTGTAGTCTCACCCAAGCCAAACACAAAATCATCCAAAGTCTTCGTAGATAAAATGCCTGAGCGAGTGCGGCTAGCTTCTTCATGGCCCCACACGAGCCAGTCGTATCTCGATTCACCCCTTAATTGGAAGGAGGCTTCTTTCGATTTCATGCACAGTCGTCATTCTTTTTGCACTACCTTTTAGCCTTTCCTCCGGAGAAGACATACCATCTAGTGCAACTCATTGAGCCCCCGCTTAATGAATTTGATCAACGCCATATAGGACGTCACTGCGTTGCCGGCCAATAGAGTTACTGTGGATAAAACAATGTTGAACAAAAAAAATAAAGCTATACCCCCCATTTGGATAGCATAACCTTAAAAGCTTGAAGTACTTTTTGGTAAAGTTTAGGTGGGATGTTTTTATGAATTCATCAAGACTCATTCCAATGAGTGTGGGAATTCACACAATGCTAGCCAGCCGACAATTTATGTCACGACAAATTCAGATGACCACACGATTTTCAATTAATCTCTCTGAGAAACTATGCATGCAGAAGAAAAATCTGTGTCTGAAAGAGGAGGGTACCCAGGACTGAATGAACCGATCAAATCGCTAGTTTTAACGCTAATGGAATGAGTAAGTACTATGTTGAGTGCTCTGGAGCTGCATACACTATAATACGATGCAGTGGTGTGGTAATGGCACCAGTTGTGTTTAAGGTCTGCATCATTAACACCGATGCCTCTAATTGTCAGCGACACAATTACTACGACGAACAGCGTACATGTACATATTGCGTACAAAAAAGCAAGAATTGTATTCCCACCCCAAACATTTTATTGGACGAAAGTCCCACTTCCTGTGGCGGCATCGAGGGCATCTGACATCAATCTAGAAGGAAAACGAGCTTGGAGGCAAATGGGCATCTATCAAAACCTGTAGTGTCATTCAGACCGGATTCGATCGAGTGCTGTTTGATATAGTATGGATGTTGTTCGATGACATCCGCTACGGATATAGCGCGAATGTCGTTCGATGACATCCAAAAACCTTCCCCAATCGACAGTTCTTCGAACTGCGAATTTGGTAATCCACAGGATGCTGTCCCAACCAATGCACAATAATTTTATAATCTACTCAAGTTCAAGATGCGCGGCCAAGGCAATAAAGAAACGATCTGGGTTAAGCACTTCGGCTAATGCCGCTCGATCGACTTCCAACTTCACCGTGTGGCTCTAAATATACTTGCAACTTCGAACGGACGATTTGATGTTGGCAATTCTGGGCGAGCCATCCCCCTCAGAACCATATTCTATACCTTTTTATCGGACAGCGCGCGCCGAGAGAGGATCGCACTAATTCTGGTGTTTCTCCGCTCAGCCTAAGCGATAGTCGAGATAACCTGAGTTAAAACATGATAAAGGGTGTCACCTTTAGATGGACAACTACCGATCGGCTTCCATCTTCCTTATTTCTACGTACGAGTTGTGCTCCCTTGTTGCCAGCGAGCTCCTCCGCGCTACAGCGTAACACCATACAGCATCTGAGTTGTCGTGATATAGTGACCACTTTAAAATGTCCCTTGTAGCTGCGATCTCCTGGGGATTTTCGATGAGTTGAAACTTTGGTGCCATTTCTGTTGAACTTGGTCACCTTGTCACCCAGCGCCCACACGAGGTGTACATAGGTTTCGTACCCGTCAGCCTCACTGATTCTCCCTCGGAGATTCTTGAGGCCGAGATCGTCCCAGACCTTGGACGTGGAAGCCCCCTCCTTGAGCCACTTCTTGACCTGAAACCTTTGGAATATCCTGAACTTAGGGTGGGCCTTGAGCTGAGCTCTGGTCAAGCCCTGCTTGATCCCCAGAACTTTCATCACTTCTTCGTCCGACTTGCCAAGAGTAAGCCACGCCTTGATCCTCATGTCCTTGATCTTGTCCTTTAAATGTGCCAGTACAAATTCGGTAAAACTTCTATCTTCGGTGTCGAAGTTCGGCTCCGTCACTCGCAGCGAATTTCCACCTAGGGCATTGACGCTGTAAGGCTATCACCCGATCTGATGTGGTATCATCTCGGCATGTATTACCAGATTTCTATCAATCTGACTTCCAGTCTGTTGGTGTTTTGATGCCTCCAAAGAATGTCCGACTGCGTACTTAGCCTCCAGGACTCTATGTACGACGCTCGATAATGTAGCCCCGAGATCAGCCAGCGTACATACCGCAACCAATTGATACTGTACTCCGTACGGTGCACTACCGCCTCTGTCTGGAGCATGTATTACCATGAATCAAAAAATGTCGTTATATTGTGAAGAACTTGTAGTTTCTTCGTAATTTGTAGTTTCAATAGAATAAATAAACTAAGATTATCCAAGTTTTTCAGTTTCAGATTCCTTGCCCCTAGCAAAACAAGCAGATCACTCACTCAACGTGCGATTCGGCACCACACCTCTATGGCTGGTGCCGTATGGAACACTCCCCTAGCTGTTGACTCGATCGACTAAGATTCCTAATGCAAGGAACTCGGAAGACAGGATTCTGGTGCAAAAACAAAACTAAAGTTGCTGGAGGAGAAGTTGGATTGATGTGAAGATGTCATAACTAACAAGAATAGCGCTTGATTGTCGAATTACTATAATTGTATGCTCCAGAATTTCAAGTATTCGATGGGGTGGACAAGCTGCTTGAACCCCGAGTCTCAACCAAGCACCTTTTGACAATGCTTGCGTCTGAATGAGGTTGAACCGAAATTATTTAAGACCACTAACGCACTTAAAATTACGCCAACAAGATTGACGAACATATACAAAACGGCAGCTTTTCATAAGAACCACCGTAAGGCGAAGAAGAACAAGAAGAAACGCGAGTAGTACCGACACATTCTACGAGTGAAGTAGCACCCCAAACGCGAGCAAGCGTTCATCGAGAAGAGATGACTGGGCCGCTTGGAGGAAATGCAGTAGGTGTGTCGATATTGCACTGAACATGTCAAGACATTCTACGGTAATACTAGTAGCGTTTTCTTGAACTATGTAGGATGAACCAGGTAATCTTCAACCACCATTGGTGGTGTAGTAGTCGAACACGTCTCCAATCTTCACTTACGCATGGAAGAAGCGGATCCGTTCCGGGTCGAACCACTCGCACGAATTCATCTCGTCGTTCCAGCGGGACGTAATCTCTCCAATCTTCTTGCCGTAGAGCACACGGATGAAGGCGAGCAACGTGCTTTCCTTCTCGTCTCGACGGTATATTTCGCTCATGGCCACGGACGAACGTCCAGTAGTAGCGCAATAGCTGGGGGTTCATGGGGTTGTAGGAAAAAAATGTTGGCTGCATTTTTTAGTGTAGTGTTACCGCAACAGCTCAAAAGAGCACGTTTTACGGATCAGCCTATCTAACTAGGTCGGGGTTAACGTTGGGCAAGCACTGCCGCATGGTCAGGTTGCTCTCTACCTTGTATTCAAAGGAGGTAGATTCCCCACCAAAAGTGGTGATTGCGTGATTTTTGATTTTTGAAATCTACATGTAGAGCGTGAGCAAAGTCAATTGGTGATGTCGTGTAAGTCTTGTGCTTTGAAAAAAGCAGGTAGAGTTCAACTCAGTAACGAACATTCTAGCCTTCAAACCTGCTGTGAGCTCGGCACGAAACGATTCACCATCTCTCAGGTTTTAGTGAGAGCGGTCGCTGACCAGTTTAATGTTGTTTTGCCCGTCGCGAACGACCGAAGCGTTCGACTTACGACTGCTCGCTCCCCAAACATGGGCTTCGGAGCTACCCTACTCTGTCTGGCGGTTTACTTCGTCGCATTGCGCGCTCCTCGAACTGTTAACGCTACTCCTGGCCGAGCAGACACCTCCAAGCCAGGCGTTTTGTCCGCAAAGAGGACCCTAAGAGATTCCGAGGTTACATACGGTACAAGAAACCCGGAATACAGGGTTTTGGTGTCGTGGCTTAAGTTGCTCAAGAAGGAGTAATCGCGGTGGCTTAATGTCCAGATGTGGGTGGAGATGCGAGTGACGGAAGCGTACGTGAAGCAGGAGTTGGGCTTGGCCGGGCTGGCTGGAAAAACGCTGGAAAGTCACCCGAATTACAAGATTCTCAAGAACTTTAAGTATGCGAGGGAGGGGCGCGAGCTGGACGAGCTGCTTGAGCATCAAGCATCGACCAAGTTCCTTTGGGAAGATCTGCGCCTGAATGAGGTTGAGCCAGAATTGCTTAAGACCACCGACGCGTTTAAAACCTACGTTCGGTACGCCAACAAGGTGGACGAAGATATCTGGAGGTTCAAGACGGGCGCTTTCCACCAAAACCACCTCTTTGAACCCAAGGTCTACTACGGAGGCTCCCCAGAAGAAATGGCGGTGAAACTGGAGCTTTGGGCCAAGGCAAAACGACCTGGATGGTATGTGAAGAAGCTGCTATACATCGATGCTCTCGAGGGTACTGCACTTATCTCTCACCCACACTACGCATACTACCAAAAGTTTTTGGATCTACGAGGTAAGTACAAGCAAAGTGAGAGCAAGGATGAACAAGAAGAAACGTGAGCGCTATCGACAAATTCTTACCCTAGTCCAAGAAAAAATACTGTCGTAGAATTTCTTGGTCTCTTCAGTCAGTACGAGTTGGAGTAGCGATATCGACACATCTACTGCATCTCCTCCAAGCTCTCCAGCCCTCTCTCCTCGATGAAAGCTCGCACACGTTTCGGGTGATACTTCACTCGTGGGTCGTTTTCCAGGTAATCCTCTACCACGTACTTGAATCGCACCCACTCCGGGAACTTGAGCACGCCGTCGGTAGTGTAGTAGTCGAAGACGTCCCCAATCTTCACTTGAGCATGGAAGAAACTGATGCGCTCCGGGTCAAACCACTCGCACGAATTTATCTCGTCGTTCCAGCGGGATGTGATCTCGCCGATCTTCTTGTCGTAGAGCACACGGACGAAGGCGAGCAAGGTGCTTTCCTTCTCGTCTCGACGGCATATCTCGCTCGTCGCACCGAGGACGAACGTCCAGTAGTAGCCCAATAGCTCGGGGTTCATGGGGCTGTAGGAAATACTCTCCTTCCAGTAGAACCACTTTTCGGCATTCGCAACGCTCGTGATGGGGAAGGGATCATTCCGCGCTCCTCGCTCCATGGTTTGCTGCCTCTGATGTCACGTAGTCGAGGTTAAACTATCTGGAAATCGCCCATTGTGTCGACAAAGACCGATGACCAAGGCGAGCAAGAGCGGCGTAGTTTATTGGCTGCTGGGTCTATTGTCGTTATGAACTGAGAATATCGTCCTTGCGTCTGGGCCACCGAAGCCTCTTATTTTATCGGATATATATATATATATAACTCCCAAAAATAGCGTGCCCGATTCAAAAACTCTGACAGAGCAAGCAACGACTGTACTTTGGTCAGGCGAAGATGAGCAATTGAACAACTGTTTTTTGCAAACGATTTCGAAGTGTCATACTACTTACTACGTAACAGGGAATCTTCTTTGTATCCGGCAATTAGTTCTTCGGTTTCTCAATTTTCTCTTTTTCGGCCGTGGCAGCATCTTCACCTTTGCGAGTCTTCTCCTTGAGAAAGTTGATCGGCCCCTGCAAGCCCGCTTCATCCTTCATGGCTCTCAGCATCCGCGTATCGGTCGACCGAAGCCTACCTGGAGACACCATCGCTGGGAACTTACTTTGGTTCGACTCGGCGTCGCAGCTGACAAGAAGCGAGGCAGTGACAACCGGGAGAGACGTAGTGAGGCGCATCGGGCACGCGTGGCAGTTGAAGTGCGTGGGCGTTGGAAGGGAAGATGAAGAATACTTCTGATTCGAAGTGCGAGAGCTCATGTTGCGCTTGCTCTCCCCTCAAGTCCCATCATAGTATACTTTCCCACGCCATCCAACGATACATACCATAGAGTTCATCATACGCATGAAATCCCCATTTAGAGCCTTAAAACGGCCGGCAGATGGCGTGAGGAAATCGTGATGGCGTTCATACGGTTCTAAACTATTTGTTGCCGAGGATGGTGTGATGGATTGACCTTGCACAACAGGTCCTTTGACGTACCATCACACAATATTTTCCTACTTCAGTATCAAGTTACATGCAAACGGCGGAATCAGATAAAGTAGCATACTGTACATACTGCATGTATCCAGATCCTTTCGATTTGTGTCTACCCCAATCAAAGGAAAAGGTATCATAGGCATCCCGAGTTACAAGGGGTCAAGCTCACGTCGGAAGGTGGTGAGGTGGAGATCAAAGTGGCCGGTTATGCTGACGACACGGCTGTCTACCTTTCATCTGCATCTCAAGTCGAGGCGCTCTTGAGGGTCACCACAGAATTTGGGGCAGCATCTGGGCTTCTCCTTAACCACAAGAAAACGATGGTGATTGCACTACGGCCGGACGGTCACGCAGGGCACGCCTGCCTGCCACCTCCTCTGCAGTTTCAGGAGCCTGAGCACTAAGGCCGCTATCTCGGTATCTTTGTTGGAAGCAAGAGGGACCCCGAGAGGACGTGGAGCATGGCAGAGCGACAATTAACCACCAGATTGTATATGGCCAGTCAGAAAACAACAACCGTCGGCCAACGCAGCTTGGTCGCTTCAGCGGTCATTACTCCCAAGCTGCTATACATCGGCCAGCATGCCTGGCCTGCAACTGGCACGGTAAATCGGCTGACGACAAAGATCAAGAATTACGTGTGGCACGGCGTCTTTACCTCAGAAGTACAAGGGGCGAAGGCTTGGTTGGATGCGGACCTCGCAGCACTGCCCCGGACCCAAGGGGGTCTAGCTGTGCCCGATCTGCGTTTGGAACTGATGGCGATGGCAACAGTTACCGTCTCAAAGTGGGCGGCCCTCGGATCTAATGTCGATCATATCGTCGGCGACATCTTAGTGTGTAAGGAGCTGATACCTGGTGCCCGTACTCCGGCCACCTTCATGACCCCGAATGCAAGAGCCCCAGTGGTATGCGGCATCCGCCGTCGTTCATCTATGTGGTGAACTGGGAAGGCCATCGTTTCCACGGCAGGTGGCGCTGCTGACCTTCCCGCTCGGGCACCGATGGTTTCGGCCGTGTACCAGTTGGCCCGACAATTCGGATGTGTCGATCTTCACTGGAACGGCGCAAGGCTAGTCACCGACGGGGCAGCTTTACGGTCCGTCTTTTCCTCTTGGCTGAAACTGCCGTCCATGGCCAACAGTGTCTGGAGTGGCTTCCCTACGCTTCAGTGGTGGATCTTCAGCTGATCGATGGCCGAACAGGAGCTATCGCCAACCGGACCTGCTTTCGAAGCTTGCTTACGTACGGTGAACGGCTCCGTGATATCATTCACTGGAGATGTCATGGAGCTGGACTTATCACATTCACCCTGCTATTCCCCCGCAGAAGACGTACATCAGCAATTCGCAAGAGGGTGGAGGCCCTCGTTCTACTATTGGTCACGAATTACCCCCGCCTATTTTATCGAGGGGGCTTCAGCTCGGAGCTACGGATTGAAGCAACACCAGCCGATCACTCGGTGCTCGGGAGGATGACTTCCAGTTCGCCACCATCTGTACAGCTGACGTCAGGATCGAGGGATCTCTCACGGGACCACGTTATCAGCAGTCATCCTCGACTGACTAAGTTCGTGTCCGCGACAGTCGGGCCCGACATTCGAGTTCAATATGTGCATCCGCACCCGCGTGTCCGTCGTCTGGTCTGCTTATGGGTGGGTAATCGGCGATGGATCAAACCACGTCGACATTTTCGAACCATTATTGCTGCTGCATCGCGGAGGCGCGGCTTCGACAGTCGAGCGCGGCGCCAACAACACTGGGAGCGGCAAAGTCCTTCGGCTGCGACAGGTCTCTCAACTTGAATGGGCACGGATCCGGCGCATTGTCGGTCTTAACCCATGGGGGGAGCAGCTCCTGTTTCGGCTCAAACACCAGGCGCTATCGCCACACGATCGCAGTCGTCAACAAGTTGGATGTCCTCATGCGGCGTGCGTTCGCCAGGACCGAGTGGATCTCTACCATGTGTTCTGGAGTTGTCCAGCAGCGGTTCGGCTGTGCACGCGTTTCCTACAGAGTTGGCTGGCATTGGAATTGCCTACGTCGGGCCTGGAGGAGGCTGTCTTTGGCCTAACGCTGCCAATGATCCCTGCGGGGGTATGGACAATTGCGCAGCAGCTTTTCCCGACCGTAGCCGGCCTCGCGCTGGACAATCTCACGGTCGCACTCACGCGGGTGATGGAGAGCTGCTGGAGAATCGGAGCGGCCCTCTATTTTCACGCAGTGTTGAGGTGGCGAGTTGCTTTTTTCGACCCGCTCAATAATGTGTCGTTTGACTATCTTCTGGCTATCTTCAACACTCGACTGCGGAACGGATGTGCCACTGTGCACCTCCACACTGCACGGGGTCCACACTCTCCAATGCTTGACCGAGCGGCACAAGTGGCGCGCAAAGCGCTTCATTCGATTCCGGCCGTGCCAACTCTAGCACTCGTTGTTGGACGTTCGAAGTATCTCCTTTTTTTGATGGCGGCTCCCGTGGTAATCCCGGGCCTGGAGGAAGTGGAGCTGCAGTGGTCCGGGTCGGCGAAGGGTGGGGTGGTTTCGAAATCTGCTGGGTTATCCGCATGCCATACGCGGCACCTTCCACAACGAACAACATTGCAGAAAACATGGGGCTGCTTATGGGGTTAAAGGCCTGTCATCGCCACAATTGGAGACCACTCCATGTGGTTGGGGATAGCAAAATTATCATCCATCAGCAGCAGAAGCGGCGACCACCGAAGGCTAAACACCTTACTCAACTATACTGGCAAAGTCGGCGGATTGCGGATCAACTCTCGGTGATCAGCGTAGCATGCAATGCAAACCCACTCGAGTCATCGGCTCCGACTCGATCTGGGAAGATCTTCATGCCTATGCAGCCAGTGAGGTGGGGCACTGGCTGGAGCACATCAGCGATGAGAACGCTTCGGGGTTCGGGGCCTTCACACCTTAACGGCTGAGGGCAGCCCTGAGTGTGTAGCCACTAGGGGTAATAAAGCTGGGAGATCGGTTAGAGACGACCTCCGTCAAGGTCATCGATGTCGTTAGCCACGAAGTTAACCCCTTGAACACGAGAGCCTGTATTATGCACGATTACAAAAAATGTTTATCTTGTATTAGACATGCTAAGGATTTTATCTTGTTTTAAGTATGGACCATACAATTTTTAAGTCCAAAAGGGTTCGGGGTGCCTCCACCTCGAGTGCTGGAAAATACCACTAAAGTGTCTCAAAATTGAGACAGTACATGAGGTAGACCACACGATCTTTAAAGGCACCGACGCCACTCGTTCAATCTCATTCCAGAACTTGCCGACCAAGAACAACGACCAGATTTACTGCGCACTGGATTGATCTAACCCAGCAATGGGGGAAATCTAAGAGCAAAACTCCACTCTCATGTCGCCGCGAAAGACCCAGAGGGGGTATGAAGGAACCGGCTGCTTCGTCGGAGCTGAGGGACCGATGTTCCGACTAGTCACGTTTGACTAGGTAAGTGATTGCGATGTTTGTAATACTACTGGCATTTTGCCGACATGCGTAAATGATGCAGAAGGGTAGTAACAATCTTCGACGGCTCCGTTGCACTGAAGCGGCTGCCACAACAGTACCGGAAACCGCGGATCGAGAGAAAACAGTGAGCAATGACATCTTGTATTCTTCACGTTATGTTTGTGTCTAATCGTGTATGTACATGCTACTACTGCAGCCGCGAGTGCTTCGACCGACGTCACAGCAGCTTCCGTAGCTCTAAGCTGGCCTCAGCGCACCAGCTCTCCGGGCTGCGGTTTGATTAGCTGAGGATGCTGATGCCGAAGGAAACGGTGCGGTTCATTGCTATAACTACTATCTACGCCACTCACTTAGCTAATTTCAAAAACGTTTGTTGCTATTGCAGTTGATAGAGCTTCGCTCGGTGCCAAGGCTGTCTGTCACAGCCTGCGAAACGCAAGCCAAAGGTCTTCTGGCTTATGTTCGGCGGCAACAGTGCGGGAAGCTGTAGATAAAGGTGCGCCTCAAGGCTATTGTGTGCTATTCAAGTTACTCATGTGTCTAATCGTGTATATACGTTTTTCGACTATAGTTGCTAGAGCTTCGACTGGTGCTGTGCCACGTGCCGGGATGACGCAGGCTTTCTCAACCCTTCGGTCTATCCGCGCATCGAGCTCCCTACGAGCAACGTTTCCAGCAAGCTACATACCAGGGCAACGCACGTCATTCAGCGAGTCCCACGTCATGCAATGTTGCGGTCAGAGGTATCGCCCAATTAATTGCGCGTATATGTCAGGAATAAACCACATAAATGAAGGATGATGATGTTCAAACGTTGTTGTTCCCAGTTGTCCTATGTCATGCGCTGAATAGCTAGTGTGCTTTGGAGCACGCTCAATCTTGTTTTGGTCGCAAAGTTATCTTAGCGTGTCTGATACAAGCTATCAACATCGTTATCCCGTATGTACAGATCTGAAGTATACTGGCAAGCGTCATACCACCATAACCGAATCGGTAGTGACGGTTCTGAGCAGAGCGAGAACAAACAAGTGGAATGGAGACGCCACCGTGTGACCAAAGTGTTCTTCGTGTGGAAGGAAACTAGGGTCTGAAAGGACAGTGAAACGACGTTCTATCACAGCGCAGCGAGGGCCAGGGCGGCTCAAAGAAGGCCATAGCTTTTTTGCGTTGACTTGTGTGCCAAGGCAACAGCGAGTCTATTTCCTGCCACAAGCCCTCACTTCGGCACAGGTGAATGATACTATGTTGTCGTCATCGCAGTAGAAGATGGTTTCATGTGCGGACGACCACAGACGGAGTGGCGGAGAAGAGGCGATAACAGCGAGGGCGATGATGCCCACCAGCCTAAGCGACGACAGCGCGACGATTGAAGGGTGACAGATGCGAGACAAAAGGTGCAGAGCTTATATCTTAATTTAGGTATGGTATCCACGCGCTCTTTTTTTTGAAAACAAGGTTGCGTTTTTCTGTCAAAAGCCGGCCATGTCTTTGTTCTTTACCATGGCTTCCGTGCGACTTTCCATATACAGGATATACTAGAGGATTGGGCTGGTAGTGCGCCTGAATATGCAATTTCGTCGAAGCAAACCAAAATTGTTCGGTTAAATGAACAGAAACTTGCCAACATTTGATACGCAGCATCTGTGGCGCCAGTGCTATTCACGGCGCGCCCCGGAAGTGATGTAGATGTGCAGAGCGATGTAGTGCAGCGGGTTGTTCTTAAACGGCGCGTGGAGCTGCTCCTCCGTGATCTCCTCGCCGAACTCGAGCGCCACGTGCAGGTGCGCCATACGGCCCTCCGTCTTCTCCACGAGACTGGAAGCCGACACCTGGCGGTTGGCCGCGTCCATGAGCGTTACGATCAATAGTAAAAATGCATGACGGTTTACAGATTCATGCTTTTTCTTCGCGTATTCTCAATATATTTCCGCATTGAATGATGTAGACTAGAAATTGATCGACCGTCAGCACAACCATTTAGCCAGCGTTGCCACAAAATTAATTTCTCCGAGTAATCCTAAGAAAAGTTGTATGAAAACGCGGCGAAAATGATGAGTGATCTGGACTACAGAGCGCTCCTACGACCACCACCGACGAGCGGTGTCCCGGTCCTCAGTTCAGCTTTTTCGGTCGCTGCAGCAGCCAACCCCCCCCCCCCCCCCGTGCTCACGGTAAAAAACTCCGCTGCTGGGGTGCCGAACTAGCTGGACTCACCTCGCCGCAGAACCACCGAACGGACCGACACTCATACAACCCCCCCCTCCCCTCCTGCGATCACCGGTATGTCGCCGCGCTACCTACCATGCCTCGCTTCATCATCATCTCGCCATTGCGCATGCTATCTTAGCCGCATACTGCTGAATGTGTATTAGACTTTAGCATTATTCTATCTTGGTCGCAGCGCGCCAAACATCCTCCGCGCTTTTGTAGATTGATCAAATATTGCTGCACAAACTACTTGCATAGCAACTAGAAAACCGGGTTGCCCGCTATCGGCAAATACCCTCTCCTCCTTCATTCAAACATTTGAGAGCTGGTACCTTCGTACTTAACGTTTACTCTTACGCTCTGGAAACGAATATCCTACTGAACTAGTTTGCCACTCCACCGATAAAGCCTCTGCTTTTACGTGAATTTCAAGAAACCATGCGATTTCTGAGATTATTAAATGACTTTACTTGATTTCAGTAGGCTTTTACTTCATGTGCGCCACGTATCAGGTGCATCGAATTAATCCTGGTTGGGCTGTCCATACTTCGTAGCCGAAGCACTACCAGGAAAATCATACTAAGTTCAGTATTGTAACCCTTCCCAAATTATATCGGATAACCGCCCTAGGGTTTAGTGAAATGGGCACGCTGGAAATCGCTCGCGTTCAAGGGGTTAAGTGGCATCGATGTACCTCAATGCCAAAACAAAACCAAAAATAAAAGGTATCATGACTGCAAGGAAGTGGCCTTATATGTACAACCTCCGCGTCTAGCTGAAAACACCATTGTATACTTCGGCTTGGTATATATATTTGTTACTTCAAGTGAAAATCTACCCGAAGTAGATTTGAATTTTAGTAGTCACATAGATTATAAACTTCAGCTTTTGATGCTAGCAGGAAAATAAAATCCTTGACAAGCTGATAAAAAAATCCGTTCTCACTCCATCACTGCTATTATACAGACAAACCTCGAAAAAAGGTAAGATAGTTGAAGCTATTTTAATGCTGGAACGAACAATTTGGTGCTAGAAGACGGAGACCGATCAATGTTTACATCTTTTTTTTTCGCAATATCTTCAAAGACGCACATGTTAGCAGGTATATTCAGCGAATCACCATTGAAATTTCTCTTTGATTCATTGGCATACACGCGTTTCATTTCAGTCTTTGCTATCTCAAATTGAACTGAAAAACCTCCAGTGAATACGCAGTAATCAATTTTTCTCCTCACAGATATTATGTCAGGACAGGGTACTGTGGTGGGGTCCGTCCAGAGCTGGTAGTGTTTGGTAAACTCAATGATAGCCGCTGACCGTTCGAGAAACGAAACCCATTTAAGCGTCATTACTTCTTTGCAGCTTCATCTTCAGTGAAATTCTCCACCTCATTTCTTGATTCGCCTGGTGGGTCCCACAAGCAGCAGTTCTGTACCGGAATGCGCTTCACGGTCCACACCTTCCTGCTGGCCGTATTCGCGCTGGTCGCCATTGGCGGAAGCCTCGCCTCAGCCGCCTAGTCCAACCGCCTGAATGTCCAATGTGGAAGATTTTTCCGTGGTGCGGAGACGAACAACGCCGACACCGTCGACACGGAAGACAGTAGCGTGAAAACGTATCTGACAGAGAAAGGGAAGAGTTTGACCACGAACGCGACGATCAAGGCCTGGCTTGCTTTCGGCAAGTCGGACGAGCAAGTGATGAAAGCGCTGGATTCAAGAATGGCTTGAGCCGAGCTCAGCTCGAGGCCCAACCGAAGTTTAAGACATTCAAAAAGTTCCAGGTGAACAAATGGCTCAAGGAAGGCGCTTCCACTTCCAAGGTCTGGGACGATCTCGGATTCATGTCGTAGGTAAAGTCGAGAGCGCCGACGGGTTCAGGACCTACGAGAAGTTTGTGTCGGCGTTGGCTGACAAGGTGCACGAGTACAACAAATAGGGAGGGAAGCGGCCCAAGCTCAAACCCATTACAAATTCTCGGGAGATTGAAACTACAAAGCAGATTTTGGAAAAGGCAGGCTACAGCCCTACGACGACTTTTCAGGTTCTGAATGGTGTTATACTGTGGCCCAAGAAATAAAGTACGTGGAGACCAACGGTAAGTAGCCAAGAAAGTGTAGTCACTGGAGTCTATTCGCCTAGATACCTTAATCACCAAAACACGGGCGTTGGATGCACTTTTTTTGAACTACTGGTACAGTACTGTTGTACATTTTAATGTGGCATTATTGTTATTAAAATAAGGGTAGTGCTGAAGAAGTGCACAACGTCCTGCCACATGAATGGCGTTATTACCACCACAAACAGAACGAGGTGAAGTAGCATACTATAGTATAATAATATTATTATGTACCAGGAAGGCCACTATACTTGGCTTGCTACTGATTGAAAGTTGAAGGTTGTTGTTTTTGATTCGGATTGGTTTGAATGAGATATTAGTTTTGAATGTATATCATCGGGACCTCGCAGGACTCGAACGCCTGTCAAGTGCGTAACTTCGTAGCCCGTAGACCACTGGACCACCAGGGGACCCTTTTCGAATATGTACAGGCTGGAGGGTCATTGGACCTAACCGAACTACGGGTATACCCCGAATATGTACCAGATCCGCTCTCGATGTGCGCAACCCAATTAAAAGGTATCATAGTTGCAAGGAAATGCGCCATCATACACTCTCTGCGTCTTGCCGAAAACGCCAGTGTGTAGTCCGGCTTGTTAAGCTTATAGTAGTATACGTTTTGTTGTTGTTGTTGTACTTAAGGAGTCATTTAAGTATGAACATCAGTTTTTCATGCTGGCTAAAAACAAGAACATACTTGACAACTCAATTTTAATTTTAAAAAGTATATATAGCAGTTCTCACGCAATTACTTCTATGTATTGTAATCGTCGAATGCTTTGTCCCCTCGAAAAGGCAAGCTATTTAGACAGAATAGGTCAAGGGTACGTAAATAAACAGGAGAAATAGCACATATATAAATGAGTATAAATAAGGGTGTGTTTGGCCTAATCGGAGTCCGCTCCCGGTTGGTTGTCTGGCATCGTTGGCTCAGCCAGCCATTGTGAAACGTGCTCCGAGTTGCAATGCACTCTGCAGACTTCCGATGGCGAGCTATTACGCTGCACTACGCGTACAAAATACCATTGAAAGACAACTTGACGGTGCGGGAAATATTACACATTCCTATTTCCAAAAAGAAAATTTTGAGACTTTTATTTTAAAGACTTGAGAGTGATGAAGGATATGCATATTTGAAGAAACATGTACATATGGTTGATCGGCCCACGAAACTTGCACAACGGAGCCCGGTATCACTACCAGCCATACTTACCTGCTTTATTGTCCGCACCGTCAAGTTGTCTTTCAATGGTATTCTGATTTCCGGGTGCAATTCCGGCTCGATAAGGTCGCCTTAACCGACCAACAGGGGGAGCCGTCACCCTGAGTTGGTAATCAAACTCTCCAACGGTTCCCTCACTAACTTGATGGGAAATGTTTCGATGCCATACTAATGTACCTTCAGCGTGGGTGTACTCATCTGGTCAATGGTCAGCCATAGCTGTGGCCCCAGCTCAACGTCGAGGTCGTAGCAGCGCTGAGCAAGGCTGGAGGGACGTAATACCAGGAGCTAGCGGCAATTGTATGACCTTTGTAGCGCACTGGTATATTAGCTGTCAAGCCTATTGTCGTTTAGAATGAAAATATCATCCTCGTGTCAAGGCTACAACCCTTAGCCTCTTATACCTATCGGTTTATGTAGAACTTCCAAAAATTACGCGCTTAGTTTAAGACTCTGAAAGCAGCAACGACTGTATAAGCCATTTAACAACTTGAATATTTATCTTGACGTCGTACTCCGTAACAAGGAAGATCTCTCTCTCAACAGAAACATTCGCCGATCTGCAGCGTCTACAATTAGTTCTTAGGTTTCTCGACTTCTCTTTTTCTGCCGCAGCCCCAGCTTCAGCTTTGCAAGTCGAATCGTGGAAAAAGTTGACCGCCCCCTGCGCGCCCACTTGCTCCTCCATGGCTCTCAACATCCGAGTGTCAGTCGACCGAAGCATATCAGGATACGTCTTCGTTGGGAACTCGCCTTGGTTCGACTCGGTATTCGCCGAGATCGCGTCGCAAGCAACGGGAAGTGAGGCAGCAGCTACGAATAGAGACGTAGTGAGGCGCATAGTGCGGGCTTGGCAGTTGAAGGACTTGAGTGTTGGATGGACAGATGAAGAATGCTTCTGATTCGCAGTGCTGAAGCCTAATGGGCTTAGCCCATGTTGCGCTCATTCGCCCTTCAAGTCCCATCATGGTATGCTTCCTCACGTCATTCTCATCCTGGGAAGCGACAATTTCTTCCACTGGGAGTTCGCGATGCGTATGACGCTCGCGAGGAAGGGGCTGCTGGTGCACGTCCAAGTGGTGAAGGACCCGGCGGAGATGAAGGAGGCCTGGATGCTCAACGACAGGAAAGCGCTTGGTCTGATCGCTCAAGGCGTGGCTGTGGAACACCACACGAAGATTCGGTCGGCGACGTCGGCTATCCAAGCCTGGAATAGTTCTACAACCGGACGACGATGCATAATCGTGTCACGATGACTCGTCGGTTCCATGAGTTCAAGATGGAGGACGGTGCGGCGATGGCGAAGCACCTGGACAAGTTCGACGAGCTCATCGTGGGCCTCCGGACGCTTGTAGAGCCGCTCGATGACTCCCAACAACTCGTCATCCTGCGGAGCAGCTTGCCGGCGGAGTTCGATTTGATCGCATCCATCGTCGAGAACTAGAAGGACGTGACCTTCATCGAGGTGAAGGAGAAGCTGCTCAAGGAGTACGAGCGGCAGGAGAAGAAGGAGACCTCGGAGCGCGCGTTGAAGGCTACCTCGTTCGGAGGTAGGGGCCAGAACGGGAAGTTCGGCAAGGGCGGCAAGGCATTCGGCCGCAAGCGCAACAGCGGACGAAAGGTCAGTGGCTTCAAGGGCAAGTGCTTCAAATGTGACCAAGTGGGCCACATGAAGCAGGACTGCCCGGAAAAGGCAAATGGAGACACCGCCGAAGACTCGGTGTTCGCTGTGGCGGAGAATCCATCAGCGGGTTGGCTGATCGATAGTGGGGCGACGGCTCACATGACGCCTCACCGCGATGACTTGTTCGAGTACAATGAGTCGTCGGCGGACATGTATGTGACAATCGCGGACGGGAAGAAGATCCGCGTGGCAGGGAAAGGGTCGGTGCGCCTAACGGGCATCGACGGCAAGCGCATCAAGATGGTGGAGGTGCTCCACATCCCCGGACTCGACCGGCGACTACTCTCGGTTGGGAGGTTGGCTGAACGCGGCATGAGTGTCGAGTTCCAGCGGAAGTCGTGCGTCATCTGGGACAAGACGAAGGCGATCGCCTCGGGGAAGAAGGTCGGCAAGGCGTACTTGCTGGACTGCCAGCAGGACATGGTGTATTACACCGAGTACTCGGGAGTCGACGGGAAGTGGGAGCTATGGCACGCTCGTATGGGACACTTGAACGGAGACGCTATGGCAAAGACCCGCGAGGCGACGGACGGGTTCCCGACGACTCAACAGCAGACGAAGACCCTGTGCGGAGGATGCATGAAGTGCAAGCAGACGGTCGCACATTTCCCGTCGCGGTCGACGTCGGCGACGACTCGACCGCTGGAACTAGTTCATACGGACGTGATGGGTCCTATGAAGACGAAGTCCATGTGCGGAGCGAGGTATGTCCTCACATTTGTCGACGGCTACTCGCGACACGTCGTGGTGTACTTCTTGACCAAGATGAGCGAGGTCGTGACCAAGTTCAAGTCGTTCATGAAGCTGTACGAGAACCAATGAGGACAGCGCATTAAATGCCTGCGCTCGGACAACGGCACTGAGTTCGTGAACACGCCGATGACTGAGATCTGCCGGGTGAATGGGATTATGCATCAGAAGACGGTCCCGTATAGCCCCCAGTGGCGGAGCGAATGAACCGCACGACCATGGAGAAGGCTCGAAGCATGCTACACTACAAGGGCGTGGTGGGCAGAGGCGGTCTGCACTGCTGTCTACCTGATCAACCGGTCGACGAACAGCATGCACCCGACCAAGACTCCGTACGAGTTGACGTTCAAGTCGAAGCCTCGGCTGGACCATCTTCGAGTCTTCGGGTCGATTGGTTACGCCCATGTTGACAAGTCGCGACACACCAAGTTGGAGCCTTAAAGCTTCAAATGTATGTTACTTGGGTACGCCGACGACTCAAAAGACTACCGAGTGTACGACTTGGAGTCGAACAAGGTGAAGGTGCCCTGGTCGGTGAAGCTGGACGAGCGCGAGGTGAATGGCATCTACGACATGGCGACCAGCGAGAACTCGCCGATGATTGAGTTGACGGAAGATGTCGAGGATGCGGCACTGCCCGAGGAGATGCAACGACCTGCCGCCGACAAGCCGATGGAATCGGTGGAAGAGACCGTCGAGGACACGGAAATGCATAAGGCGGAGATGCCGGAGCCATTCATGCAGGAGCTGACAACGTACCGACGACTCGCGAGACCGGTATGGAATGATGACATGGTCTTCCATCCGGATCCGGAACGGACCCGGCGTGCCCAAGAACCGGTACTACAACTTGGAGATGGTTCCGCAGACGGTAAGGAGTCGAAAGAAGATAGTCCCGATGACTCGGACAACGATGATCACTTCTGCCCACCGTCTCCAAAGCGACCCAGGGTGGACGAAGACAGCCTATTGGCTGAGGCGGTGCTGGCCTACGCCGCAGACATCGGCGATACCAATGACGCACCCACCAGGTATCAGCAGGCCATGCAGAGCGACGACTCGTCGGAGTGGGTGAAGGCAATGAATGTGGAGCTCAAAGCACACGCGGACAACGGATCATGGTCGCTGGTCCGTCGGACACCGAGTGCTCGACCGATCGGTTGTCGCTAGGTGTTCGCAAAGAAACGCGACGAGCACGGCCGAGTCATCCAGTAAATGCCCACCTGGTGGCGAAAGGGTTTAAGCAGAAGTATGGCGTGGAATTCTTCGAGACGTACTCGCCCGTGGTCAACATGAACTCGATCCGAGTGGTGTTGTCGGTTGTGGTGGCCGAGGCGTACATCACCGAGCAGCTGGATGCGGACACCGCCTTTCTCAACACCGGGCTGGTGGAGCGCGTCTACATGGAGGTGCCCTACGGAATCATCAACGCGAAGAACATGATGTATCGGTTGCAATAGGCGATCTATGGTCTGAAGCAGGCGGCGAATGCCTGGCATAAGACCATCCACCGAGTCTTCGTGGGCATCGGATTTCGGAGCTGCTGCGGCGATCAGTGCGTATACGTCAAAGGCGAGAAGGGCAGGTTCGTGTATGTCTGCCTGTTCGTGGACGACATGATCATCGCGGCCAAGATGAGCGACGAGATCCAGGAAGTCAAGGTGGCGCTCAAGAATGCGTTTAAGATGAAGGAGTTGGGCGAGGCCAAGTTCATTCTCGGTATGGAGATCGACCATGACTCATCGGCGAAGACTCTCATGATCAAGCAGACTCGATACATTGATGATGTGGTGAAGCGGTTCAACAAGCAGGACGCCAAGGTGGTGGTGAACCCGTGCGAGTCGGGCATGAAGTTGTCGAAGACTCAGTCGCCGATGACTCAGAAGGAACGTGAGGAAATGCAGGCGAAGCCCTACCGAGCACTCACTGGCTGTTTGCTGTACATTACAACGTGCACCAGACCTGATGTGGCGTACGTCGTGACCCAGTTGTCGCGCTTCCTCGAGAACCCCGGGCAGCAGCACTGGAAGGCTGCCATACGCGTGCTCAGGTACCCGAGACATCGGCATCGCCTACAATGGGAACGCGAAGAAGGTCGAGGTGACGGCGTACACCGACGCCGACTGGGGCAGCAATCTCGACGACCGACGCTCGGTGTCGGGCATCATGGTGATGATTAGCGGGGCGCCGGTGGTCTTCAAGTCGAAGTACCAGCGCACGGTGGCGCTCAGCTCGGCGGAGGCCGAGAACATGGTGCTGAGCCTGTGCACGCAGGAGGTGCTGTGGACCCGCGCCATGCTGAAGGACATGGGTCACGAGCAAGTGGGAGCTACCCGAGTACGGGAGGACAACCAGGGCGCGATCGCTCTCGCAAGCAACGCCTTCTACAACGCGAAGACCAAGCACGTGGACATCAAGCATCCCTTCATCCGCGAGAATGTGTCCCGAGGACTCATCGTGTCAACTACGTGCTGACGGAGGACCGGCTCGCGGACATGCTTACCAAGACGTTGGGGACGAAGAGGCTCAAGTACCTGATCAGCGCAACCAGAGTCGTCGGGACGATGGTGCAGCATTAGCGGCGAGTGGGAGTGTTCATGAGTCTTCGGGAGCGCCGCCAATAGATGCACATGGACGAGGAGAACGTGTGGACACATCCGCCGATAACTCGGAGGATCCGACGGCGACGGGAGAGCCGGCGGCAGCCGGGCTCTGGATACACCAATGGCTGGTCAGGGAGACCCATATATACTGAGATCAAGTCAAGCGGAACCCGGGAGTAATCCGTCTGATGAGAGGCACCAACGAGCACTAGGAGAACAAGAAGGAAAGCTGGAGGGGAAGACTAGAGACTAGTTTGAGAGACGACAACATTTAATCTTACTTCGGAATTTGCCCCCTCAACCACAAGCTACAAACCAACAAGTCTTCTCCGGCAGCTTGCCGTACTTGACCGTAGGATGTTTGTTCTTCGTGCAAATGAGGCAGCTGCGTTCGTACTTCTCGACATTGCGTGCCATGCCGGCCCACGTCAATGCGTTCTGCATCGTCTTCAACATGGCCGTCACACCGGGGTGAATAAGCCAATCGTGGTAAGCAGCAATGATAGGGGTCTGCAGACTCGAGGGGGCGATGATTCAGCCGGTGTTGCTGTCCACTTGCAGCTCCACGTCGCTAATCTCATTCGTCGTGGCGCTTTTCAGCGTCGCTGTGCCGTCTCGCTTCTGACAGCGAGCAATCTCCCGTAGGTCAACATTGCTGAGGGTAGTCAAGTCCATAGCAGCGACTGCAACCAGTGTCTCCTGCTGCTGGACGTCCGAGTCATCAGCACGGGGTAGCCGAGAAAGGGTGTCGGCGACCACATTGTTTTCTCCCTTCACGTAGTGTAGCTCCGGCCCAAATTATTCGATCTCGAGTCGCCAGCGTAGCATGTGTACGTTGTTGTAGGTTCCGTAGGTCAGGTTCAGATGATCAGTGTGGACGTGGACCTCGTGTCCAAGCAGCATCGTCCTGTACTCCTGCAACACCAACTGGATGCTCAGCAACTCGAGCTTGTTGGCTGGGTACTTCTTCTGCTCGTCGTTGCATGTGCTATCAACGTGGAGCAGTGTAGGTCACACTCCATCTTGCCGAACCGACACGTACGTCTGATACAAGGCATAGCAGGTTATACCAAGCCTCATTGGCTCGGTATCAGAGCCTTCTCATATAAGAGGTACTCGCTCACCTTCTTTTATCTCTAAGTCACAGAGAACCAACAAGTCGTCAGGTCTCCGGTCGCACTGGTTTGAATCGTACATGGCTTTCTTGCAGAACTCAATGACCGGTTGGATAGAGTCATCGCGATTCTTCGAGCGCCAGCGCTTTACGTAGTTTTTGACTTGGTCCTGCTCGGGTGGGGCCTTAACTTTATCACAGATAAGAGAAAATAGGACGTATGGAAGCACGGCTGAGTCCTCTGCTAACTTGGCTCCAATGTAAGATTTCATTTCTGCTGTGAGAATAGGGTCCCTTGGAGATGCGAGAACCGAGTTATCCATGGTGTGAGCACCCTCGACAAAAACGACCGCCGCATAGTTCACCACACAACATAGGATTTTGTAGCTGCAGCGGCACTTGGCTAGACTATCCTTGTATCGTGACGAGCTACATTCCGTCACAATATACGGCGTGTCATGAGGCAAGGCAACAAGATCGGTCTCTCCACAGGCAGCATGACCAACTCTACAGTTCGTAAGATTGTTTTTCCTTTTGGCGAAACTTGGCATAGTGGACACCCACGCGTCTCGTTGGATTTCTGCATTTGGTGGGGTTGTCCAAATCATCGTCCAAGGAGGACATCGACTTCTACTCGCGCCACCCTAAAGAAACAAGTGTAAATAAAGTCACACAGATTGATGGTTTGTAGCAGGACATTTCAAATAAACAATAGTTTGGACAGTGAATACCTCGTCGCCTAGCCGTTCCCCGCCGCCTTGCCGCCCGTCGTCGGCTTGCCGTACACTACGACGGCGTGCCATCCGCACCTCCACACGAACGTTGATCTACACCACTGCAGCAAAGTACAGACTGATACAGACTGGATAGCCCGTGATATTTTTATCGGGAGGCACATGAATATCAAGATTAGGACTCGGTACTTCGCCGAGTTCTAGTAACTCGGCACAGCGCCGAGTTATTCCCCAAGCGTAACTCAGCACACCAACCCCTCGCTGTTGGCGTCCAAATCTTCGGTGTTTCCGCCCCCCCCCCCCCCTCCCCAACTCGGCACATGGCGGACCCCTAGTTTTCGGTGCTGACGTCCATTTTATCGGTGGTTCCGACCCTACCTCTTTGATGCTGGCCACCAGCTTTGGGATAGCCTCTGGATGTTTCTTACTTGTATGTCGCATGGTGTGTAGTGTACCGTGTTGTACCGTATCATGTCTTGCGATCAAAATACACATAATAGTTGAGCAGCTCCGCTCGGATTGGTACAGTACACACACAACGATACTGCTGCATTATGATTAAGCATCGCGTGATTACACCGACGATGCTTGAACATATTGGTGATTGACGGCTAACGCGGGACTTCAACGTACTCTAAAACTTCCAAACTGGCGTATTTTACCCAGTATTACGACATCAAATAGTAGAAATGGAGAGCACAGCGCGGCGGATCCTCGGCAACAATCCCAGGTTTTTGTCCATCTGGCAGTGCTAATTCGAAACTTCATTCGACGTCAACGAAGTCGTCAATCTTGCAACCGAACGGAAGAAGCGATCGACGTTTCTACAATGCATTGTCCCAAGACGCCATCTTGACTTTCCCTATGCAATTTGTGGCATAAATACTTTCGAAGCGGCGCAGTACGCGAAGTTCAAGTCCAAGCGCTGGCGTCCATGCATGCAGCTGTAGTATTAGCTCTGCATGTATCGTGATTTGCAATGATTTTGGCAATATGAGGCGAGATTTGCTGTATTTATAGCGATCACCTGCTAGATTTACGATAAATCGAGGTGCATTGTTGGGTGGAGGCCTAGAATTACGCTAAAAGCGCCACAATTCTGTCGGGTTTTATCCACAAGCACATAGACACACGGCAATTATGCATAATAGGTTGGATGTACTGGGGATCATGGACGGTGGTGTACTGGGCCAATGCATGGCTGTTGACAGGCTCTCCCAAGTCGATATATATGTATATATGCGGAGGTGGATTTATGCATAATTTTAGCAGGTCGTGTATCTTTTTCACACATATTTAGGAGCAGGCTTTGCCATATTTAGCGTCTAAAATGGTCGGCAAAATCATTGCAAAGCACAATAATTCACGCCATCAAGAGATTATTATCCTTAGGCAACATGTGGTTTACAGCAGTTGCCTAGCAACAGGAATGGCCTACGGTCTATTATCTTGATATATTGTGCTTCGCAGACTTTTTGGCACTTCAGACTGTAACTCGTACGACTTATCGAGCACGACTTATCTATAAATCGTACTCGAGTACGAATTGCTGTAAGTCGTGGATGGTCAATCAGCACTAAGTAGTGCGCATTGTCATCTCCTGCATGATTTAGCACATCCAGCATGGATTAGCATCCTTTTGGCACTTTCCGAAAGTGCCATTCCGAGCCAAACTGGCTTCGAAACACGACTTGAGCAAGTCGCATTCAAAGCCACTATGATTTACCACTAAGTACGAACACTAACTAGTGCACTAATTAGGAGGGCAAACTGGTTGCAAAGCACATATAAAATGGTTGTCCCTGCGTGTGTGATGGTCCCTAATACGGAGTTTTGATTCGCTAAAAACATGGACCAATCAGATTCCTAGATACGTCGTCCAAAACGGCTGACGGTGCGCGTATCTAAGCACACGCTACTTGACGGTGCACATATCTATGTACATAGTTGGATTGGGTTTGCTGATACGTTGTGTGCATCTGAACACAAATTGATGTTGTATTGGTAGCCCCACAACGCATTTTGCTTAGGGACTGACGGTGCGCTTATCTTATCACATACTGAAGTTAAGTTTGTGGGTACATGTATAATACATCTTAATATATAAAATGGAGTTTGGCGTGTGTCGTGACGCCTAATACGCCGTTTTAATACGTTGATAGCAATAACCCAAGTCAGTGCAAATACGGTGTGTACCCATCATTGCCTCCTGCGGCAACACCTACGCGTAGGTTACTGGATGGAGTGATATCAATCAGCATGCGTGCACCAAATGACCGCTCAGAGTGGTATGGATCAGAATACGTGCACCCAACTACTGCATGTATCAAGCAAAATACACAGATACGTGTACCGAACGACTGCAAATAGTGGTAGGAACCAGAATACGTGCACCACCCAGTACACCTTTTCAGGGCGTCCATCCCAAATGATCGATTCAAAACAACCAATACGTGTCTACGCTACGTGTTTTCCTCGCCTCCACAGGGTGATCTTCTTCCCTAAAGCGCTTTGGCAAGCTGCAGTCGTGAGTTGGCAAACGGCAACATATCTTGGTTTCTTTACAGTTTGTGCTCCCACCACATAATTGAAGGTTGCAGAGCCAACAGACTAGATTAGCTAGATAAGTTGGCGAGGAAAGCATAGTTTCCCAATGTCGCAGTTAGTAAAGATAGAACAACCGCTGGAGATCGGTGAGCGTTGAACAATGGGACGCCCACTTTCGAATTCGTCTCCTCGCAGCTAACCCGCCACGCCACGCCCCTGATGTGCAGTGAAAATGAAGATCATTCCCCCAACGTGCCATCGCTGGAAATTGCATGTAGTACCTGATATGTACCATATGCACTGGAATTATCATGAACGTGTCTGAGTTGGTTGTTATTGGACATCCAAGGCACTATGGCAGTAGTTTGGAGGTCACTCTCACTTAAGGCATTATCATGCCACATTCGTTACAACACCTTCCAGGTAAGACTGGTGCGCCGCTGTGCGGCGCACAAAGTCGCTTGTAACACATATTGTAGAGGCAAACGATTCAAAAAAGTCACGTTAAACATCAAGTATATTCGCATTGGCTTGTTGCAACCCTGAGCAATGCCCTGCAAGTCGTACAGCTTACAGGTGTGCATGGACAACTTGCGCCTTAGTTGGACTGGATGGGCGGCGGAGGGGGGATCACGCGGTTGTACGGACTCTTGGTGATCGGCGTGCGCACGTAGTAGAGCTGACGCTCCTCGGGCGAGTTCTCCTTAACGTCCACACTGGCGGTGGCGGTGGCAGGGGCGAGGCACATCATGGTGGCGACGGCGGCGATGGCGAGCACTTTGACGAGCTGCATGGGCTCTGTCTTGGGGCGGAGACTCTTGGAGCGGTGCTGTGTAGTGCGAGGCGAATTGGAGAATGAAGAATTGAAACGTGGGTCTGATGTTCTCAGTGAAGAGATCCGGAGCGGATAAAACCGCTGGTTCCATCCTCACTGTCGTAGACAAGGCATGGCTGGGTATTAACGTGTTTTCTGTCATATTTGTGTCATCTTGCAGTGCAGAACATGAACTTTACGGTGAGTTTGTATAGTGTCGATTTATGGCGGTACTTTTATGCTGTGTTATTTCCCCATGAAAACTGCTTTGAACTGTTGAAGTGCTATAAGGGGCTGATTGAGTTCTTGGTGTTTGGTGTCTGGTGTGTGCCTTTGACTCTCTCCTACCCCTACCTGATTGGTTGGCTCATACGTGTTCCTGTTTTTGGGAAAGCAGCTCATTCTGGCTATGTGAGTATTTCGGGTGATGTTTTCGGAAGTGATGGCAGCACCTCTGGGCTCCCCCAGTCAGGACAAAAAGGTATAAACAGCCACATCACATGTGCAGAAGCCCCTGCACTACAGACAACGACGGATAAATACGGCAACGCAAAACCCGGCACACATATGTTGTACTTTTACAATAAGTAATTCAGATAGCCAATCAACTTCGAGATTTACACTTGACATTTGTATTCCATATGGTTTTAAGTACTTTCTCTAAATTTGTGTGTACTTTATGCTCCGTTACGTGTATTTTATGTCATTGCCTTGTATAATCTCTATCGTTCCTGACAGAGAATTCTGGCACATTTACTATGGAGGATGCCATTCAGTGGTGCCGGATTTATCCGTCGTTGTCTGTAGCCGCCCCGCTACCGTTCTACGTATTTACCGGGCCCCATGCGCTGACTCGATCTCGTTCATAGCGGCCGCGCCATTTCTGGCTTTTCAGAAATCCAATAATTAGATGCCTCCCCTTTCTGTTGGTGTTGGCCCCAACACAGTCGTGTCGCGGTCAACACCATTGAAAATAATTGCAACCAATCAGATCAAACCGTGTTGCATGTTTATGTTATGCCTTCCCCAACACCCTAACTTCTACACGTCCTCACGTCACTGATGTGTGGATCTGTTACAGCAACAGCAGGAATACCAGTTCGTTGAGCCGATCCCGACTGGGTGCACGCAACTAGGCGACGAACAAACTGCACATGTATGCACAGCTTCTACGAGCCCGAGCCCGTCTACTTCAAAAGTGGGCTCCCCCTAAAACGAGAGCCAAAAGTCGCACAAAATGGACTCCCTCATGGTAAGTACGAGATCAAGGAGCCCTGGTCCGGGCTCCCCAAATTTAGCTTCAAATCTATGACGGGCTCTTCATAGTAATATCTGATTGGCCAATTTTACCTATCCTTAAGGCGAGCAACTTCGCGTGATCGATGCGCCACGCTAGAAGATCGAGCTCAAAGATCGCCAAACTAGAAGATCTCGCGCCGCTCATATGTGTACAGCCGCTCCGAGGCCACCCCAGCGTATCCGATAGCCCTTCCTTCCCCTCAAGGAGAAGCCCTCTTTCCTATGCCTTTTCAGGTTAGAACCTGGAGATACTTCAATGACGGCCAATCATCAGCGAGATATTTAACACAGGAGAGGGGGAGCCCTTAACGAGGGCTCACAGTTCTGGAGGGCTCCTTTCACTTAACCTATTGAACTCAAGAGCCCAGGAGCCCGAGCTCGCGACTTTTTGGGTTCACCCAAGAGCCCAGGAGCCCGGCTCTCCCCAGGGCTCGTAGAAGGTGTGCATGTACTGTATGTACATGCAGAGTTGTACAAGACAACTGTGCACAAGTACTTCGAAGAACAGTACTGCACGGTTAGAGCATCTCCACCGGTGCTGAGTAAAACTAAATGTGTACACCATTTCCCAAGCAGACTGGTTGGTTTCCCAACCAAAGTGGTTCAAAGCATTTTTCGAGAAAAACCTCATATCACTTTTCCCAGGTATTATCAAGCAAAGTGGTTCTGTAGAAAGTTCTGTAGAACCACTTTGCTTGAAAATACCTGGGAAAAGTGACCCTGTGTTGACAACAGCTCCCGCGAGAAGAACAAGAGGAAGAAAGGCTCGCTCATCTCGGGGAACAACAAGGTGCTGGACGCTCTCGGTTTCAAGTCTCGCAACGTGCACAACGGGTCTATGAGTGCAGATGAAGAGGTTGAAGGGGAGCAGCCGCTGTCTCGGCAGATTGCAGTCAAGTTGACGCCCGAGGAGAGAAGCACGCTCGAAGCTCGATTCCGCGCGCTTATGAAGGAGCGCGAACTTGGTGTTGAGCATTTGTCGTTCACCCTAGCAAGTGATAGTTCATCGGACTCGATCTCCAGCGAAGGTTCGGGTGTATCTCAAGAAAACGATGCAGAGCAGCCAGAAGACCAGATCGACCGAGAACAAGCAGAGAATTTGAACGCCAAGCCGCCGAGAATGAACATTTGCATGATGGTCACGGGGAGCAGGGAGGGCAGCGTCCAGCAGTACGTTGCGATTGGACTGCGACTTCAAGCGGACGGCCATTGCGTTCGGATAGCAACCAACAACGTCCACCGGGACCGCGTTGTAAATGCTGTCTTGCCTTCTACCCACTTGGCGGCAGTGAGGCCACTACAACCAAGTTCCTGCAGTATATCCACCGGCAAGCGGAGAACAAGGCACGACGAAGATCCTGGCTCTTAGACAATGTTCGCCACCGAGACCCGTTCGCAGAGATGAAGGATCTGCGCGAGCTTGTATTCTCGCTTTGGCCAGCGTGCCTGGAGGCGGACCCACTGGCACCGGGCAAAACCTTCCGCGCAGACGCCATCATCGCGCACCCGTGCGTCTTCGGACAGGCGATTGTAGCCGAGCGTCTTGGCGTGTCATTGCACTGCATGGGCGACGCCCCACAGTCTCGGACCCAGGCGTTCCCGTACCTCACGAGTTCAAGCACGGACTTGCATCTTCCATACCATGAAATATCCGACTATAGGACCTATCCGACCTGTACCAAAACCATGGTACCCTAGAAGGATGGACTCTAAAAACAAATATATAAGTTTGTGTACACACCCAGAACAAGGCCAGTTCAAACCAAACCAAAATTACCGGCAAACCAGGTTTGAATCGGTTTCATGGTTTGAACACGTTTCATTTTGTAACTCCAAACCAAGCATGCCGTTTTTGCGAACCAGCGCGCTGGTTTGAACCGCGGCTGCACATTCGCAGGCAGTGCGGCTTTTACAGAATGGATCGCGGTTAGAATCACTTCACTGTTATCGTGCTCTTCGGCAAGGCCACGACAACAATTATCGCGATTGAGAAACCGCTTCGATCAGTGCGACCACGGGAACGCCCAAAGATAAAGTAGTTGCAAGCAAGCTTACTGTTAGCTTGAGCCAGTCTCCGGCTCATGATAATATGGGCATTTGCCCTCAAACTTTCTTTTGCGGTAAAAAAAATATACACAGGCAGACACGACGTCAGAGAGTATATAAATCCAGATATTCAACAAGTTTACTCGATAAATCAAGGGGGATCTACACGCAAAATTTGCCCGAAAAAGGCGCCCATTCATCGCGAAAGGGTTAAGATGCCACGGGCTCAATCAAACCTTCGAACGGTCCCCTTATTCCAACTTGGAGCTCCGGAATCCAGGACGAAGGAGCGAATGGAGGATTTAGTTAGGTCGTTCGAGCGCTGGACGGGAATATGTGTTTACAGATAGGCAAGATCGCATCACAGCACTAGCCGTGACCAGTGGAAATGGCGAATTTGATGCGAAGTCTCTCAAGAAAGATCAAAAGAGGCTGATGTTCGTCTGCGTGAACAATTTGTGCGCACACCAACGGCTTGCTTCTGTTTGCACTTTCAAGACGAAGTGGTTCCATCTCTAAAGCTCCCTTAAGTTCCGCTGATACGTAGGTCGCGTTCACAATTTGGCTACTGCAAGCTCGGGATAGATAGGCTATCTACATAAGTAGTTTCCTTAACATACAGTGCATTATCTCATTGATCAGTAGAAAGTATCCTTGTTACAGGTTAGTGACTTCTCGATAAGCAAAAACCGTTCTGACTACGGACGTAATGAATGGTGACGTCCAAGATTGAGATATCCGAAGCGCTGGGTGGTGCTTGAACAGCTCCCTCGGTGTTTGTTAAGAGAGCGCGCCTGCGTATAGCAAACACCCGAGGGTGGGCCGCGACAAAACGGTGCAGGCGTGATAAAGCGGGGAATTCGTGCAGACACTCTTGAAGACGCTGGCAGGTAGCATAACTTATTGCTGTTCAGAGCTACGTTGAACTCGATTGCTCTCGCACTCATCTTCCAGAAGCGTCATCATAGTTTCTAACTGTCTGCGGCATTTTAGTTTAATTTTTACCCGTGAATCAAAAACCTTAGGATACGAGCACATGTACTGCTTTGAGGTGGCTCGAGTAGCATTAAGGAAGGAGGAAGTTATGAATTGGGAGGACGTTATGAATTCTCGTTTGTTGGTAAGAAATTTGTTCGTAAATATTGTTTCATAGTACGTTCTGCTGTGTAGGGGTACGGAATTCAATGCTGAGTCACAAGAAGAGCTCGCATAATACTCACAATCAGTTAAGGCGTGTGCCAGTAGATATTTTGCCAGTGACGACGAAATGAACTGGCTAGTTTTTTTGTTGTTGGATGGCCCGCGTTGGTTTCATGAAAGCGGCATGGGGGCAACTGTCGTCCTTTTGCGTGGGCTGAGGATCAAAACTAGCAATAGCTGTTTATGATGCTGCCTCCCCTGGCGCTTGGCACGTGCAACAAGAATTTCCAGCTTCAATTTACACGAAAAATTTAGTTCACGGGAGTCACCAAGTTCTCTGCAATGCTGCTCGCGAGAAAAAAAAGAATGGTCAACATGATTTACTGTTAACCTGATGAGTCATCAAGTCATCAATGATGACCACAAGAAGTAAATGGATTTAATAATGAGATCCCTAAGTTAGGGATTAGGGACCCTAACAACAGTGCAGCTCCGCCAATTTTGAAATGTTCTGTAAATCTGAAAAAAAACTAGACGCGTTGTTTGCATACGCTTGGTCTGTTGAGTATCCAATTGTTGCTTAGCAGCGGTAATTCGCTACTTTAGAACAGTGTTAACAACGCTGAATGCCCGGAAAGTTGATCGTGTTTTAAAGATAATCTCTAGTCTCCCACGCCGTCTAATATTATGCGGGCTAGTCGTAGCTCACTTCGAGCAACTTCAAAATCTGTGCCAAACTCTTGTGCATCTTAAGGTGCTCATGTGGCTCGTACATCAATTCTTAACGACATACTTGGGTATTCTACAGCCCGAGAATTTATTTCAACAAATGCGGACCTTTACGAAAGTGTGCGATATCTTTGTATAGCCTTTTGTAGCCAATGAGCGCCACAGTAACTCCAAACCTGTTACGCTACATAACTCCGAACCCCCGCTCGTGGTTTGAAAGCTGGAAGGATCTGACCACAAACCAGCGAAAGCGGTAATTTTGGTTCGGAAATCTGCGTAGTTTACGAGCAAACCAATTTCTTGCACGTTTCATGGTTTGGTTTGTTCAAGGTGTGGGTTCTGTCGTAAATCGTTCCCAAGCAAAGTGGTTTCACAATCATCGAGGATTTAGAGTCATTTTGAAGAAGTCAAAACGTAGCTTAGAACAGCCTTGTGAATGTATTTGAGGGGTCTATCGTGATCTACGTGATGTGGGCATTCTAACTAAGCTTTTTTGCGCCGAAAAATAGCAACTTTTGATTCTTACAGACCAAGCCCAAGACGTGGACTGGTCCGTTTTAGCCCCATATGGTTGGGCAAACCATTTTGCTTGGGAAACAAACACTTTGCTTGAAAAATGCCCCTTTTCGTCGCAGTATTATGTTGCGCGAGACCTTCCCGCACCACTTTGCTTGAAAAAACGGTCAGTTTGCTTGGAAAAAGGTGTACTTCTGCTGGGTAGGTCTGGTGGAAGTAACTTTTTGCGCGGTTGGGTGAGGGCTCGGACTCGAGGCACAGCACACCATCGTCTCCGAGTTCACCGCTGAACACCAGGCATTAGTACGGTTGGACGGCAGAGCAAGAAGGTCAAGCCCCCGCTCACGCTGTTCATTCGGCCTTTTGCCTTCGACTCAACAAGTCTACAAGTTCCTACAGTTAGTTTAACCCTCATCGCCGCACCCGCGCAGGAGGCAGTGTCAATACATCAAGCTTTGTGCCCCACAAGTTGTGGTGGCACATACCGCCTTTTCAAAATTATCATCTTTCTTAATACGTCGAAATACAAGTTGAAACTTTGCCAAAACGCTGCGCTTTGCTCAAGGAATTCAAAACAGTCTTTTTCACTTGAAAAGACGTTCTAGAACCTGAGATATAGCCCAAAGTACACCCGCCTAAACCCCCATAAAGGCGCCTAAACTCCGTTTTTGCCCGGCACAGTGTGCCGGGCACAACTGAGTGAAAAGCAAATTGCCCTAAGATCCGTGCCTACAACGGCACAACCGTGCTAAAGACAGTGCGCAGCTCCACCGGCCATTGAGACTCGCAGCAAGCGCGTTAAAGCTCTTGGTTCGGCGCCAGCCATGGCGACGGCGAGTCCTAGCTGTATAGACACGCTCGTGGCGAGACTACAGCTGCAGCACGCCAGTGCGTTTTCAAGAAGCCGAACGTATTGTGCTTTGCAACCAGTTTGCCCTCCTAATTAGTGCACATGTAGTTAGTGATCGTACTTAGTGGTAAATCATAGTGGCTTTGAATGCGACTTGCTCAAGTCGTGTTTTGAAGCCAGTTTGGCTCGGAATGGCACTTTCGGAAAGTGCCAAAAGGATGCTAATCCATGCTGGATGTGCTAAATCATGCAGGAGATGACAATGCGCACTACTTAGTGCTGATTGACCATCCACGACTTACAGCAATTCGTACTCGAGTACGATTTATAGATAAGTCGTGCTCGATAAGTCGTACGAGTTACAGTCTGAAGTGCCAAAAAGTCTGAAAAGCACAATATGGGTTGATACAGTACAAAAGAATCATCTCGTCATCGTGTAGACTACAGCGAATCTGACGAAACATTTAATGTTTAGAAAAACAATATTTTTATTTATAGAATATAAATCTTATTTATCTGACGCTCTGCTTCATTTTGTTTATTATTATTGTTCTCGTGTTGATATCGAGGAACCAGTGCAGTTGTACGCATTGGTACAAGACGCAGTTTTCTTTAGTACGTTCAGTCCTCCTCTGCTCCTGCTGCAGTAGTGAGAATACATGTGGCGTAGGAGCTTCCATACAGCCGTCAAATACCATGTACAGTAACACTCATATGCCAATTTCACGCCATCAAACATATACATGAAACACATGGTTCTGTGCTGTTTGGCGGCAAGAGCGCCCCCTCCTCACCAGAGAGGTGAAACGCAGGCAAAGACATCGTCCCCGTCGTTCATTTTCCAATTTGCCTCGCGGGCCCTAGTACCATCCGCACAACGCCACCGCCAGAACCCATGCAGCTCACCAAAGTGCTCGCCATCGCCGCCGTCGCCGCCATGATGTGCTTCGCTCCTGCCACCGCCAGCGTGGACGTTAAGGAGAACTCGCCCGAGGAGCGTCAGCTCTACTACGTGCGCACGCCGATCACCAAGAGTCCGTACAACCGAGTGATCCCCCCCCCCGCCGCCCATCCAGCACAACTAAGGCGCAAGTTGTCTAGCACACCTATAAGCTGATCGACTGAGTGAGTTGCGAGGGGGTCGATCTCACAGCAGGGATCCTGAATACACTTGATGTTGAACGTGACTTTTTGAATCGCATCAGAAGTTATATTTTATACTACACCAACGTGCAATCAAATCCGAAAGTCGCAAAATTCATATTGCAAATTTCTAGTTAGCAACTTCAATTACGCATTCAAAGATGGAATTACGGCAATCAATTTCGTACAGTAGGCTATTACTACTGGTCCGACGAGCCCTGTTACATGCCGTACACCATGTCCTCGTTGTTCGCCGCCTTGATGACGAAGTCGCGACAGTGCAGCTCCATGCTGGCCACCAGCGCTGGGGTCATCACGTTCATGTTAGCGGTCGCGGCGCGCTCCAGGATGTGCATCTGGCGTTCCGAAATGGAGAGGATCTCACCGTTGCTGTCTGGCTCACGCGAGCGATCGTAGATTGCGCGGCGATCCAGAGCCAAGTCTCGCTTAATACGGGATTTTAGGACGCTGCTACTCGAGGAAGGTGTGGCGAGTAACGCGGCCTTGGAGGGACATCTGCGAAGAAGAAGGCGAATTGCGAAGTGAGCTCCCCTCGGTCGGCGTCGGCTATAGTGCGCGCCAAACCGCGCGCCCTTGCTTTTGGCGCGAGCACAGCACGCCAGCTTACGTAGCCATGGAGATATTGGACCTCTGGTCCAACTTTGATTGCCGTAATTCCATCTTTGAATGCGTAATTGAAGTTGCTAACTAGAAATTTGCAATATGAATTTTGCGACTTTCGGATTTGATTGCACGTCTATTCGCTGTATACTGTGTACATGTAGTAACTGCGAGAATCCCCCTTTGTATACTGTGTCTTCAAAGCATCTCCAGTTTTGTTTAACTACCAAACTCAACTGCTCCCCAGCGTATCGAGTACTTCGAAGTACTTCTTTTACTTAAGTATGTTAGTTTAACCTTCCATCGCAGCAGAAAAAACTCGTACATGCATCGAAAAGCATTAATTAAGCTGCTACATATTCATGTAACTAGTAGACGTTCCGAAGGCACAGTACCACAACTCTTCAACTGCCATGTTGTCGCAATGCCATTTGGGATACGTAGCACTGGGCAACCATATCATCACCGCCATTTTTCCAGTCGAGTAGACTCAGATAGAAGCGTGGATATTGTACCTATCTCAGTGAGCTTATCTGTCTAGACGTGCTCTCTTCTTCGAACCACTCTTGTGTCCATGCTGCTGATCAACTGCTGGTCCATACTCGCAGTGCAGCACTTTCTGGGCTCGAAGCCCGCTCTGGAGCGCGTTGTGGCAATATCAGCGGACGCAGCGATCTCCATCGCCATGTGCGTCATCGTGCCTTGTATGCTGGTGGCTCCGTACGCCAACGCCATGGACACCGTGTTTATCACGAGGTTGATGCTCGAGTTCCAGCTCACCTTCGCCTCCGGTCTGACGGACTTCGCGTCCGAAGTGTGAAGGCTAACAGAGTGGTGAAAGTGGTGATTGGTCTGTGGGGGACGGTCATTATGGTGTTCCACCTCCGCGCTGTCATTCAGTCGCACCTGACCTTCATCGAGGGCTGTCGCGCCTTCACCCGCCCGTGGTTCACTGGTCGTTCTTCCTGCGTGAGCCTCGTTATCAACTGCCACGCTCGAGACATCGAGTCACCGGACGACGGTCTCCTCGATGCCATTGATGAGACCGCGCTAGCCACGCTCACATTTACGCACTGTCCCGGTCTGAACATCCCCCCAGCGATCCAGAGGTTCAGCAACCTCATGGTCTTCCACATCTACAACTCGACCATCACCGAGTGGAGTGGAGACGCGAACTCCATCTCGGCCACCGCCCACCCTCGCCTATTCGTCACTGCAGTCGCCCGACCGCACTTCCCATTGGGGTTCCCAGCGGGACTGTTGCAGCCGCTTCCGGACTCGCTACTCAGCATCCAGTTCTGCGTCACGGACGTCACTTCACTGCCGGACGACCTCCCAGCTCGCTGGCATCCCATGGCTGTTGTAGCCTTCGAGTACGGAGAACTCACTGAGATCCCAGCGTCGCTACTGTCGCTGCAAGTGTTCACTCTGTCGCTGAAAGGCAACAGGATCGAGACCATCCCGCAACTTATGGAGATGGCTCCAGACTTGGAGGTCCCCGAGCTGTCGCTGACTGAAAACCCGCTGAAGGAGCTGCCCGATAAGTTGGGAGCCCCCACGACGTTCATCGACCGGTTGGACCTGCAGGGAACCAACTTGACCACGCTGCCGGCCTGGACGCAGACGCAGGTGCGCAAGACCAACTACATGCGCGGAACTCCGTACTGCGCCACGGTGGCGACGGAGCTCTTGCCTGCCAATGTGCAGTGCGGACCTCGCTCCGTATTGGACCTGAACTTGGACTTCCCTCTCGGGTTTATTGATGAAATCTACGCTAGTGAGTTAACTTACAGTTGGTACGGTACTTCAAAACGTAGTGTGCACAACTGCAGCTTGAAGTTACTGTATTACTTTTCAGGATCTGGGTCCGTAGTGTATATACAAATGCCAGTCCAAGGTGTCGGATCTTGCGCTGATGGCCGCGGGTGGCTTCATTCCGATGTAATCCGGTCGAGGTGACCAAATGCGCTCGCGACGGCACGAAAGAAAAAGACAGGAGCCTTTACGCTCGCTCGGCCGCAATGCTGGGGCTGGTACTCAAGTACGCTACTACATACAGTGCTGTCCGTGTCCTGCATAACGGGCCATGATTGCCGCCCAGCGAGCCAGTCTTGGTCACACGTGGCGGCAAAGCCCGATGTAGCCATCTGGCACGGGCGAAGATGGCTTCCTTCCGGCAAAGCCTGAGATCAGCATGTCTCTGCCCTGGCCAGCACTGATTGCCCGGGAACTGTACCATATAAAATGGTACATGGAGCCATACAAACTCCCTGTGAAATTCTTCTCCCCCACTCTCCAACTCAGTGCGCACTCGACACTTGACTCATCTCCTTCACCATGGGCGGCGAGGAGGGCGCGGCGTCTTCCGCGCAGTTCAGCAGCAACTCGGCGCGCTACGCGGAGCGCGCGGAGAGTACCGACATGGTGCGCGCGCTGCAGGAAGAGCTGGCCACCAAGATCAAGGAGCTGCAGATCTACGAGGGCAACTACGTGGCCCTCAAGAAGGACCTGGCGCGCTGGAAGAAGAAGTTCGAGTACGTCTTCCGCGAGAACGAGCTGCTGGCGCTCGAGACGGGCAAGCTGGACGCGTCGCACAAGCAGATCGCCTTCCTGCAGCAGGAGATCAAGTTCAAGGAGGAGGAGGGCGCGGCCCTGCGCGGGTTGGTGAGCGCGCTCGAGGCCGCCAACAAGAAGCAGCGCGCCAAGCAGCTGGAGGCCGCCAAGGCGCGCGACTCGGAGATCGAGGCCGCTGCGGCCCTTGCGGCCGAGCGCAAGAGCAACGAGGACGCGGACGTCGCGCTGCAGGCCGAGCGCCGCGGCCGCCAGGAGGACAAGGAGCGCTACTCGGCCGAGATCGCCGCGCTCAAGGCCGAGAACGCGCTGCTGCTCAAGGACGTGGACCGCAAGGACGAGGACCTGCAGCGCCAGGAGGAGCAGGTGAACGCGCACAAGGAGCGCATCACCGGGCTCGAGCAGGCGCTGAAGGACGAGCAGGAGGCCGGCATGGCCCGGCTCAAGGACAAGCAGGACCGCGTCGTGGAGCTCGAGACGCAGGTGCAGCAGATGGAGATGCGCCGCCGCTCCAGCGTGGCCGCGGCACTCGCGCAGGCCGAGCAGGAGGGACGCGACATGGTGGGCTTCGGCCCCACGAACAGACTCAAGGTCAGCCACATCAGCGAGGGCGACGAGAACTACGACAGCGAGGAGGAGCCCGACACGCCGCCTGGCACCCCGCCGCCCATCTCGTCCGGCGGACTGCTGCCGCCCGAGGACCCCACGGCGGACCAGACGATCCGCGACTGGACGGAGGACCGCAAGATCCGCGCGGCCAGGAGCTTCGAGGAGGCTCTGGACCTGGACCGGCTCGAGGAGCTCATCAGGAAGCTGCCGTACGAGCACCAGGAGGGCGCCAGCCGTGTGCTCATGGGCGCGCTGGACCCGGACACGCACGAGGAGCCCGTGAACGAGTCGCAGATCGTGCTGCGTCACCTGTCCAAGGAGCGACAGGAGGAGCTCAAGGACTTCCTGCTGCCGCTGCTCAAGGCGCACCCGGCGCTGAGGGTCTCGTACTCGACCATGGAGCGCCGCACGCTGGTGACGGACGTACGGATCCAGATCCAGCGCCGCCGCGACTCCGTGCTCGGTGGGTTTGTGCCTGGAGAGAAGCGCTTCGGCAAGGACCACATCTTCTTCGGCCCGTCGCCCGAAGACGTGGGCAAGCTGGTGCCCCACATGCCTCGTACCATCAGCACGGGCAGCAAGGCCATCTACGTGTCCAAGGCCAAGCACGCCGACCCGGCGGGTCCTGTGCCCGCGTCTTCCCCTCTAGAGAGAGCAAGCGAGCACACAGACGATATGGACACGGCGTCCGAGACGTCCGAAGTGCCCGACGTCACGACGTCGAAGCGCAAATGGGGCGGCTTGAATGCTGCCAAGTTCATTGGCACCATGGCGGCAGGTGCCAAGCAGCGCGTGGCTGCGACGTTCAAGAACGCCAAGTACACACACGAGGGCACGTCGTGCCAGTTCTGTAAGATGACGCCTATTGTGGGAGAGCGCTACTCGTGCTCCACGTGCGTGGGCTTCGACCTCTGCGAGAACTGTTACTCGCTTGGCGGTCACGGTCTGGAGAACTCGGACGAGCTCTTCTACCGCGTGCAGGAGCTCGTGCTGGCGCGGTGCTCGCGCTTGGCAGAGGAGGTGGATCTGCTGGAGCTCATGCGTTTCGAGATCTGTCGCTCGAACCTGCGCAAATTCAACTTCTGCCTCAACTGGCTGGCCGACATCGTCAACGGCAAATCATCAAAGGACCTGCAGGCGCGTGCACTGGAGATCCCGAGCATCAGGCGCGACGTCAGAAAGGTGTTCGTGCCTCTTCTTATGCGCGTGTGCAGCGACCGCGAGGATATCGAGGTCAAGACCGAGTGGGAGCTGGAGGATGACAACCAGGCGCCGGTGCGCAGCGTGGGCGGCGGGGTCAGTGAAGGAGACGGCCGTTTCCTCGAGACACTGCGCATCTGGGTGGCAGACCAGTACCGTACGACGTCCCCATTCGTGGAGCGCAGCCTGCTCAAGTACCGTGAAGGTGAAGATGGCGAAGAGGACGAAGACGGCAGCGACACCCTCAGCGACGACGGACACTCTCACGAGAATGGCAGCCAGGGTTATGACGAGCCAGGCGAGCCTAGTGACGACCCCCACCGCGGAATCGAAGGAGCAAGTAGTCAGCCGGGATTCGTCGAGCGCAACCGCGTTAACAGCGACGCGTTCTAGGAAAACTATCGGTGATACGCGTTGGGCACGAGATACTGTAGGGTGGCGAGCAGCAAGAATCAAAAGGAATCGTTCAATTACCTGTACTGTAGGCTACGAACCGCGCGGTAAGCGTACATTTGAGTGTTTTCTGCTGACAAAAGTGAACATACAAGTAGCTGGTGATCTGTTCCAAGAAAATTGCACGGCAAGCCTAGCAACACTCCTTTCAGACTACTCGAGTGACGGTGATGGAATGGCATCGTGGTGCGGTACTGTACCAGTATCCTGGTTGGGCGAAAAAAACAAAAGCTCGGCAAAGTACGGCAGACTCGGGGTTTCCTTCGCGGTAGAGCTCGCAGAGGACTTCTCGTTGTCAAGGGCTTCGGAATATTACATACACATATCCCGAATCGCGCTATAATACGAGACCATGATGGATATTCTAATACCATTGAAGTAGTGGAGTTGTGAAACTCTAAAAAAAATCATTCGTATCTTACTCCGATAAACCGGGTGGTGACAGGAGCAAAACATGAACATGGCGACGGCGAGAGCTTTGAAGAGCCTGGCGCAGCAAGCGGTGTTGGGGAGAACGAGGCAGGTTAGAGGATGAAGAGTGAGAACCAAGTCTTCGGCGTTATATCTTTTTAGGGAAGGAGAGGACATTCGTTGTAGGTGCTCATATCGCCCAGCAGTATACAACCGTGCTCCTTGGGTAGGAACGGATTTGTTTGATGGCGTGAACGTATATTTTACGCTTTGGGATAGCAATGTATTTGAAGGTTTGTATGCACGAATGTTTTCGCTAGCAGGAGCTCTAACTTACTGCAGAATCTTATCGTAGTTCGGCACAGAATATTTATCGCTCCTGGCCTTGCAATCGCCAAGAACCGAGTACATGGATACAGACCAACTGTAAGTTATTACTTCCGGTCGATGGCGTAGATTTCATCAATAAACCCGAGGGGAAAGTCCAAGTTCAGGTCTAATACAGATCGGGGTCCGCACTGCACATTGGCAGGCAGGAGCTCCGTCGCCACCGTGGCGCAGTACGGAGTTCCGCGCATGTAGTTGGTTTTGCGCACCTGCGTCTGCGTCCAGGCCGGCAGCGTGGTCAAGTTGGTTCCCTGCAGGTCCAACCGGTCGATGAACGTCGTGGGGGCTCCCAACTTATCGGGCAGCTCCTTCAGCGGGTTTTCAGTCAGCGACAGCTCGGGGACCTCCAAGTCTGGAGCCATCTCCATAAGTTGCGGGATGGTCTCGATCCTGTTGCCTTTCAGCGACAGAGTGAACACTTGCAGCGACAGTAGCGACGCTGGGATCTCAGTGAGTTCTCCGTACTCGAAGGCTACAACAGCCATGGGATGCCAGCGAGCTGGGAGGTCGTCCGGCAGTGAAGTGACGTCCGTGACGCAGAACTGGATGCTGAGTAGCGAGTCCGGAAGCGGCTGCAACAGTCCCGCTGGGAACCCCAATGGGAAGTGCGGTCGGGCGACTGCAGTGACGAATAGGCGAGGGTGGGCGGTGGCCGAGATGGAGTTCGCGTCTCCACTCCACTCGGTGATGGTCGAGTTGTAGATGTGGAAGACCATGAGGTTGCTGAACCTCTGGATCGCTGGGGGGATGTTCAGACCGGGACAGTGCGTAAATGTGAGCGTGGCTAGCGCGGTCTCATCAATGGCATGGAGGAATCCGTCGTCCGGTGACTCGATGCCTCGAGCGTGGCAGTTGATAACGAGGCTCACGCAGGAAGAACGACCAGTGAACCACGGGCGGGTGAAGGCGCGACAGCCCTCGATGAAGGTCAGGTGCGACTGAATGACAGCGCGGAGGTGGAACACCATAATGACCGTCCCCCACAGACCAATCACCACTTTCACCACTCTGTTAGCCTTCACACTTCGGACGCGAAGTCCGTCAGACCGGAGGCGAAGGTGAGCTGGAACTCGAGCACCAACCTCGTGATAAACATGGTGTCCATGGCGTTGGCGTACGGAGCCACCAGCATACAAGGCACGATGACGCACATGGCGATGGAGATCGCTGCGTCCGCTGATATTGCCACAACGCGCTCCAGAGCGGGCTTCGAGCCCAGAAAGTGCTGCACTGCGAGTGTGGACCAGCAGTTGATCAGCAGCATCGCCACCAAGAGAGTGTTGAGCCACACTCGCGGCAGGAAGCGACTGTACTGGTACGCTTGGTACGTCTGGCTTGACAGCTCGAGGAACTCGCGGAAGACGTAAACGGTGAGGAAATGCTGGTTCTCGACGCCAAAGAGTCCTTCTCGAGAGAATAGAGCTCTCCACGTCCGCTTGATAGGGCTAAATAGCCCAGTAGCACGCCTAGTGATCAATCGTTTCGACCCCGTAACTTTGACGTGGACCATCGTGAGCCTTTTCCTGCGCTTGAAGACGAGTTGGCACTCTCGGATGGAGCGGTAGACGAGCTTGGGCATCCGACTCAAGTGGAGCAAGTAAATGCAGGCGAACACCAAGGCGTACAATCCGTAGTTCTGGTTTCCGGTTGTGGGGGCCCATAGATGGACGTAGTAGCCCATGATCGGGTCCGTCAGGTAGTAGTAAGTGGCTGCAAAGATGAGGAGGTACATCCCACAGAGCATGTGCGCAGCTACGACGAGAACCCACGCGAGGCGAAACATGCCAGGGCGAAGCTCCAGCGTCACGGCATCTCTGCTTGGGGAAAGCGACTTTCTGGCGGGTTTTGCAGCGAACATATCCGTAGCGGTGGCACCTGAAGTTGGAGCTATAGCTGCCTGCTTAGACGAAGGGAGACGAAGCATTTGCTCTTGGGTCTGCAGTTGCCTGTAGGCGAATGAGAACCTCGCGTGGATAAAGCGCTGCTCGTCGGCTCAGATGCGTCTGATGAACTCCGTTTGTACTCGAAATAGGAAGCAAGACGGGCATCACATGACGTGAGTCCAACAGTAGGCAAAGGTAGCCGCATGCGTCCTCAAGACTTACCTGTTTGATTGAGTTCTACTTCCAACTACCGTTGCGAACTCAATCTCAGTCCAACAAGATTTTCGGTATTTCAGGGTGCAGCAACAACAAAAATGTAGTTTCTTGTTTAACCTATATTGATAGCGTACAGCTCGTCCATGAGAGAAATCGGGAACTCCACTCGGTAGTCAGTCGGAGATCGAGCGTCGCATTGGACGTTGGACTGTCGGATTGACGTCGAACAATATGGGTGCCATTCATGTAGATGACCTGAAGAACCTGCGTCTTCGTCCATTCGGGTAGTGATGAAGTGGCGGTTCCTTCCAAAGAAATTAGACGGAGACTTCAGCGAATTCGGGAGTTCCGTCAAGGAATTCCCGCCCAGTATCACTTGCGCTACTGTTAAATCTGGCGGTAGGTCTCCAAGTTGTGGCACATTCTGCAATCGATTATTCTGCAGCGACAGTGTCAATGCCGGGAGGGATAGCAGCGAGGCCGGAAACGTGGTCAGCTCGCCGTATTCAAAGCCAACGGAAGCCATGGGATGCCAAATTGACGATAGATTGGCAGGGATATCTTCCAGATCCGTAAGAGAGAACTGTATGCTCACTAGAGAGGTCGGTAGGGGTTGGAGTAAAGCTGTTGGAAACCCTGACGGAAAATTGGTACGAACGGCGGCGAGGACGAATATTCGCGTGTGAATTGTGGCTGAAAGTGAGTTTTGCTCTTCCCACTCCGGAACCGTCCAGTATCATGAGATTCTTGAATTGTTGGAGTGCTGGGGGCATGCGTAGTTCCGGGCAGTGAGCAAACGTAAGCGTAGCGAGTGCGGGAATGTTCAGACTCTCAAAAGTTTCATCGTTTGGTGAGGCAATATTGCGCGTGTAGCAATTTACAACAAAACTGAAGCATGACACTCAAGTTGAAAGCCACGGCCTAGTCGAAGTGAGACATCCAGCGACGACACTGGAACGGGCTTGGTGCGCAGCGTGTCCATGGCAACTAAGCACCAAAGATCCCCACAGGCTGAACGTGATCTTAATGACTGCGTGTATCCATCGCCAGTGGCTCGCCAGTACTGGTGTTAAGGATTCTTGGGACAGTGTAGGAGGTGTGGAAGCCACTGAATTGGAGGATTTCGACCGTCGGACGAGTAGCTTGCTGGTTGTTATGAGACCAAATAGAATGGACATGTGAGGAATAACTTTCGCAACGAAATCAATCAAGTCCGAGTTGGTTTTCAAGGATAAAGGTGGTGATGAAGACCGGATGGTACGATAATGCCGGGTCCTTGAACACGTGCCGCGAGCTATCGAACGCCGCGACGGAAGGCGCCAGGATCAGCACGGGGAATCCGATACTCATGGCTAGACAGATCAAGGTGTCGACGGTTAGCGCCACCACGCGCCCAAGTGCTGGATTCCGAGAGAAAAACCGATTCACAGCTAATGCCGACCAGCAGTTCGTAACGAGTAGCGCCACTAAAAGCGTGTTCAGGTCTATCCGCGGTAGGAAAAAGCTGGATCTATAGGCCTGATAAGTCTGCGACGACAGCTCAAGATACTCTCGTATAGCAAATAATGTCATAAAGTGCTCGCTTTCCACGCCAAAGACCCCGCGTTTTGCGAATAAATACCTCAGCGTTTGCGGGGCACATCGCCGTATCCGTCGCCTTTGTTCTTCCCCCAGTGTTCGAGTTAATCCCCCGCGACTTGCTACTGTAGAACGAATGTGGACTGTGGTTGGGGGGCCTACTGCTCGAGTCTTAGGGCGCTGGAAGATCAACCTCTTTGCTCGAATCGACCAGTACACTAGTTGAACCACTTGAAGAATGTGGAGAACCCCAACGAGACCAAATCCAACGCTGTATGAACGCGTACTCGTGTCGCTTCACTGCCGGCGCCCAGAATTTCACATACAAAAACATCATCGAGTTCGTGAGGTACCAATACACACCCGCGGTCCGACACTTGCTGGGCCTGGCCATGACCGATCAAGGTGAAGCGCCATGAGCGAACCTTGCGATCACTACCGCTGAGAGTGTCAAGCGAGACGCTATGAGGTCTACCAACGCTAATAACCGAACCATCCTGAAAATAGAGCTGCACTCTGGTTTTCTTTTCTAGACCGAGAATAGCTCGGTTCCAAGGGCTTTTTGCAAAAAGCGGAGTGATCCGGAAACTTTTTGCATTTGGAACCTTTTGTTACAAAAAGCGGAGTTCGCGGGAACTTTGTTACAAAGAGCGGAGTTGGGGCCTGGGGCCCAGCAGCACCATCAAGCTTACAAGAACTTTGAGCTCCAACCGTGGGTATCATAGCTTTCAACGCTTATCAGAAATCGGGCGCCCTTTTCTCAAGCGCCATCAAGCGCTAATACTGTAGAAGATCAGCTTTACTTTAATTAAAGTAAGGTTTGCACATTTTTTTCAACACGGAACACTTTTCCGTAATTGCCGGATTACTTCGATTCGACAACCATAGAAAGGAAAGAAAAGAAATGGGAGGAGGGTATTATAAGACGATACGCAAAGTGCTACCCACTGTATTGAACGAGCTGCCGGAGAAGAAAATTACTTTAAAATATCTCCAACTCGTGTGTTTTTTTTTTAATAAATTAAAGATGTTAAAACATCTTTAATTTGTTTTTGCAAAACAAACAGTAGTCGTTTCGTTTTTGGGGTGAGGTATTATACATTACAGTCATTTGGGAAACCTAACGACAAGGCCAATGTCCGTCTGTCAGAAGCCTCCAGATTTTCCGTCAGCTTGCTAACTACCGCTGAAGGTGCTAGCACATGCATCCTCCTCAGAGTTGCCTAGTGAGTTCGACCGTCTACCGTCTTCATCCGGGTCTAGATGGGTTCAATCCATTGTGATACATAGCTCGTGAGTAGTGCTATCTCGGACGACCAGGTCGGGGTAAGGTGCTAAGGTGCTCGATGTCTGTGTTAAGTACCTGGATGCTGCAAAACAAACAGTAGTCGTGAGAAAGTCAAACAAAAAGGTGCTAGGGTAGGATGGCGTTCCTGCAACGTTATCAGTCATCATTGGCCTTATTGCGACGTTTTTAGCAACATGGGTACATGGTAGGACAAGGTCGGACTTGTAATTTATCGGATAAATTCCTCGTGTGTTGCACATAGGTAATTTATTTCTGAGGTATTATCTGTGCTGAATGAGTACATAGTAGGCTCACGAGGTGCGCAAATCTATTGAGCCGCTCACTGAGGACTTCAGATGTGAGGGTGGGAGAGTTCTGAAGTGGCACACACCACGAGTACACTTTTGTGAGCGCAAATTATGCTAACAGAGGCTCAAATGTGAATACTCTGGTGTTCGGATTCATTTTTATCTCTGCATGGGTACGTTTTATCGCGGATGCCAATGGTTTTCTGGGCTGTACTTCTTCGACAACGAGACATAGTTCTTCTTGTAAGAGTATATAACTAATCAAGCGCTCGTAAAAGCGTTTCAAAAGTGACCATTAATTTTTTTCGTAACCATTAACGTTGCTCTTTTGATAACGTTGCTCTCGCAGTAACGTTGCCCGCTAACGTTGCCCTTCGATCACATCGCCCATTAACTTTCTTCGAGGTAAGTTGTTGGTGACAGTATTGCACGGCAGCAAACCCTACTGATAAATCAAGTAACATACCAGGTCCACGTCGCTGGTTAGAGCATTATGATATTGTGAGTGTACGGATACTTTCATTATGCATTCAATGCTGTACCAACGTGCATTGAAATTTTTTTTTATTCTCTTACAAACTAGTTGACCTCTTCTCAGAAAATCTGGAATAATAGTAGACGCTGAAGTTCCGCGTCTACTACGGAAGTTCCGCGTCTACTGTATAAAGTCGTGTCAGAATCTATAAAATAAAACTATTAGGTGCACGTCTATTACCTTCGGTTACTATTCAGTTATACTCTCATTGCCCCCGACTTACTGCATCCGCCAGATTATCAATGACTACATTGCCAGGTTGCGTGTACTTCACCTACAATAAATAGGCTTCAATATATTAACAGTATGAAGTGTAAAAGGCTTTGTACGATTGGTGCTACCGTCAATCGTGCATCATAATTGTTAGGTAAAACATTTAACGTTGCGCAAGAACCATTAAAGCTCGTAGCTAAAGGGTTAACGTCGCTGTAAAATTTGGAACTTAAGCAGCGTAAGACTTGAATTGTTGCCTGTTGCTTAGCCGATAAACCATAGCTGTTCATGCTTATATTTTACGAATTACTGTGTACAATAACGACCACACATCGACACATGCAACAAATGGACGTAGAATCTATTATCAAACTCATCTAGGGTAACATTATCGAGGTGATGCATAAATGTATCGTCACAGTTAATCTACCAGAAGGGTCGCAGGTTCTAGCCGACATGTCCATGCTAAGCGTTAAACAGATTCCTCATCAGTTGTGTGCTGTAATTTAACTGGGCGTCCCTTCATGAATGCGCATGACAGGTCGGAAACCTGTGATTTCGGCGAATTTAACTCTTCAATAAGAGGAACATCGCCGTTGAGACCGACATGGATAGAAAGCCCTGCATCTAGTTTGGGTAATGCCGCTGTATGAAGCGCTAAATGTATGTAGATCTCGAGCGATTTATCCTCAAAGTTGGCGTTGCCTGGCGCCTCTGCGATGTTTCTTACCGTTATTTATGCAGCATATAAAAAGTTATATGTATTTGTGTGACCTTTCAGGTAGGGGTGAAAGATCGCGCATTACTAGCGACAAGATGACTGACAAATAGTAAGGGGGAATGTACACCATGTCCTCGTTGCCGAACGGGACAAGAAAAGGAGAAGCCACTTTGGCATTACTCCTATGATGGACATATTAGTAGATATGCAAAGTTTCAGCATCCCTAGACTCGCCAGGAAAAACCGGATTTATTATTTTCCCGAGATTCCCGTACATTGTTGAAGGGACGTCCAGTTAATAGCAGTGATATCAAAGTAGATTGCGATCTTGTTCTAAATCATACGGTATACATCGCTGTTTTCTTAAAAATGGACTCAATATATTTATAGGCATAGTATGCAGATGCGTGATCCTGCCTCCATATAATATGCTTCCTATACTACGCGCTGGCTAAGTCACCGTAGTGCTATCCTCTCTCATTATTGTAAAGTACTTTGCTAAGTTTTATAGCGATCATGTAATGGCGGATGCGTCTGACCCAGGTAATACAATTGAATAGTTTGGCGGTTGATAACTATAAAGTAGGACAAATCACATTAACGGGCAATGTTAACGTGCAACGCTAAAAATAAAGCAACGGTATCTTGGATTAACGTTAATGCGCAACGCTAAACATAACGCAACGTTATCTTGGAGCAACGTTAATGCGCAACGCTAATCATAATGCAACGTTATTGAGAAGCAACGTTAGTACTCGGCGATATTTCGTATAGTGTCGACCTCATTCGATTAAACCTAAGCGCTTGGGTGCAAATGCATCGCGAACGTTTAGGACGACAATCGTATAGGTGTACGGAAATTACAGAACATAATTACAAGCAACACGAAGCAGCAGCCATTATGTTGGGGACCTGGACAATGATAGTGGTTTGGTAACATCGGTACTCTGCTAGATGTGGACTTCCCTCTCGGCCCGCACGTCCTTGTCGTCCCGCGGCGCGCAGCTTGAAGCTGAATACCAACGTCAAAACAACATAGAGACATAAATATTAATGAAGCAGAGTTATCAATCATAGAGCAACATTAGCAGACAATAGAGCGCAGAGCAACGTTACATTTAGTATTCGCGGGAGGGGGGGGGGGCAGACTCTCGCAGCTTGACCATCTCCGATGCCAATGCGTTCAGCTTGCCCGTACGAGGCATCCTGCCGCTTTTACCGCCTCCTTAACAGCCTTAATACATTACCAAATAAACAATAACAAATTACCAAAGTTAATACACATATAACAAGCAACATTAATGCACACCTGTAAGAAGCAAGGTCAAACTTACGTAATTCGTGAAGTCGCTTGGCTTGCCCCACCCTTTAACAGCGGGTGCGTAGGGCTATCGTAATGTTTCCAGGAGGTGGCTGCGCGGTCCGAGCTGGTTTTCTGAAATGGAGGGCTGAGATTCTCCCTCTTTTCCTTGGCCTTGCTTCGGATTACGAAAGTCCTACGTAGGAGCTCCGTCTTCACCTAAAGGGTACCTTTTTGGAAACAAGGCCCGAATGGCCTAGTTAAGCTGGCCATTTGGACCTTCGTAGGACTAACGGGTCCTTCGTAGGACTGGATCAGGCCAGTGCGCATGAAAGCATCTGTGGCAAATGCATAGTTTGGACACACTCGTACAGGCGGAGACTCAGGCAGCACCGCACCCAGGTCACCGTGCTCAGCGTGGAGCTACGTACATGTGCTACAGGTATAACGGTACTGAACGCGCTGACTTGTCGGCCTACCTGTGCAAGTCATTCGCTCAGTTTACATTCAGTTTTTGTTTATAGCAGGTTTTATTGTCCTCGGTACTAACTTTTATGAGACCTTACGTAGGAGCAAAAGTCCTACGTAGGACCTCAAATCGGAGGGCGTTTTGGCAGAAAGGCACAATACAGTGTACAGTACTTACTGTAAACGAATGTTAACCACTTCGGATTGTCTTTTTTTTCCAGTCGCTTTCACGACACATCTACACCTCGCACGACCACCCGAGTGCATGGGCACGTGCTGTACATCGTTTAATCACAGGCTGTAACTGCCGAAACACAAACCCGGCAGGCTCTCGGCCATTCCGGAACTTACCTTCGCCTGAGCCAATCTTGAGTCTGCAATGGCACCGAGCGCCGTGGAACCGCCCACCACGCCTCGTTTTGAGGCCGCTTTTTCATCGCTCAAGACGCCCGATAACAAGCGCGGTATTAACCTCGTGGGCGAGCCTCCTCAGCTTGCAACCTCGCGGGCCAGTCGTGTTCCAATTGTCGGGAACCTGCTGCAAGTATTCATCGTGGCTGCCATAGTCGTGTACGCGTACGGCCAACTCTTCTACTTCTCCAAGAATTACAGCGAGTTGAGGGCGACAATCGGCAAGTGGTTCGGTGTTCCTGTCGATGGGAACGAGAGCGCGGGCAGTCACCCGGAAATGGTGCAGCCCACGTACTTCTTCATCGTCGGCTTCCTTCCGATAGCGGCTTCGCTGGTGTTTCTCGAGCTGCTGAGGCACTTCAGAGTTTGTCGAATCACCTCGCGCTACGTCCTCAGCCTCACGCGGGTGCTTCGTTGCAAGCCTCGGATATTCGGATGGGTGGCGCGCGTCAGTCTCGGTGAGCTTCTGTTCCTGATCTTCCTCGTTGGTGGCAATATCTACGTGTTCGAGTACTACTGCGGCCGCCAAGTGGAGAAGATGGGCGTTGTGTGTATCTACAACATGGCCTTCCTCTTCCTGCCAGCCACGCGCAACTGCGTGTGGATGGAGTTCCTTAACATCTCGTACGCCAATGGGATCAAGTATCACCGCTGGGTGGGCGTTATCACCGTCTTGACGGCGCTGTTCCACTGTATCGGGTACTACTGGTCGTGGATCCGACAGGGGGAGTGGAGGGAGAACGCCCTACCCTGCTTCGACTGCGAAGTCGGCAGCAAGGAGGGCCACGACCCGTGGATGAACTTCTTCGGAGAGATCGCGCTGCTGGCCTTCCTGGCCATTGGCCTGACGTCCATCCCGTGGGTGCGCCGCAAAATGTACAACACGTTCTACTCCGTACACCACCTCTTCCTGGTCGGCACCATCTTCGCCGTGCTGCACTATAACGCCATCCTCGCGTGGATCTTCCCGTCCGTCATGCTTTACGTCATCTGCCGTGCGCTCTCCAGCTCCAACGGGTTCTCCCCGGTCTCTGTCCGCGAGTTCACGACGTTGTCGCACGACGTGGTCAAGGTGGTGGTGGCGCGTTCTACCGCCCCCGCGGGCGACTTCAAGGTCGGCCAGTTCGTCTACATCAACGTGCCGGCCATCTCCAAGCTGCAGTGGCACGCCTTCACCATCGCGTCGTCGCCGCGCTCCAGCCCCGACTCGCTGACGATCCTGCTCAAGTCACTCGGTGACTGGACCCAGGAGCTCGTCCAGTACTCGGAGGACTGCAAGAAGGACAACGTGCTGCCGACCATCTACGTGGACGGCTACTACGGCGGCTCGCTCGAGATGTACGACGAGTACTCGACCGTGTGTCTCGTGGGCGGCGGCATCGGCGTGACGCCCTTGTTCGCCATCCTTGAGGACATCGTGACCAAGCTGCACCACGGCGAGAGCATCCGCCAGAAGGTCTTCTTCATCTTCTCGTTCCGTGAGCTGTCGCTGCTGGAGGAGATCCACCCGCTGCTGGTCAAGATCAAGGAGCTGGACCCGCAGGAGCAGTACTTCAGCCTGCACTTCAGCCTCACGCGCGCGCCGACGACCGAGCAGCTGGAGAAGACGATCGACCACGGCCGTCTCGCGGGCAAGCCGCACGCGTCTGCGGTTCGCTATGACTCGGCCAAGGTCCCGACCCCTTTCGCTATGTCCGTCCGCTCCGGAACCAGTCGAGTGGCCATGCACACGGCCTCGTTCCTGGTGACGCTCATCGTCGTGGTGCTCGTCAAGTACGGCAACAAGGTGCAGGCCGAGGACGAGAATCTGTGGCCCCTGCAGAACCTCGTGGAGATCTCGCTGCTCATGGTCGTGGCCTTTGTGGCCGTGTTCGTGAGTATCGCGCTGGAGAGCAAGACCCGCGTGCAGAAGAGCGATTCGAGGCGCGCGTACGACGTGGCGGAGACGCCCCAGACGACGGTATCTCTCGCTCTCAATACGGACGTGCAGACGTTCCAGGACCTCATCTCCGAGTACAACGTCCAGGTGGGCCAGCGCCCTAACATCCCCGAGCTCATGCAGAAGGCGCTCGAGGGCCACAAGGAGCTCACGTCGAGTGACCCGTCGGCTGTTGTTCCGGGCAACTCAACGATCGGGGTCTTCGTGTCTGGCCCGGAGGAGATGAAGCTGGCGGTCGAGTACGCAATCGCTGACATTGGTGCCAGCCACTTTGACGTCTTTGAGGAGGAGTTCGAGCTGTAAGGTGACGTAGAACTTGACGTAGCTGTGCCTTTATTTTGAATTTACCCAGCATTCCCTACCCAACCTGCATGTTAACTTCACATTCTTCACATTGGGAAGCATCGAGACCCTAGATATTCGGAGTGCTCTTCAAATGACCAAGAATGCATTGTCGTGATCGGGGTAACCCGATAGGTTCTACGCGCGGCAGGACATTGCACAAACTGTAGGGCTCTAAGTGAGCCGATACAGCTTGTCAATCAGTTGAAACGGAAGCTCAACGAAAAGGTTCCTTTCAGGGTGAAAGGAGCACTGAACGTTGTGCTTACGGTGTTCGGCAGCGATCTCCCTGCAATACGGTGTGTTGTACATATACATGGTGTCCAATACCTGCGTGTCTGTCCACGCGGGTAATGCGATCAAGTTGCTATTCTCGAGGTTCAGACGACCGAAGAAGATGCTCGTTGACCATAACGAGGCCGGCAGCTCTTTCAGCGGGTTTCCTTCCAGCGAAAACACGGGTAAAACGGTACCAGGTGCGACCCCCGCTAACTCTGGCATCGTTTCCAGTTTGTTTCCTCTTAGGGAGATCGCAAAGGCCTTTACTGACAAAAGCGATGGTGGGTATGTCGTCAGCTCCGCGAATTCAAACACCACGGTCGCCATCGGAGGCCAATACAGATGCAAATTATCCGGTAGTTCAGCCAGATCGGTGATTGAAAAGCAAATACTGACCATGGAGGTAGGAAGGGGCTGTAAAAGGCCTTGCGGGAAGCCGAACGGAAACCAAGAACGGGTGACCACAATCTCTGACATTCGAGGGTGTGCTAGCGGGGAAATGCCGCCAGCCTCCCTAGACCACTCCATCACAGTCGAGTTGTAAACATGCAACACTCGTAAATTGCTGAACTGTTGAATAGCCGAAGGAATTCGAAGCTCGGGACAGTGCGTAAACGAAATAGCAGCCAGTGCAGCCGACTCCAGGGCGTCAAACGCGTAAAGTTCAGGTGAAGCCACGCCGCGAGCGTGGCAGTCAATAACTAGCGTTGAGCACGAGATCTGACGCGAAAACCATGGTCGAGTAGATGCGAGACAGCCAACTAAAGTAGACGAATGTGTGTGAAAAATACTGTGCAGATACAACACGAGAACTGCAGCCCCCCACGCCAAGAAAATTAGCTTTACGACAATTTGAATCCAAGGAATAGGGTCGCGCACAATTATATCTTGCTCAGACCGATACGTAAAGGAGCTTGGGGCTGGAGACGGGTAAATACCCACTGCAGTCGAATCGGGCTGTCTAGTGAGCAACTCCGCTATGGAAATGAGCGTCAGGAACGTAGCGAGGTGCGGGTCAAGCTTCGCTCCAAAGTCCATCAAGCCTGTCGCGAACACGAGCTGGTTCTCCAGTGAGAACGCCGTGATGAAGTGCGGGTCGTACACCAGCTCCGGCGTATCGAACATGAAGTAGGAGGTGTTAAAGCCCGCGATGTACGGCGCCATGATGACAGAGGGGATCACCGCGCTCATAACGATGCAAATCACGCCGTCCACGCACAAAACGACGACGCGCTCGTGTGCAGGCGTGGCAGCGAGAAATTGGTGCACGGCAGGCGTCGACCAGCAATTCGTCACCAGAAGAAGAACCAATACTGTGTTAAACCACAGTCCGTGGAGTAAATAGCTGGACCAGTACGCCTGGTAAGTTTGAGAAGCCACTTCCACCATCTCTCGAACAACGAACATTTGGAGAAAATAGTCACTTTCGACACCGAAGAAGCCTCGCTTTGAGAATAGTGCACTCCAACTCTTGTGTACCAACCAACTGCATAATGCTCGATGATTTTGATCCCGTGGTCTCCTTAAACTCGACTGCTGGGTTCGCTTAGCCATCTGAAGTTTAGTTGGGAATATTGTACTTCGAGATTCTGATCGGAACACGAGTCGCTTGGCCTGAATTGAGCGACAGCTGATCTGTAGAATTCAGGGGCGGAGCCAGGGCCAAAATGGGGGGGGGGGG